TGAAGGTATTCTCCCAAACCCTGAACCGTGTTTGTTTCCTGGTGTGTCAAAGTTTGTTTCCTGCCGTGCCAAAGAGGATTAAATTGACTATGGAACCGGGTCATTTTTGAGGATCAAAACCCCAAAGGAAGGTGAATGCGGGAACATTCTGCTTTCACCCTTCAGAAGAAAACAAAAGTAGGGCTTGTTTCACTCTTACTACCCTTCTAGGAATCCTGTGTTTCCGTTGCACAGCTTTTTAAGTTGTTTATTGCTTTCTGGTTTTCTGTTTTTACTTTAGATGGGCTGAGTTGAATTTAAATCACTGTGGGTTGGAAGGAATTTCATAAAGTGCTGGAAAATTTCCATATCGGCCTGGGTGGGTGAAATGGGTGTAACATATAAAATAATCACCTACTGTACACTGAAGATTAGGGCCCTTTATTGTATGTACATTATACTTCAATTAAAAAACATAACCTATTTCTTGAGCCATGTATGATTTTTGTTTAGGAAAATATATTCCTTTTTTAAAGAAATATATTCCTGAGTATGTCTGGGCTATTGGAATCATCTTTGGAGGCACTGTGACCGTATCTGGCCAACCAGGAACCCTTTTCCTTCAGTTTGAAAACTGACTCGGGTTTATTTTGTAGGGGAGTTGTTTCCACCTAGCTCTGGCAGATAGAGAGTTGAGCATTTTGTTCAGGGCGTGGTGTACGATGTCTCTAACATGTTGCCTTCAAATTGCTTTTCCAATAATGTTGAATGAATTAAACTGCCTCCATGCGAAGGTGTCCTCAGAAGAGGGTGTATGTATTTTGTTCCCAGAGCACACAGTTGCTGTGTAGGTGACTTAGATATAGTCTCTAGGATTGTCTCAGAAACCCTGTGAGTTCTGGCCATCCTTGTTTTATAGATGAAAAACTTTTCAGAGGTCAAATAACTTACCCATGGTCACACACCGATGAGAGGAGGCGGGGGAGATAATACCCACTAATGGGCAGTGAATGTTTTTTGGGGTTAAATTCAGAAACCTGTGATAATATAAATTATGGCACATGGTAAACACATAGGAGCAGTGGTTATTATTGGTGAGGATAGCAGGAATATTGCATAATGGTTGAGGAAACTGGGTCGGAACTCATAGCTGATTTTGATACCAGAGTGGGAGCTCACCATGAGCAAGTTACTTAGCCTTTCTGAGCTTCCATCTCAAATTAGAATTACTAATGGTGTTTACCTGCATTGTTGTCACGGTATAAATTAAGAGAATGCATGTGAACTGCTTAGCACGGAGCTTTGCATACTCATGTCAGATACTGTGTTTATTATTACAGAGGAAAACAAATGCTAATTAGTTCATTCATTCACTCAAAGCAGTATTAATTGACTGCTTTCTGGGTCCCTGCCACTGTGCTTGGCAGGTGGGTCCAGGCTGTTCCAGGTGATATCAGTTATGTTCATGCATCAGAAGAAAAAGGAGGAGGAGAAGGGGGGGGGAGGAGGAATTAGTATTAAATAATGATATATTTGAATTCTGTCTTCTGAGGGAGAAGAGGCTTTTTTTGTCTTTTTGAGACAGGATCTCACTGTGCAGGTCGGACTAGCTTTGTGCTCACTTTGTAGCTCAGGCTGGTCTTGAACTCACAATGATCCCCCTGCCTTAGTCTCCGAAGTGTTGGGATTACAGTCATGTGCCATCACTCTGGGCTAAGAAGAGACTTCTGAACACCAGTTAGACATTTAGTTTGAAAGGTAAGATTGGAGAGCCCTGGAGTTTATTCTAGAGACAGTTCTTTTCTATCTTGATACCACCTTTATTCCTGGTCCTTTTTTTTTTTTTTGGTACCAGGGATCAAACTCATGACCTCATGCTTGCCAGGCAGGTGTTTATGCCACTGAGCTAAATCCTTGGCCGTTGGTCCAAATTCTTGTGCTGAAGCTAAAACTGTGGGATGATAATTACCAAAGGGTACACTTCTTATTCAACTTTTCTTTCTAAACAAGGCGTTGTTAGCTTTGTGCAAGCAGAGAGAGCCTCTGGTGAAAATGAAGAGGAGCACAGGTCAGAGTTCAGGCTGAGAAGTTGGCTGAGATGTTGTTAATCAGCTTATTAATCTGTTCCAAGCCCAAACTGTAAAATGGGGTAGGGTCTATCACATAAGATGTAAGACTGCTCTAAAGATTAAAAAATCACCTATGAAAATGGTTAGCAGCCACCAAATGCCCACTAACAGCTGTCATTATTGTTGTTGTTGTTATGCTTGTTTCCTTGGCAGGGAGTTAGCTGATTCACATAGGTTCCTTTAAAAACATTTCTCTGCATAGCCAAACAAAGGTTTAGTGTTTTTTAAAATTAATGATTCACTTTCTTCAGTAATACCTAAGAAGCATTTCGTGTACAATGCTTTTTGAAATCAGCAGAGATGTGCCCTTGAGTGCCTGGGGCCCTTGACTATACACTAAGCCTTATTTTTACTCAACTCAGAAGTGTGAGCCAGCCAGGACTCAGGAGGATGATGTGACAGGGTCACAGACTTATTCAGAGGAATACTGTGGTCATCCTGAGCTCATTGCTGTAGCCATAGGAACATTTGGTAATGGAGCTGGAAAACAATTCGTGATGTGAGCGTAAACAGATTGCATGTCACCAAGCCTGGAGGTGCTTGCAGATTAAAAGGAAACTGAACATCTCAAAGCAGAGTTGGGAGGGAGGTGAGGGAGAGAATAGTGAAAGGGTACAATGTTAGATGAGGCATAAATTCTGCTGGCCTATGGCACAGTTGGGTGAATGTAGTTAGCAATGATGCACTGTAGATCACAACGTCCCTAGGAGAGAGTCTGTGCTCACTGTAAGGATACGATAAAAAGTTTAAGGTGATCAGTATGCTAACTATCCTGGTTAGATCACTATACATGAATCAAAACATTACACTACAAAATATGCAGTTAGGATGTGTTGATTAGAAGGAAGATGCAGACTCACAAAACTAATACATAGGGGATTAGATAGCAGGCAAAGCAAGAAGAGAGCTTAAAGCGAATAAAATACTAGTTTCTGATGTGTGCATCCTATTTGATCTGGTAGAACATGGAGAGTTAGAAGGAACACAGGCCAAGTGGGCAGGCCATGTGCATTTTACCTTACCTGGTCACTGACTTGTGGGGCACTGGACAAGTCCCTTAGTTCTCTGGGGGTTTCTGTGTCTCCATCTGTCTGGTAAGGGATTGGATTAATCAGACAAACTTAAAGTTTACTTCTGGCCCTAACACTGTGCTTCCTCCTAGCTTACCTTCCTAAATTTTACTGTTTATGACATAGTTGCTTATGCTGTGGCCTTTTCAGCATCTTTTTTTGTCCCCAAATCCTTGATTTTCCTCCAAAAACTCTTGGGTGGATGGGTCAGGGCAGAGGTGTGGATGTCAGGTGATGTAAAGTTAGAATTAAAAAAAATTTAAACAGTTGTTGATGCTTAAGAAATATTGCCTAACTTTGACTTGCAATTTAACAGAAATATTTTGCTTGTTTTTATGACTCGGTCCCTCACTGTAGTTTTTGTTTTGTAATTGCCTTTATTGTCCTCATTGCCAAAAAGCCCGAATAAAGGTCAGAATTATAATTATGGGATTTTTTTTTCAGTTCATCTCTGTATGGAGTTTCTGGTAAAGGACTGTGCTTGAGGGATGCCAGTGGTGTTTCTTCCTGACATTAGCTATGCTAGTTTTAAACTGACACTGTACATATCTGACTCCTTAAAAATACTGAAGATTTGGGGCATTTTAATGGGTTGGAGGCCCATAACAAGTTTTCAGAACAAGTTGAAAATGGAAGATAGTAAGATTTTTAAATTATATGATACTACTATTTGTAGTAAAAAGTTTGAGCTGAAGTTTCCACCTTCCAAGTTTTTATTTTGGCGTTATCTTTCTCAAGGAAGATCTCTGAGGATTACTAGTAGCCCCGTGGTGATTAAACTGTGTAACTGTTGGCAGAGAAATGGGGCTGGGGCTCAGTGAAGTAAAGGGAGGTAATACGTTCTGTGCTGTGTCATTTTAAGTAAATCACAACATTACTTCAGTTTTCTACATTGTGCAGACAGTACTACTACCTGACTTACTGTCTCACCAGCTGTGTCAGTTATTGTGGGAGGGTTAACCCGGCTTTGCAGTCTGGATTGGTGGAGTACACTTCCTGGTGTGTCTGAGGTGTGACCCTTGGGGTCTATAGCTGGTCCCTTTCCCCTTCTCCGCTCACCAGCTGCCAAGAACTAAGCAGCTTTGCTCGATGATACTGCTTTTGCATGATACACCTTCTTTGGAACCAGATGACCATGGACTGGATCCCCTTAAAATGAGTCAAATTTAACCTGTCCTTCTTTAGGTTTGGGTGTTGAGGGTTGTGTCCGGTTACAGGAGAACTGATGGATGTAGAAATCTTCTGTGAGGATTATATGGAAATGCCTACCTAGGCATAATAAAGTATAGCTTACACGTAACAAAATGGAACGAACATGTAAGAGCACATTTATACATTACTCTTTCAAGAGTTTACATAGAAATACAAGGAATGAGTATGCAAGGCATCACTAACACTCGTTTCTCTGAGTAGGTCGTACCCTTTGTTCCACTCACTAAAGTGACTTTTTCTTCTCTATTTCTAAAGGACTTCGCATTTAAGAAATATGTACTTTGTATCCTTAAAAACTTATGTCAAGAGCAATAAATACATAGTCTTTGGGATTAACTGCCTCGCAGTAAAGCATTCAACAAACGCTTGCGACTACAGTAAATCCTAGCGTGTCTTAGGTTTCTGTCTATGGGATTTCAACAGCTTTTCAGAGAACTGTTTCGTCGGCAGTTTATTCTCTGCAGAGATTCGGTATCCCAGCGGGCAGTTCCATTTCACTAGGCTGAAGGTCATTCCCGCATATACTGTATTCCCATTTGAGGTCACAGCACAGCAGAGCCAGTTCAAAGCCAGCGAGAGACACAGGGAACGATGAACTGGCAACCATAGTCAGGAGACTGAAGAACAGGAAGCCCTGGGTGCTGTGGTGCCCTCCGGGTGGTGAAGCCCCGCGGAGGGAGGGCTCCTTCCGCCGTCTCCACGCGCGTTTGTCTCCGGGAGCTTTTAAATTACTCAATAGAGTTCTCCCCGCACCCATCGCCTCGGTCCGGGTACCCGCGTGCCCTGGTTCTGCCCCTCGCGACCGGACCCGCGCACGCGCACAAGCAGGCACGCACGCGGGCACGCAGGTCCCACGCTCGCTCCGATGGCGGCGCGCCTGCGCGGACGGAACACGCTCCGTGCGGGTTGAGCGGTGCGCCGCCGCAGGGGCAGGGTGCCCGCCCGGGTCGCCGCCTACTTCGTTCCGGCTCCGCGCCATGGTGCTGGAGTCGGTGGTCGCAGACCTGCTGAACCGCTTCCTGGGGGACTACGTGGAGAACCTTGACAAGTCGCAGCTGAAGCTGGGCATCTGGGGCGGTACGCGCGGGCGGCGGCGCGGGCCTGGGGACGGATGGGCGGGCTTGGGCCAGGACCTCGGCGGAATCGTGGGTCAGTGCGGTCGGCCGGGTGAGCCGCGCCCGTAAGGGGTCAAGGTCCTGCGCTTGCAGCTGCTTCCGGGCGGACGGGCGGCTAGCGGGGGTTGGGCTGAGGGATGTCCCCCGGCACGCTGAGCCAACACCGCCCGCAGTTATGTGCTGCAGCGATACAGAGCAGTCCTAGCCCAGACCTGCATCATCATCATCATCATCGATTAGGTGCCTGGGCGCCGGAAAACGCTCGCAGCCTTCTGGTCCTCAGCGATTAGCCGCGCAGAGCGGATTCTGAGTAGTGTACTTAAGCGTTCTTCCCGGAGCTTCCTTAGGGCTAGGGGTGTGGCTTGGGGGAGGGCTGGAGCCCGGCGTGCCCGAGGCCCTGGTTTCCAGTGCGGACACTTAGTTATTTGCAAAAACTTTGCCTTCAGCTTTGTGGATATTGCGAATACTTTCTTCTTCTGTGGAAGATTTTGTCAGCTTTAGTGGGAAATGCAGAAAAGTACGCAAATGTGGTAGTTACTGAATCAGTTAAGGAATGTTTAGGAACCTGCTCTAAAAGGGAAGCTACCTATTAAGGTAGCTGTGGAGCCCTTGAAATGTGATGAGTGTGAACTAAGACGTGGTCCAAATGTAATATAAACACTGGCTTTTGAGTATGAACGTTTTTCGTAATACGACAGGATAAAAATGTGCAATTTCAGTAATTTTTAAAATCCTCATCTATTGAATGATGATATTTGACTATATTGGGCTAAATTAAATGTTACTAAATTTTATTTCTCTGTTTCTTTTTACCTTTTTTGTCTCTTTTTCCGTTTTGGCTTTTTTGAGACAGAGTCTGGCAATGCAGTTCAGACTGGCCTTGGACTCACTTTGCAGCCCAGGCTAGTCTCGAATTCGCAAAGATCCTCCTGCCTCAGCCTTGGATTATAGACATGCACCATCACTCCCAGCTTCATCCTTTTTTTGTGTTTATTCGTTGTTGCTGGGGTTCAAGCCCCAAGGCCTTGTGCATTCATGTCATATGGTACACTGTACACCCACACCCTGATACTGTTTTCTGTATTTTAGAATATAGTGTTCAGACAGGCCCTACGGGAACTGTATAATAGGCTCAAACAAATTTATTTTTTTCACGGATTGTGTCGAATGCATATCTACTTGGATATTCATTCTCTCAGCTTTATCGATCCACCTCTCCGATTTTATAATTTTGCTTCATAATTTGTGGTTACTACAAAGGAAGAGAGAAGTTAGGTACTTTTATTTACAGTTACTGTTCAGCATATCTTCATAACACCAATTTCCCTTAAAATAGAATATCTGAATTGATTATTTCTGTTCTTAGTAAATATTACTAAAAAAAGTAGCTTGAAACATTTTGGAATGAACAAATGGGAGTATAAACTTGATAAAGCTTTATGAAATTGTAATATTGATGGTATGCAAAGATTGAAAATTTTATATGGTTCTAATTGAAAATTATTTGCATTATCAGATTAGATTTGCATCTTCACAGTTGGGTTTTTCAGTTTTTTTCTTGTTGAATTTACACGTTTTCAAGAGGTGAAGAATTCACATAGTTGATCTTATAAGTGTTTGGAAATAACTGTGTTGATACTTGGTAATGGTAGTATTTGACTAGTTTAAGTAGTTTTTTTGGTGAGCAAGTGACTTTGGTCCCCAGGGGGTGGGAGGATATTTGGCAGTATTCTGCCATGAAGAATTACACAGCCTTCAGTGTTAGTTGAGACACTGGTGTAAAGAGAATGAATGCTAAGATTGCCTTCTGCATGTATAGGAGATGTACAGAGCACTGCACGCAGCGCATTTTAGTAGGGCCGTTGAAAGAGGACATACAGTGGGGAGAGGAAACAATGTGTTAAAAGTGACTGGAAGTTATGTTGCATAATTTTTGGATGGTCTCAGGAAGTGGTTTTAAGATTTAGAATACTGTGTTTACATGATTTAAAGAGGATTGGGTTGTATATAAACTTGTACATATATAGGCACTCAGCAAAATCAATAATAAAAATAATAAATGTTTTTAATAATAATAAAAGGGACAGGGGATTAAGTATCAGAATTGGGCCGTGGGTATTGCTTTTGAATTAGAGAAGCTGCTCCCCTCAAACAAAACCCAACAAATAACTGAAGCTATTGTTTTTCTTTTGGGTTTTCCTCTTAAAGTGTTTATTAATACCAGGCAGTTCTCAGTATTTTTAAATGGGTTTAGGCAGAATGCCCTTTCAAAAATTGCTGTTTTAAAAAAATTAGACCCTAAGTATTTACTAGTTATAGGACCGTGGGCAAAACATTTTAATTCTCTTAAGTCTTAGTTTCCTAACCTGTAAAGTGAGTAGGATCTATAATGATGTGAAAATGTCTCGTGATTGTTAGTACTAACAGGAATGATGATAGTAATCCCACCTGAGTGATGGAAAAAAGTTTACTTATTTCCTAAGTATATTTCTTTTAAATTCAAACTCTGGTGCCTTACAGTCTATAGAAGGTAGAACTAGCATTATGTATCTAAACACTTCTTATTTTCCCAGGGAATTTCTTAAAAAGTCTGATTGGGTTTGCATTTACCCTCCTGCCAGCTGGTGTGGAATTTGGGTTTGTGAAGATTGAGAGGAATGCCTGGTGGACACGTGTTGCTGGTGCAGATAGGAGGATTTACTTAGGTTTTTGTTCTCCACATCCTGGCACCAGAAGAGAAATTGCACAGCCCTCAGCTATCTGGGGTGCATCCAGGATGTAATTGTTTTATGCGCAGCGAGTATTTGGAAAGTGTGTTGAAATCTAGGTCTTTTGCAATGTAGGTACCGGGGTAGGCTCTTTGCCAATTTGATTTTCATAGTGATTTAGTGTGGAGGAGCAGGGACATCTCTGGTGAGACCTTTGGTTCTCAACTTGGGTTAGAGGAGTGGAGTACACAGGTGGCCAGGAGATGTTGGTCGGAGGGAGCGGCTGAGGTGGCCGTAAAGAGGAACAAGGTAGGGAGTGCTCAGAAGCCCTGCAAGCCAGACTGCTCTGTGGGGTTTACTGTCCCATCTTTCTCTCGACTCCCCGTTGCTTGCCAGTACCCATGGAGTAGGGGTGGCGAACCTTTCAGAGCTTTCAGTGACATGAACAGCCTACTGCTGCACACGTGCTGTAGGTTTGCCATCACTGCCGTAGCCTGATCCCTTATTTGAAATTCTTGGGGCCAGAACTGTTTTTGCATTTTGGGTTTTTGTCCCCAGATCTTGGAATATCTGTACATATGTAAAATGAGATTTCTCTGTGTGAGATCCAAGTTTAAACACAGTATTCATGTATATTTCGTATGTTCCTTACATGTCTTACGCATGTAGCCTGAGTGTTTTTAGTGTCAGTGTACTTTGACTGTGATGCTTCATGTGGCAGTGTGGCAGGCAGCATTCCAAAGGTTTGGGATTTTGTAGCAGTTTGGTATCGGGTCCTGATCTAGATCGCCCATCTCCCAAATGAGTGTACGGCAGAGGTTAAATTAAAAGAGAGAAATTGTATGATTTTTTAGGGCTTCAAGAGGGTCAAGACCCTTTAATTAAGCCCGAGACTCAGAGGGCTGAGACAGAGATTTCTCTGGACCGCCCATTTTATTTATGAGGTCCAACAACAAGGGGTGGGGAAACTGAGGAAAGTGCAGGCAATGAGCAGGACCTTGGGAGTCACTTCAAGGACGTCTCCAAGAAATGAATCAAGTCAGTTCAGTAGCTCTGTCTTATCATGAAGACATGCTAGGAGTGACTGTAGGAGTAATTTCTGCAGCTGCAGTCTTTACCTAGTTAATTAGGGTTGGAGCCAAGTGTCTGAAGCTGTGGCCTTATTTTGCCCTTTGAGGTATCCCTGACCTCACAGGCCACTATAGGCCTTAGCCAGGACCAGTGATTCATAGAGGTTCACTTACTATGAATCAGCTCCCGTCGCCAGGCAAGGTGCCTAGGCCTAGGACAGACTCACAGATAAACATAGAAAGCCAACTAGTAAAATTTAAGTCCTGCTCAGAGCTGCTTTTAATGGTCTCGAACAGTTTGGATTTTGGGTGTTTCATCAGGGATGCTGCCCGTGGCGGTGAAGCAGAGCAGCATTGGAAAGGAGGATTAGCTCTGAGGTGGCACCAGGAATTCGGGAGCCTGGGTTCCAACCCTGACTCCGGTGCTGCCAGGTTGTGTGGCTTTGGTAGGTCACACTGAGCAGTGATGTTTGCTTCTTAATCTGTAAATCAGAAGGATGGGCCAGGTCTTGTCTTTCCTCGTGGGAGCAAACCCAGAGCAGCCTGAGCCCCTTGTGAGGTGAGCAGGTAAGCGCTCTGCTGCTGACCCTGCTGCGTGGTGAGAAGAGGTCCGGTGAGCCAGATGCTGTCCTGTGTGTTCTTTGCTCACTGCTGGGCATTACACTGGTAATCGACGGTCCAAGGCTACAGTATTATCATAAAGGGAGCTGTAGGGCAGTGTGGGAATGAAAGAAAAAGAAGATCTTTTGTTTTCTTCCCTCAACACATTGAAAATAAAAAAAAAAAAATAAAACAAGACTCAGGTGCCCAGATGTTTTTAAGCCTGTAGAGAAAAGTTGAAAAGTCCTTTGTTGCAGGCCAACACCTGGTGTAACCGAAGGCCTGGTTTCTTACCCACTTGTCCTGTAGTATATACACTAATCCACAGAAAGATCCTTCTGGAGTGTAAATATATGTTATCAGATGAAGCAGCATTATGGGTTAGAAAATGAGAGTCAGCGCTTTGTAACCATTCTGCTAGGAAGTGAGAGCACTACTCACCCTCACGGGATCCCTCCTGCGTGGGAGGGAGAAAGTTCAGGAGGGCTCCGGGTGACTGCAGCTTGGACCTTCCTTTGCCAGGACTTCCCCTTTCAGGAGTTGCTGTTCTTCTCTTCCCCGGCTGCTCCCTGCAGTCTCCATGCAGATCAGAAGCAGTGTCCCTTGGATAGTGAGGCGTCCATGGCTAGGCTGGTGTGAAATTTGTTCATGAATTGCTACAGTATTCTCCTCATGTTTCCTAAAACTGGTCATTAAAATAACTTGATTCCTTCTTTTCAATAATTTCCCTGACTTCTTTGGGAAATGAGTGTGTGTACATTTTGTTACACTTTCAAATGAGTAGAGAATGCTTCTGTCACAGGTGCATACAGAAATCTGTAAGTCTGTGGCACCGAGTGTTCCTGTTTTACCCAGTGTCCTGGGTTAGGGTGTGATATGTTTGGATATTGGGTGCTTTTGAATTTTAATCACAGTTTTTGATGACTGTCTCTTTTTATATGAAGAACATTGGCCATGGAGTCAGGAGACATAGTTTCTATGCTTACTACTGCCACAAAAATATTGGAGAATCTTGGATAAATCTCTTGATGTCCTTATGGTTTATTCATGTATAAATAATGAGGGAGGATTAGATTTATGTGGTCTAAAACATAGCTTGGGGATTTCTTTTTCTTTTTGTTGAGAAAGTAGATTTTCACCCCGCCCCCACAGGTTTGCCTGCGGCCTGTCCTTCCTTCTGTGTGCTGCTAACAATATCCCTTGGCTGGTGCTGCCTGCGCTTCTGCCCTGGCTGTACTAATTTTAGTTACCCTTTTTGTTTCTGGAATTTTTTTCCATCTCTCTGAAAATGCAGAGAGTGAAAGTAGAGCCCACAAGTACACAGGCTTCCCAGCCTGGTGTCTGCTCTCCTCTGGCATTTTTTCCTCTCAAGGAAGTAGTTTGACCTTCTGAGTTAAAGTCCTGCTCCGCTGCTGCCCTGCTGTTGCAGAGTGGTGCTGTGAGCCCAGCCTTGGACACAGAGGACGGAATGGTGGCCCTGCTGCTTACAGGTCCCTGTGATATTTTGAGGCCCATCCTTTAACCGCACATTAAACCTCAGTATATCTGTATGCTTTCTTAGTATGTCTGTCCTTCTGCCCAGGGGGCTGTGAGGGTCCAGTGGTGTCATAGATCTGGAAGTACTCTCTAAAAATAAAAGTTTATGTCTGTACTGGAGTTGCTTCTGCCCCGTACGGTGTGCATCCTGAACCGATGAATTCAGCATTGGTGGAGTACTTGCTATGAGGAGAGTCAAGGGTTTATAGTTAGGTTGGGTTTATATAAAGTGTTAAATATCGCAAAGAAGGTGCAGCTGAAACTTCTGAGAAAGTTGGGGGAGGTAATTTCAGGTTAGAGGTTTTAACACCAGCTCTATAATTTTTATATTTATTTTCTAGGTCATTATGTATTTTAAAAGCTGTTCTTATACTTACTAGGCATAGTTCTTTATTACCCCACTGCCATTGGAGTTTTATTCGCAAATAGATGGATTTAGTTGTTCTGTAATGTAGCACCTTTTTTTTTTTTAAAGGTTTCTCCAATGCTTGATGTCATTTGCCAATTTTAATGGATTTAGTTCCATTTCTGTCTTCTGGTTTGAGAATGAAGATTCATAGATAAATATGGGTTAAAGATTTACCCTTTGAGATTAAAATCTCCACGGTGGGCCTTAAGATCTGATGTGTGACTTTATGGCTGTTGTACAAAGTGTTTATAGTGTGTTAAGGAGACTCCCAAGCTCTCCTGAGGAGCCCACCATACCTGCTGCTTCCCCTTAGGCAGGGCTTTTCACCCTTTTTCCTGGCCCTGTTAATCTGCAAGCTGCTGCCTCCTCTTTGTGTTGGGGCTCCTGGCTCCTCCTCTAGTGCAAACAGTGTGCAGAATGGGATTGTTATAGTTACGTTGTCAAATAGCATTCACATTGTTTTTCAGAGCGGAAGTACGCATTTATTTGTTAGATTTTGGATAGCAGAAATAGGTAGTTCTGTTAGTTTTTTGTCTGCAGATAAGATAGAAGATACAGGAGGAAATGATATAAAATATATTGAGGTCATGTTGACATTGGGATTTACCTTTATTTTCCCATTTCCCTTATAATCTGGTAAGTGGATAAAATATATGACAAGTAGAAAATATTGAAAAAATAAAAAGCCATCTTTAATCCACCACCCAGTTATAATCTCTTGTGAGCTCTTTGCCCATCTTTTTAAATACACTTGTTTAACTTCATTACCTGTATTGGTGCTGTTCAGTGTTTCCCAATGTGTTACTTCATCACAGAGCCAAAATTTGTGCATTGGAAACATCCCTTATTTCAAAAGATTTTTTTTTTTTTACACCTGTTGTGTTACTGTCTTGGTAGTTGTTTTGAAAACTTCACCTCTAATGCCAATGACTTCTGAGCGCTCCTGGTGATGCTTAGATCCTCCCAGGCAGGTATGCAAGTCTTCCTGTGCACTTCAGCTATTGCTGGAGTAGTTTGAATGGCTTTAGTAATGCACTAGCGCTGTGCATATCTGTTTTGTTGGTTTGACTTCCTAGTTGTGTTTAGTATGATTCATTGTTTGATAGACTAAAACCCAGGAATATATGTACATCTTATATGACTTTACTGCAAATAATACTTAAGGATTTTTTTTTGCCAACTGCCAAGCACATGCCACTTTTTTGCAGTTACTGTGTTAGTCCTAGATTTGCACTGGTGCCAGCCTGTCAGTCCTGACTCCAAAATCACTCTACTGTGACTCCATGTCTTTGACTCTGAAGTTACTGCCTTAGTTTAAGTTTTTTTGTTGTGTTGTAGGTGCTAGGCTACTGCCTATATTCTTGCCTCCTCCTCTTGTTTTATAATACTTTTCAGCAATTTATTTTAGCAAATTTGAAAACTACAAAAACCCAGAAGATGTCCTATAGAGACATGAGCTTTATGCTATGTGTCTTTTTATCAGTGCTGTGCATACACCAGTGTATTTGGTATAGCTTTTGAAGTTGGATCAATCTATGCATTTTAATCTTTTAAAATATTCTGTGCATATTTTACTGTATTTCTTTACTTTTTTTGGTTCTAATGTAGACACATTATGATTTATGCCTCATTGCTGATATTTCCATTTTTAGGCAGGTCCTTTGCCATGTGTTTTAGCTTTTAACATTGTATTCCTAGGGGTTGGTCTGCATTATGATAGGTTATACTAGTTGTTGTGTTAATGTATTTTTTTTCCTTCTTGTAGGGAGCGGTTTTAAATAGCTGCTGCTGCCCTGCCCCTCCTGCCTGAGGGCATTTTGTGTGTCAGCCTACATTTCCCATGATCCTCCCCTTGCCTGCAATGCACATGACAAGCAAACTTCCTGTTTCAGCCTGCCTACATTACCCATAATCCTCTCCTGCTTACATCATATAACTAAATGTGACGATGACCTATCAGATTAAGCCTTCTTCCTGCCTATGGCCTGCCCCCACCCTATATAAGTTGTAACCATTTTAAAAATAAAGGAGACTCGATTGGAATCTCATCCTGTCTCCATCTCTCTTTTCTCTTGTCCTGCCCCCATCCCCGATCCCCTCTCCAGGTTGAGACCCATAGATTGATCCGCAGGCCGGGTCACCTTCTCTCTTTAAAAGGCAATGTGGCTTTAGATAATCTGCAGATAAAAGAAAATGCTCTGGTAAGTCTTTTTTAAAACTACGCTAATAACTCAGTTAATTTGGTTACTGGGCATCTGGTACCAGGTACCATATAAAGTGATTGAGTCATTTTATTTAATGACAATGATTTTCCATTAGGAAATCTCAGATTAAAAATACAGAAAAAAATTTCTCCTAATGATCAAGATAGTATCTTTTGGAAAGTGGAACTTTTACATAACCTAACTTGACTATAACATCATAGTCTACATTTTTCTTCTGAATTATCTTTACACGTTTTTCAACTAAATAAGGGCTTGACTTTAACAACTATGTAATGAATTATAGTAGTCTGGCATTATAAAACAGTAATAATAAGAAAAAAAGAATTTTTTTAAAAAATAAGAATTTAAAAAAAAATACTAACTGCAGAAAATAATTTTTGTCCCTTACTGTGGAGCAAGCAAAACAATTTTTCTCCTATCCCATTTGCTTTCTATTTAGTTTGTTGGGTTAAATTTACATTTATGAAGTCACTTCATCACATTTTCAGGTTCCTAATTTCTAGTTAATAATATCTTTCTGCATTGGTTTAATCATCTTTAAATCACACTTTATTATTTATTTATTTGTCTTTTTGAGACAGGATCTTGCCATCTCTTTCTGACTGGCCCTGGGCTCACATTGTAGCCCAGACTGGCCTCTAATTTACAACAATTTTCCTGCCTGAGCCTCAGGAGTGCTGGGATTATAGGCACGTATCACTACGCCCAGCTAAAGCACAATTAATTTATAGCATTAAAATACCTGTGTTTGTGGCTTGAATAAGATGAAAAATGAACTGGAGGGCTGGGGATTTAGCTCAGCGGCATAAGCACCTGCCTTGCAAGCAGGCGGTCGTGAGTTCGATCCCTGGTACGGATAAAAAGTTAAAAAAAAAAAAAGAAAAATGAACTGGAAAACTGTGGGTCCTCAGAATATTTGGATCTTTTTTCCTGTGTTTATATGGCACATCACAACTTTTAAATTTTGTCCAAAAACTTGAGTTATTTTTGTATTGTTAGAGATTGGAATAAAGCTTACTTTTCTCAGTTTATGTCAATATTTTATAAAAACATAAGTATAAATAGAATTATGAGCATAGAAAACAAATTGAATTCTTAGCCTAAGTTGAAGAATGTATCTTTAAAATTTTTTTATTTATTTATTAAATATGAGACAATTATTTAGTTAGTTTTTTTTTAAGTTACTGTTTTAGTTACTGTGTGAGATAACTTCCTTTTCTTGTTCTAGCATTTCAAACTATGTCTGTGTGTTTAAGTTAATGGAGCTTATATTTGATTTGATTTATTAGGGCAAATTAACCAATTTATCCACTTCCATTTTTAAACTACAAGCTGTTTAAATTTTTCTTATTAATAGTTTTCCATGTGAATTTTTTATGCAGAGTCAAAGTTCAGTAAAGATTTTTTTCTTTTAAAGCTATAAACCCTTTTCTGAATTACTGAAATACGGAAAATGCATTATTTATTTTTTTCTTTAGAGGGTACTGTATTTCTGTATATACGTGATACTAGAGTAACTTTTTGGGGCTTAATAATGTGAGATGTCCTTTAAATTTCTCTTTTTTCCTGAAGAGTGAATTCGACGTTCCTTTTAAAGTCAAGGCTCGGCAAATTGGTAAGTACTTAACTTTTTGTATGAATTATTATTATTCCTTTGTTTTTTATTTTTTTGCATTACTTAAACTAAGAAATGGTGTTAAGCTTGACCAAAAGTGTGAGAAATTTTTGTCTTCCATTAGTGCTTATAGAGTTCTGAACTTAATACACATAACATATAAATAATACCTACCTGAATGTTTTGGCAGAAGGGTAGAAGTTACCCTCCAAGGTGAGGGGACATTTAAACTGCGTCTGTGCTCTTCAGGCTTGGCTCCGCTGCATAAATACAGCATTGGCTTGACTATAGATATCCACCTTGTGTAAGCTTTTCTTTGTTTGTGAAAGTAGTATAATTCATAAACTATTAATAAACTTTAAATGCAGCTTATTTCCCTCACGTTTTGTTCAACCATTTTCGCTTGCTGTATTACACAGCAGTGTGGTACGGATGCTATGTTTTGGTGAGTATGGGGTCTTTCTCTTTGCAGCTAAATTTTTTTTGTTTGATTTCTGGAATCGAACTCAGGGCCCTTGCACTTGCCAGTAGGGTGCTGTGTCGCTGAGCTATATCCCTGGCCCTGCAGCTAAATTCTTACACTTAGACCATACACAGCTAAGTATATGATTTTCAATAGGAAGTTTAATCTACAAAGTTCTCCCAACTAATCCACACTATTGGAGATGTCTGTCTGTCAATCTATCCATCCATCTCTACACCCACACTTGATTCCTTATTTATACTGTAGAATCTTCACTTTTGCCATATCCGTCTATATCCCAGGAGTGTATCACACTGCTGCTTCTCTTCATTTGGTACTCAAGGTTTGAGAAGGCTTTGTTTTTCACTACTCCAGTGTCTTAGTAATTACTTACTTATTCGGGTCCATTTTTATGTGTCCTGTTAATGTAAAGGAATGTTTTCATGTTTTTTCACATTGGAAATAAGAGTCCCTTATTTTGGAAATATCTCAAGTACATGTGTCACCTTTTTTGTTTGTATTTTAAGTAGCATTGACTATTGTTGTGCTCTTTAGCACTGCTTGAGAAGTATTGTTGTTGAGGCCGTATGCTTAATGAAATCCAGAGTGTAGAACTTACAGCCATTTATTCATCCTTTTACTTTACATACATGTGCTAAATCCAAAACTCTGCCAATAGTTGTGGGAGAGGCTAGGGTAAATGTGGTATGTTTGCCTTCAAGGAAGTTACAGAGATCTAAGATTGGGACATAAGTTAAAATTGCATTTCTAGTATATTGGATGAGTTATACTGACATATGTTATATAGCTAACATATTTTATGTTATTCAAATTTTTTTTTTTGGTACCCCAGGGGTCGAACTCAGGACCTCATGCTTGCCAAAGTGCTTATGCTACTGAGCTAAATCCTTGGCTACTCAAATATTCTTACAAGGAGATTTGTATGTTGGAATAAGTTTTCTCATGATTTAAAATTTGTTCTGTTTTCTTTTAACGTGCCATGAGGACTTATACCTTTTCCAGGATTATTCATTGAGTATTGAGAAGGCCATTACATATTAGGATATAAAGTATATTTTATTTTTATCCTTTTCTGGTTTATGGAGTGTTTATATAAGTTATTAAATTTCTGTTCAGGGTTAAAATATTGTACCTAACTTGTAGAGTCAGTGTAGCTAAGTAAGCTGAAACATGGTTTGATTTTCTAAGAGCTAATCATATCTGTGAGCGACTCTAGGTTGTCCTTGTACTTAAATTAAAACAAAGTTCTTATCTCTGAAAGGAGGGGATAATACAACTAGCTGAGTTCCAGGACCTTCTGGAGGGATGAGGGCAATGAGTTAGGACAGAGGGAAGAAGAGGTGTAGGACATAAGCAGTCCTTTGTGGATATAGCACCTAGAGGAGCGCTTCCCAGTCTCGGTCTTCTGCTAGGAAGGCAGTCAGATACATTTTGTTATGAGATTGTGAGATGATTGCAAGTAATATGTGTATGGTAGTATCATGTATGCATTTGGTACCACAAGATTGTCAGAGGTGACTAGAAGCGCGGTGGTCTTAGCAGATCCCCTGCCTCAGAGCCCCTTAGAAACTCAGCACGTTACCAGCCAGAAAGAAATGGCGGGTATTTCTGGCTGAGTGCTGCAACCCGGCAGGACAGTCTGCATTCCAGATACTACTTTATTCCCTCTTCAGGTCACTGCATTCTTTATCAGTTCTTTGAACTTTGGGCATCTTCAATTACAAATGCCATTGATTCTTGTACTATGGCTTAGTGTGAGTTGAAAGATTCTTTTCTGCTGAAAGTCTTGGTCAGCAGTACTGAGAGAACTGTAGATGTTATATCATTATTTTTAAAAAGTTATGAGGAAGGAAGGTATTTATTTTTGGAACATAAAAAGCAGGGATAGGAAAGATGTGGGCAGGATTGTTACTAATACTACTAAGGGGAGACTGGGCCATGGCTGCATGGAGACCTGGACAGGTAGATACAGAAGGAGACAGGATGAAGGAGGACATGGGAGAAAATACCCAAAACAGATTTTGTCCATTTCAGAATTTAGCTTTCTTCTCTGCCTTTTGCCCTGCATACCTTTCTCTGGGAATTTCATGGGCTCATCTTTGAAGGACCTGACATTAATGACCTGTGTCCAAAAGAACAAATGTATTCTGCCTCCCAGTGGTTTGTAAATACAAGTTAGGAGTATAAATGGTCTGAGTCGTGTAACACTACTAACATCATAGCATTATTGATAAAGTAATTTATCTTGCCTTTAGAGCTACCCTCTTTTCATTGTGGCGGTTCAGTCCCCTGGGGCTCCTTGCTGTGTTGTGCTTTAGCTCCTGGCATCTTGCGCAGATACCATTTTACACTTGGGCTCTGGAGAGTCAGTGGCTGATATGAGTGGACGCGCATGGGTCTGCCCGCAGGGTTCTGGGTGCTCTCTCATGGGCTGCAAGGATTTGGGACAATTTAACCTCTCCCAGACCGAGTTTCCTCTGTTAAAAAACTGAAGGAGTAGCTGCTTCATTTCTCTTATCATTTTAGAATGTCAAATAAGAACTAGCAAGAAATTTGACAAATATAAAGAAGTTTGCTTCTACTAGTAGTATTATATGGAAAAAAGCTTTTAAATGCTAGTGTTGCAATTTTCCTGAGTAATAATGTATGCATGAAGAATTTTAATGATACTTTTAATGAAAAGTGAGAAATTTTTCTCTTATTGAGCAGTGAAACAAGGACTTAAGATTGAATTATGTTTCTGTAGGTAAATTAGCTTTGAAGATTCCTTGGAAAAACCTTTATGGAGAAGCAGTTGTTGCGACTCTAGAGGGATTGTATCTGCTTGTTGTCCCTGGAGCAAGTATGTTTTAAGTTATAACAATTCAGTGATATCATAGGGATATTAAATTGTTGTCTGGGTTAAATATCTAATGTATTTAGTAAGGTACGAATATGTATACATAAATAGCCACATTTGTGTGTATAATGTCTTATTATTATAAAGAATATATGCAGTGTTTTAAATTCTATTCTCTGAGTAATTATTTTGCATCTAATCTTTCTGTTAAGATGCTTTAGGCAAATTTATTAGGAAACGAAATGTAATAAATTGTTAAAAGTGTACTGATATGTTAATTTGCCCATTTCAAGATAAGAAAATTTATTCTTTATTCTATTTCACTGCTTCTGATTTTAAGTAAATGTTTTTTCAAAAATTTGTGTCAACATAGGTAAATTTTTAAGCAAATTGCATTATTTTAATTTTAGTGAATTTCTTTGAAATATTATAGTTTAACATCTTTAGTTAATTTTTTCCACTTGAAGAGTGTGATAAGAAAAATTTGGATGTTTTAGGATAAAATTACTTAATAATTTTCTAATCATAGTACAGATACAAATTTCAGTTTTGTATTTTGCTTACAAAGTTTTATTATATACATTATAAACCTTTAAGTAGCAGCAGCATTGACCTGTCTTTTATGTAAGATACGACATTTTTATGTAGTTTGTAGTTTGTCTAGTAGTAGTGACAATTTTGAAAGGCCGTAATGTGTTCCATGGTGTGCTAATGTTTGATCACCATTATAGCGAACCTTGTCGATATCTTTTTTTTACAAATCTTTTAATGTGTGCTTTTACTTTATTTCCTTAAGATACATCATCAGAAATGAGATTTCCTAGACAAAAAGGGTATATATTTTATGATTGTTGACACATATTCCTGAATTAATTTCTGAAAGCCTTTTTATCCTTTTACATTGATATCAGGTGGTATTGGATGGGAAATCATTTTTGTAGTTACTGAAAATTTTTCAGTAATTGCCAGTATTCTCAGGTATTTCTGTCTTCAGTTTCTCTTTTTATGTATCTGTATAGCCTTTTCCCTCTTTCCCTTTTTTATCTTTGTTTCTTTTTGTCACTTCTTCGCTCTTTTCCTTTCTTGGTTATGGTTTATAAATCAATAGAAATCGCTTATATTTAAGTATTTTGAGAAACTAAAGGATACAAAAGTGTTTTTGAACTTAAAAAATATATTATGTTACACATTTGTAGTAAGTTTGAACTTTTCACATTTATTTATTGATTCCATTTCTTTTGTGTGATTAACTACACATTTTTAGGTATTAAGTATGATTCTGAGAAAGAAGAAAAATCCTTGCAGGATGTTAAACAGAAAGAGCTTTCCCGAATTGAAGAAGCCCTTCAAAAAGCAGCAGATTAGGGTAAGTAAGTTTATGTTTTAGATAACTTAAGCCTGATATATAATGCATACTATAGATATATTTAGTGTTTGTAAAATTTGTTTTACTTGACAAAATAGAGTGTTGCTCACTGTCATGTAAAAAAAAAGAAACTTTGATTTTATTTCTAGAGAATTGGCTTCCTTGTAGAAATGATTACTTTTGTCCTTTTGTTTTACCATATCAGTTTATATTCCCCAGAATATGAAATTCCTGATAATAACAGAAAACTCCTAAATTTTAGATTCTGTATTTAAAATGTTAATTCTGTCAAAGTACTATATAAATATACCCTGAAAAATCCAAAGCTTTGCCAAAAAAGACTTATGATAAGAAAAGGCAGCTTGGCTTTCAACATTTGCTGCTCTTCAAACCCCCTCCTGAGAGGGAATCACAAGCCTGAGCAGCAGACACTCTGCTGTTGTGCAGCTTATTAGTGGAAGGCTGGCAGGCATTGGCAAGGACTCCTGCTGTGGTGAGTCAAGGAGTTTACCTCTGTTACTGCCTCTTCTAACCTGCATTGCCTTCTTCCTTATCCCATAATATGGATGCATCATAACTTTGGCAATTTCTGGTTAGTACTTACATTACTATGACAATATTATTGTGCACTGCATAGGTTAAATAATGGATGGTGGTCATGTGTCCTTCCTTCTGTAGTCATTTTTCTTGCATTGTAAATGCTTTTTATTTGCCTAGTCTTCTATGTATACTTTAAATTTTTCATGTTATGTGAAATTGATCTGTTATATGACTGTGAAAATTGTTTTCAGGTTGTCTTTACCCATCTCTTGGTCCTCTCCACCTCTTTTTCATGAAGTTTTCCCTTTGAACTGTTGTGTTTTTTGTAGCACTAGGTGTTGACTCCAAAGCCTTTGGTTGAGTAGGCATTATGCTGTACCGCTGAGCTCCACTGCTGGCCTTGAACTGTTTCCTGTTTCATTCTATTTTGTTTTTTAAAGGCTTGTTATATACTTGTCTTCCTCGACACTGTTCTTTGTTGCTCTTTCGCATTTAATTAACTATATCTAGTTCTCTTTCCGTTTTTCTGTCTTTGCTTTCCCATACTCCTGTTATGGGTGTTGTCATTAAGAGACATTTAGTAGCTTTTAATGTAATTTTGTAAAATTTTTAAGTCTAAATGTTGTTTTATTTTACTTCTAGCCTTGTGTATTTTGCCTAGGGATTAAACCCTAGGTAGAAAATCAAGAATTTGAAGGATGCTTTTGAGAAGTCAAATGTCAGTCTGCTTACACATTGTTGGAAACGTAAAACTTAGAAAATTATTATATCCTCTTGTCAGGGATCTTACATTTGATTTGGACAGAGAGGCAGTTGTATAAAGATAAGCAGGAGAAAGTGTGTTGCATCCTGATTAAAAGGTGCAGGCGTTAGGGCAGCTGAGAATTGGACTTATCATGTGCAGCACAAGAGATTGGGGCAGAAGGTGTCGTGTTGTTTACTTCAGCTAGCTGTGAAGAGTGCAGAAGAGTAAGAGGTGTAGGGAGCGGTTTTGAATAGCTGCTGCTGCCCTGCCCCTCCTGCCTGAGGGCATTTTGTGTGTCAGCCTACATGATCCTCCCCTTGCCTGCAATGCACATGACAAGCAAACTTCCTGTTTCAGCCTGCCTACATTACCCATAATCCTCTCCTGCTTACATCATATAACTGAATGTGACGATGACCTATCAGATTAAGCCTTCTTCCTGCCTATGGCCCGCCCCCACCCTATATAAGTTGTAGCCATTTTAAAAATAAACGAGACTCGATTGGAATCTCATCCTGTCTCCATCTCTCTTTTCTCTTGTCCTGCCCCCATCCCCGATCCCCTCTCCAGGTTGAGACCCATAGATTGATCCGCAGGCCGGGTCAAGTGGCGACCACGAAGGGACCTCACCTGGCACGAGGGATAACGATGTGGGACCGTTCACAGGAGTAAAGCGCTGGCCAGCGTGACTGATTCAAGGACATCGTTCCTGTGATCTGTGCAGACGGCCACCTTACGTCTCGCCTGAATCACGGTAGGTGAACGGCATTAACATGGGACAAGCACTCAGTGAGCACGAATTGTTCGTGACTGGCCTCAGGGAGGCTCTCAAGATTAGAGGGATTAAGGTTAAGACAAAGGAACTAATAAAGTACTTTCAGTTTATACATTCAGTGTGTCCATGGTTCCCCCTAGAGGGTACGATTAATTTGAACAGGTGGAATAGAGTAGGAGATGCTCTTAAGGACTATTATAAAGTTTTTGGTCCAAAAAAGTTTCCTATAACTGCTTTTTCATATTGGACTTTAATCTCTGAGCTGCTGGCACAACGTCACGCAGATCCCCAGCTCGCGGAGACGCTTGCCCAGGGTGAGGCTGCGTTAGCTGCCTCCCACAATTGTACTCCGCCACCACCGGTCTTATCTAAGGCACCCAGCCCTCCCAGCTCTGTTGTCCTTGAGATCCCGGAGCCTGTTCAAGATGGCGATGTGCCGACACTCCCTTTGTCTGGAGACCACGAGGGTCCTCAAAATGGCGCCGCCATGGTCCCTCCTCCATACCGCCCTATTTACCCTGACCTTTCCAGTGGCCAGGAAGTTGATTGGTCACAATTAGCAGAAGAGGCTGCCCAATACCATTCCCCACCGGGATTTATGGCCCTCTTCCCAAGGGCACTTGTGGGTTAATTCTTGGACGTGGCAGTACAATATTAAAAGGGTTACAAGTTGTTCCAGGAGTCATAGATAACGACTATACTGGCGAAATTGTTGTCATGGCATCCTCTATCTCTGGCCTAGTTTCCATTAGCCAAGGACAATGTATTGCTCAGTTGGTGCTGCTGCCTTTAGTTCAAACTTCTAATGCAGCTGTGGCTTCCTACAGGGGAAATTCCTCCCTTGGATCCTCAGATATATACTGGGCTCAATTCATTTCCAAAGATAAACCCCTTATGGCTTTATTGCTTAATGGGAAAAGTTTCTCAGGGCTCATAGATACAGGTGCTGATGTAACAGTCATTAGAAAGGAGGACTGGCCTCCCACATGGCCCTTAGAAACCACTATGACGCATTTACAAGGGATTGGACAATCGAAAAATCCACAACGTAGTGCCAGTCTACTTACCTGGAAATATAAAGAAAACAATCAAGGACACATACAGCCCTATATTGTAGAAGGGCTGCCCCTTAACTTGTGGGGCAGAGATTTGCTACCTCAAATGGGAATGATGATGGGCAGTCCCAATGCTGTAGTCACCAAACAAATGCTCACTCAGGGCTTCCTTCCTAATCAAGGTTTAGGCAAACGAGGCTCAGGCATTAAAGTGCCTATTTCCCCAACTCCAAACCCCTCTAAAGCAGGCCTAGGCCATTTTCAATAGGGGTCATTGACCTTCCCGCGGCCCATGCAAAAGAGATTACTTGGTTATCAGACAAACCTGTTTGGGTTGATCAGTGGCCCCTTACCTCTAAAAAGCTCGCAGCTGCACAGCAGCTGGTGCAGGACCAGTTAGATGTGGGCCACATTGTCCCCAGTGATTCCCCTTGGAACACACCCATCTTTGTTATTCGAAAAAAGTCAGGGAAATGGAGGCTGCTACAAGACCTTAGGGCAATAAATAAGACCATGGTCTTAATGGGACATCTGCAGCCAGGACTCCCTTCACCCAGTGCCATTCCTCTGGGATTTTTAAAAATTATCATTGATCTTAAAGATTGCTTTTTTTCTATTCCCTTACATCCAAATCCAAAATACAATCAGTCCACTACAGATCCTGTTACTACTGTTCAAATAACTACAGTAAGTCCCTCAGCCATAACAGTTTCTCAAGCTCCACTACACCAGGCAGATCATAAACCTGCCCCTCAATATTCACATTCTAACCTGTTCAGTTTGATTAAAGGAGCATACATGGCTTTAAATCATACCCAACCTGATCTCACCCAATCATGTTGGTTATGCTTGGCTGCTCCTCCCCCATATTATGAAGGAAAGGCCCTCAATTTAACCTTTATCAGTTCTTCTAGCTCATCTGCCTGTGATTGGGACAATCACCACAAGCTGACTCTCCCTGACGTCTCAGGTAGAGGAACTTGTCTTGGGGACTCCAGCTGTCCACCAGCACTGGCAGCACAACTCTGTGCCCAGCTTCATTCCAAATTCAAGCCAAATAATTACCTCATTCCACCCCCAGGAACGTCTTGGGCCTGCAATTTTGGCCTATCACCCTGTATAGCAACTGCTGTTTTTAACAAGTCTACAGATTTTTGTGTTCTTGTACAGGTTCTTCCATGCATAACCTTCCACCCAGGAGACTACTACCTCCAGGCATCGCAGATCAGCTATATATCTAAGAGAGAACCTGTGACATTCACCTTAGCTGTGTTACTAGGATTAGGAGTAACAACGGGAATAGGGACAGGGACCACAGCTCTAGTGTTGGGAAATAAGCATCTAGCTCAATTACAGGCAGCAGTAGATCAGGATTTAAAAGAAATAGAAGCATATGTGACAGCTCTACAGGCGTCCCTGACGTCTCTATCTGACGTAGTCCTACAAAATAAAAGAGGACTAGACCTCCTATTTATGAAGGAGGGTGGTTTATGTGAAGCCCTCAAGGAAGAGTGTTGTTTTTATGCTGACCACTCGGGAGTAGTCAAAGAGTCCATGAGTAAACTGAGAGAGCACCTCGAAGAGAGAGAGAAAAGGAGCGCATCGGAGTAACCACCTTCTCCTCCATGTGGGAGGATCTCTCCCCTTACATTGCCCCCCTCTTGGGACCCCTAGCTGCCTTGCTGTTGCTGCTTACTGTAGGACCTTGTATTTTTCAGAGGATCGTGACACTCATTAATAACGTTAATAACAAGGTTGACACATTTATGGCAAAGCCCATTCAGGTATATTACCATTGGTTGGAAATAGCAGAACAACAAACTTATCGGGAAAATTCACCCACTGACGGCCCACATGATGCTGTGGCCCAGACGCCCTGAGGCACTGGACAGGCAGTCAGAGACGGGCAACTAGGACACATATGTAATGCCAATCGGCCACCTAAGACAGGTCCAGGACCAAGAGCTGTCCTGCAGGCCCATGACAGGTAAGGCTCGATTGGGTTCATATGAGGAGTCCTTGACCCAAGACAGGCGCTGTCCTCCCAGGGCCTGCCATGTTCCAAAAAATATATATAATAATAAGGGAGGAGATGTAGGGAGTGGTTTTGAATAGCTGCTGCTGCCCTGCCCCTCCTGCCTGAGGGCATTTTGTGTGTCAGCCTACATTTCCCATGATCCTCCCCTTGCCTGCAATGCACATGACAAGCAAACTTCCTGTTTCAGCCTGCCTACATTACCCATAATCCTCTCCTGCTTACATCATATAACCGAATGTGACGATGACCTATCAGATTAAGCCTTCTTCCTGCCTATGGCCCACCCCCCACCCTATATAAGTTGTAGCCATTTTAAAAATAAAGGAGACTCGATTGGAATCTCATCCTGTCTCCATCTCTCTTTTCTCTTGTCCTGCCCCCATCCCCGATCCCCTCTCCAGGTTGAGACCCATAGATTGGTCCGCAGGCCGGATCAAAGAGGGGAGAGTGAGGGTGGGAAGGTGTGTACTGCCTGTGATGGTTAGGGAGCTGCATAGGGTGTGGATCCCTGGAAGGCTGGGAAGCTAATTTAGGGTAATTTTAAGAGGTTGGAAAGCCTCAGTGATGCAGGCATTCTTCGGAGTACTTCATATGAGTTAGCTCAGTGAATTGTTCCCAACCAGCAGTTCAGGTACTGTTGCCATCTGTTTTAGAGTTGAGGAAGCTGAATGTTAAATCATTTGCTGCGTATGACACAATGAGAAAATGGTAGCTCTAGAATTTTAATATACTCTGACTCTAGATTCTGTATTCTTTTTTTTTAATGCTAGGAATCAAACTCAGGACCTTGTGCTTGCCAGGCAGATGCTTGTGCTACTGAGCTATATCCCTAGCTAGATTCTGTATTCTTAATAGTGAACTTCAATCTGCGGCCAGCAGGGAGCTAAATTCTCCTTTTGCCTTCTTTAAAAATCCAAAGAGGGGGTGGTGAGCCCTAAGGATTCTGACATTGTGTCTGAAAGCAGATCCTACCAATTTAAATGAGGACATTTCCGCTGACTCTGAAATTAGTGTTAAATATCACTTTTCTGAAATGGGCAAAAGAGCAGGCAAAGAGAACCAAAGGAATAGATTATTTTGTTCCATTTGAAAATTTGTAAAATATTTCAGTAGTATTTGCCTGTCTTGCTTAATTTGATTGTCACAGTTTTGATTAAGAATTTTTACTTTAATACTACGAAAATGCAGTTTGTATGTGGAAAGAATAAAAATGATGTCACTGTAAGTATTTCTTCAGAAGTAGATGGTTTGGTGTCATTGAATTTCAGTTGTCCTGTGAATGGTTTCTAATTCTCTTTGCAATCAAGGTTAGGTGTATTTTACACGTGGAAATTAAAGTTGTCTTTTAATGCTTTGCGTTTTGGTTATTGCTGCCATGTGGATACAGGTACACATTCAGGACAGTTCATATATGGCTTGGAAAACTTGGTTTACAAGGACGTCAAGCCTGGTGGGTATGCATGGTTAATTATTTTCAACTGTAAAAGTTATACTCTTATCCATGCTTGTGCTCTTAGAGGAGTCCATTTGATGGTGTGCCATCCTTTGAAAAATATGGAAATGTAATTCATACCTTTCCCTTTACCATCGTTTCCTTTTTCCTACCTTCTCCAGCCATTGATTCATTCACTAAACATTTGATTATCTCTTTGTGGCAAGCATGATGCTGGGTGCCAGTTGTTCAAGGTAAACAGGCACAGTTCCCTGCCCTTGTGAAACTCCAAAGTTTGATCTGTCGGTCACTGTGAAATTTATACTGCCTTTGGGATTTTAGTTTTCTAGCACAGTAGTCCAGTTTCTCAATTAAGTCCCTCCTCTCTCTTTAGCAGTGGTTTTCAAGCTTATGAAAGAAACAAAATGGACTTTTCAGGGTGGGGGGAACAGAACTATATTCAGAATTCTGATAGAAGGTCATCATGGCATTTTTTCTGGTATTCTCCCTGATCTGTTTGGCTTTAGAGGTAGTTCTGGGGGGTCTGTAGCCTACTGTTATGTAGAGCACGTTGATATTCAAAGCTTCATAAGGACAGATTGAAGGTTGCCCTATCAAATGCAATTATTTTAATACCATAATTTGATTTATTGCATTTTGTACTTTAAAAGTGTAAAGAATTTGATATATTACCCGCACTTAAAATTTAGTTTGATGAAATGGCAAGCGGGCTCTGTAACTCAAATTTTAGACAAAAAGCATTGTGCTAGAATTACTTCTGCACCTAGAAACTTGTTTAATATGTAGGTTCATTGTGACAGTTGGAAAAAGAATTTGCTTGGCAGATTCACAGCATTAAGTGAAATTACCCAGAAAGCACATTTCCTTGTAGCAAATCTACCCTTTTAGTTCGCTAACTATGTTACTTTGTTTTAGCTACTTTTATGTAAAAGGCAGCATGCAGATGAATATGGCTGTCTGTCCAGTTTAATAGGTTGTGGTTTTCTGTAGTCTGCTGCACAGTATTTTTTAATCTTTCTAGGTATGACCCATCCCCAATGTACAAATGAGTACTAGTGGCCCAGTGAGATATCTCACAAAATCCCTGGGTGCTATTGTTAAAAGCAGTGGAGAAGTCATTATAAAGGAACACCTAATGGATTTGGTTTTCTTCTTCCTTTGTAATGTGCATTACTTTGGATAAAAAATGAGATCCAGAATATTGATGATTCTGAAATGGGAACAGTTAATTTTGTTGATGATATTTTCATTCACTTACCCAGGAATTCCTGTGTACTTCATGATTATTTCTTTTCAGTTTCCAAACATATGTTCTTTCCCCTTTTGGTGTCAGTTTTTTTTTTTTCTTTTCTGATTCTAAGACAGTGGTTCTTCAGAGTCAAAAGCATTTTCGTAATCATGCTAAGATATTGCTTGATTTCGCACAGTGTCGGACATTTGCCCTGTTGGCACAAATGCGATAGTAAATTGCTGGCTCATGGTTCAAGGCAGGGCACCCTGCTGCGTTGGTAGTGGCTGTGTTCTTTACCACCTTGCCTTTTCAGTATTAACATTTTTCTTAAAGTAGGAAAATTACAATTTTAATAAACTGCAACTTTGATCACATGTCTCTTTAATGTCATATGCAACAAAAGAGCAAGTGTACTTAAGGGGTAGGTCTGAAGAAAGTGTTCATGCAGTTGGGTTGCCTTTTTTAATGGAAAATCATGTTTACCTGAAAAAATAATTGACGGATTATCATTATTCAGATTTGGGAGTTGTTCGATGGAACAAAGTAACTGAGGAATACTTTAAGAGTTTTGAAAACCTTACACTTGCTACTTTGAGCTTGACATTTCTTAATACTTAGAAGACTTTTCTGATGAGACTGTTGGTGATAGTAACTGATAGGACTTTGGATATTAAATAAGGAAATGACCCAACATTGGACAGGTTTGCACAGTTCAGATAAGCAACATTTCCAAATGCACTAGTAATGAATAGAAATAAATCATTTAAAAGGTTAAAGTGCAGAGCAAACCAATTGATTTTAATGCTAGTGAAAAGTTCATTGATAATGTTTTAGATTTCATGAGACAACTGCCTTTAAGAGACTACCACTTGGAATGTTGTATTCATAATTACTTGGAAAGGTCATGAAAATATTTGTCTTTCCCATTGTGTATCTGTAGTGAAATGATGTTTTTGCCATATCCTTCAGTCAGAACAACGTATCTCAAAAGATTGAATTAGAGGCGACACATGAATCCAGCTGTGTCGTGAGCCAGCTGTTTTTTTTTTTTAATTTAAGAGGAAAAAGAGAAAAACACAAAACAAAACAAAGCAGTGTAAGGTTACACATAATACAGAACTACAAAAAAAAACATAACAGTAAGAAATCACCTGTTAATAGATTACATATTATCATCTTGGAAATAGTTGCTCAAATCACAGTATCAAAGAATACAAAGTAGACATTCAAACAGAGAGACTGCAAACAGCTGTGTTCAATGATCCAAAAACATTAATATAGTCAGCTAATTTAACATCCCTAAACACACTTGCTGTTATATCCGTTAGAGCTCTTTTTTTTTCCCTCCCTCTCTTTTTTACAACAAAATTTACACATTTTGGATTTTATTACTCCTTAGTTCTTATTACTTTTTTGTGGGGGGGAGAGAATAAAGTCAAATATGGCAAAACAAAGCTGTCAGTCAAAACCAAGGATAGACATAGCACATGATGTAGAACAGAGTACAAGGTTATTAACAATGGTTATCAACATTGTCTCTTGTTTCCTTAAAAGGAATTGTCTATCTCATTAGATATTATAAAGTTGGACAAAACAGTGGAGAACAAGACCAATAAAACTTAGGCATTGTGAACATTACAGGACTTCCAAAGGAGACAATAGTCAAACCAGAATGGGCATCTTTGTGAATCTTATTGCCTTCAAATTAGTTGCCTATACCTTCAAACTTGCTACTATCGCACAGAATGGACCAGAGTCTAATCAGTCAAAACAAGATCTTGGGAGTATTACAGGACTTCAAAACAAGTTAATAGGAGATCAAAAAGAGTTACTACTATATATCCTAATTTTTTAAATTTTTCCCTTAATTAAAATAAACATAAGAAATAGCTAAATAATTTTTTTAAAGAATAGTAGTTACCATAGTGTCTGTCTTTTTCCTTAAAATATTTGGATAAAACTTCATATACTATAGCTTCAAATATTTCCATATCAAAAAGCCCAGAATAAAGCCTTTCTAATTAATAAGTGAAAATTTTATAAGGCTTCAAGGCCACATAATGGGGAATCATGATTATCACATATTTTTATATATTTGAATCATTACTTACATTAGGGAAACTATTCGGTATTCATACATGCGAGATTGATTTATTTCACTTATGAGTATGGTCTCAAGCTGCGCCCATTTATTGATAAATATCTCAATGCGATCCTTCTTTATAGCTGAATAATACTCCATTGTATAGAAATACCACAACTTTTTTATCCATTCCTCAGTTGATGGACACTTGGGTTGTTTCCAAGATCTGGCGATTACAAATTGTGCTGCTATAAACATAGGTGCACATATATCCCTGTGGTATGATGCTTTCAGTTCTTCTGGGAATATGCCTAGAAGTGGAATAGCTGGAATAAATGGGATTTCCAATCCCAACTTTTTGAGAAACCTCCAGACAGACCTCCACAAAGGCTGTACCAGTCTACACTCCCACCAACAGTGCAGGAGAGTTCCTTTTTCCCCACAGCCTCTCCAGCATTTGTTGAGCATTTTTTCATGTATTTATTTGCCATTTGCATTTCTTCATCTGAGAATTGCGTATTCATCTCAGATGCCCATTTTTGGATTGGATCTTTGAATTTTGGAGGTCTGAGTTTTTTAAATTCTTTATATGTTTTAGACAAGAGTCCCTTGTCTGAGAGAGAGTTCACTAAAATCTTTTCCCAGTTTGTGGGTTTTCTTTTCACTATGCTGGAGATTTCTTTTGACATGCAAAAACTTTTTAATAAGAAGTGGTCCCAGTTATTGATTCTGGGAAGTATTTCCCGTGCAGTTTGAGTCCTATTCATGAATTCTCTACCTACTCCTATGTCTCCAAGGTTTCTATCCAATTTGTCTTCCAATAGATTTAGCGTTTCTGTTTTAATATTCAGATCTTTGACCCATTTAGATTTTAATTTAGTACATGGTGATAGACATGGGTCTAGCTTTAGTTTTCGGCAAATGGAGAGCCAGTTTTTCCAGCACCATTTATTAAAGAGACTGTCGTTCTTCCAGTGAACCTGCTTGGCTCCTTTATCAAAGATAAGGTGGTTGAGTGTGTTTGTAGTTGTGGTTGTATCTTCTAATCTATTCCATTGATCTTCAGCTCTGTTTTGATTCCAATACCATGTTGATTTTACTACTGTTGCTTTGTAGTATAATTTCAAGTCAGGGATTGTGATGCCTCCTGCTTTGTCTTTGCTGCTTAGAATTGCTTTTGCGATTCTAGGTCTCTTCTGGTTCCAGATGAAATTTAGGAGTGATTTCTCTAGATCTATAAGGTATGTTGATGGTATTTCTATTGGGATTGCATTGAATCTGTATAAGAGTTTTGGGAGAATGGCCATCTTCACAATGTTTGTTCTTCCTATCCATGAGCAAGGGATGTCTTTCCATTTTCTGAGATCATCTTCAATTTCCTTTTTCAGTGTAATATAGTTTTCACTGTATAAGTCTTTCACTTCTTTCGTAAGAGTAATTCCTAAATATTTCATTTTTTTGCTTTATTAGCAAGCAAAAAAAAGAGCCAGTTGTTAAAAGGGTTGTAACCGTGTGACTCTTTCTCACTCCAAGTTTTTGTTTAGGAGTATATGCTTGTCTTCTTAACTATATGCTGTCTGTGTAATTATATATGTAATAGTTTATTATTTTTTTAGTGAATTAATCAAAAATACTTCAAAAATTCTGTTTTAGATTTCCAGCATAATTAATGTCAGTAAGTTACAACCCACAAAAGATAAAAACTCTTTCAAAGCCTCAGGTTTTAAGTGTGTCAAAGGATCCTGAGACCAAAATATTTGAAAACTGCTTTAGAGCATGATTGAGAATAATAGATTTATTATTTACCAGATTAGTTAGAAATGTTCTCTAAGGAACTATGTAGTACTCAGCTGTGAAACCGTTCAGAGAAGTGTAATGTGGCATCTCTAACATGGAGTTCAGAGACGTGACAAGGGGCTGGAACAACCTTGGAACAACAAGGACAGGTCAGACAAGAAGAGACCCTGCTGTTCTAGCCAGGTAGAATGATTTTCAGAGCTAGTGTCTTACTTGTTTGTTTTCACATGGTATTTGAGAACTCAGTCTTTTTATTTATTTATTTAATTTTGTTTTTTGAGACAGGATCTCCTTATGTAGTTTAACCTGGCCTGAGTTCGTTATGTTGTCCAGGGTAACCTGGAACTTGGCCTTCATTTTCCTGCTTTAGCCTCCCAAGTGCTAAGATTATAGGGGTGCATCACACCATGCCTGGCATGTATTTTTAATTTATGAATGAAATAGAGTCCAGACTATCACTGTGACTAGAAATACTATTATTAGTACTACCCAGATTCTGTTACATATTTTAGTAGATATTTTCTCCTTGAAACTTGGGATTTTAGTCTTATAAACTGAAGTTGATTCTTAATTTAGTAGTGTAACAGTTTACAAATATCAAGAAAACAAAGTAAAATTTCAAGCTAAATTTCATGTATATGCTCTCAAATGTATGTATAACATGCAGTCTATGTATAGCAATACAATTAATCAACAAGTCAATTTGTTACATAGACTTTATATGTTTTGTTATAATGTTTACATGTGGGTTTTTTTGAATTCATTTTAACAGTGCCTAGATTTTACACCCTGCCCTAAAACAAACAGACTGCCAGAGGAAACCTCCTGCTTCAGGGCAAGGGACTTGTGTAAACACCGTGAATGCAGTGTAGTGCTGGGATTCCCTGTGTTTGCTGGAATTCCAAGTGAGACTTGACCCCACATTACTTAGAGGAGTTAAGTAAGGCTACACCCAGACAGAGGTGCTGAGCCTGAGGTTTCCCGGTCTCCTAGAAGTTTGCTAGAAGGTAATTTCTGGGAGGACAATCCAGCTTTAGGGAATGATATTTTACACAGTAGACTTTGTAAAGTACGGCTTGTATTGGAAATTACAAATAATATTCCTGAAGTTTCCATTATGAAGATGAGTGGCTGGAGATAGAAGCAGACAGGGATGTCTGAGGTTACATCACAAAAGAGCTCTTTTTTGTCAGGCAAACATGATTTAATTTTATCTGGCAGGCGTCAGAGAGCCTTTAACTAATTTTGAACAAGGGCTTAACAGGCTGTGGGTAGTATTCAGAAGAAATCTACATGGTGGGTGGAAAGAAGGGCCTTCAGTAGGCAGGAAGCAGGGCAGCCATGCGGAGGCCACCTCAGATTTGGAACTGGAGGTGATGCCCAGCGGGCAGCTGGGGGTGAAGGATTGGAAGTTGGGCTTGGGAGAGGCGGGTGTCGGTTAATTCTGGAGTTCACTGAGTCACTGCTAAGTAACCAAGGATGAGGTTTAAGGGAATTACTAAGGCAGTTCAGTGCATGGTTCTGTGAGCATTTCCTGTCACTCTCATGTTCTTTGCATCCTTGACTCATGGGTTTTGTTTGCGAGGCGGATCATCTGGGGAGTCATCTGTCGGCATCCTGCCCACCCATTTCACTTGTGTTCCTGCCACACATTTATCCAAACCTTCCTCTGAAAGTTCTGTCATTATTACATTTCCAATATTTTGGTAGTACTAAAATCGAAGGGGAACTTTTGTCAAGTAATAAGTAATGTATAAAGGATGTTGCAAGTGAATATTTTATCCCATTTTTGTATAATTGTACCTTTAGGTTATTTTCTAGATTAAGGAAGGTTATTCTTTACTAGAAATGTTATTGTAAATTAAAGGAGGTCTATGAATTTGTGTTTGTATTGATTAGAGTAAGTTGAATCATACCAAAATTTGCTTTTGGGAAGAATTCTCTTATTTTCTTTTCTATCCTCTTGTCTGCTAACTTGAATTTTATCCTTTTCTCACTAATATGCTTCCACTGAGAAGGACGTAAGCGTAAAAAGCACAAAAAACATTTTAAGAAACGTTTTAAAGGTCTTGATCGCTCAAAAGGTAGGTAAAAGTAGTTTTTATGCCATGTGTTGTTTACACACATTGCCACTTGATCTATCTCAGAAGGTAAAATGAATGTTAGCTTCTAATTTAATTTCAAGTATGAATTTCAAGTTGAAAATCACATTAAAATCTAAACTAAATCTGAGAAAAAGTAATGACGCTAGGGCAGGTGTAATTTCCTCTGAGCTGTCCCTACCTCTCCTTCGGGCGTCCGTTACATGGTGCTGTGAGAACGGCACGGCTTGAGCTTGTGTTTTCTGTTTTTAATAGATAAGCCTAAGGAAGCAAAAAAGGATACATTTTTGGAAAAATTGGCAACTCAAATAATAAAAAATGTACAAGTGAAAATCACAGACATTCACATTAAATATGAAGATGATGTAAGTAATTTCAATTATTTGGTTTAAGTTAACAAATGTATATTATATAATAGTCTTGGTTTGTATGGTTCATCTGTACCCAACATGATTTATTTTTTATTTTTTGCAGTACTGCAGATCCAACCCAGTTACTCTACTACTGAACTACAGTCCTAGACCTTTTAAAAATTTTTCGAGTGTCTTGTGAAGGGGCCCATGCAGGACTTGAACTTGTGCCCCTCGTGCTTCAGTCATCTCAGTGCAGTCAGTAGAGGCATTTGCTTTTGTGCCTGACTCTCGTATCTCCCCAGAATCTGAGATTAATGTTCTTGCATGTGTTTTCTGCACTGGGCTCTTTTCATTGAGTACGCACATATGTAAAGGTGACATGAAACCACCACGTGTTGTCCTCTGTTTTTTAAAATTTTGTTTTATGCGTTAAGACTGATAACTTTAAGGATCTGAGCAGTTAGTTCCTGGAGTTTATTAAATAACCAGTGGTAGTGGTCATCCATAGGAAAGGGACTAAAACAATGGTCGTCTGAGTGTGGTGCCGTTCTCTTTCCCTTCTACTCAGTGGATTAAGCCACCCACAGCTACTTACAATATGCGACATTATACTTAGAAACCAAAAATTTCACTTATGACCAAAAGCTTACCATTAGTTGATAAGAATTTAGCTAAAGTATAATGTATCTTGAATTGTGTCTGTTTCCCTGAGTTTAAAGCTTGAAATAAACCAGGGGTGGGGTCCACTGGAATAATCCCAGCTTCCTGGGAGGCTGAGGCAGGAGGATTTTAAGTTTGAGGTGAGCTGGGCAATTGGGCATGATCCTGTGTCCATATAATGTTAGAAAAGGGCAGGGAGTGTAGTTCAGTGGTAGAATGCTCTTGGTTTAGAAATTTTAGCTTTTATTATTTACTCAAGAAAGGGGAAATCTTAGTCCATCTTTCTAAAAATGCATCTGCATTCTTTTTTGTTTTGGGTTTGAATTAAACAGTACTGACAGTAGGTATATTTTCATTTCCTGATTAGCTCTCTGTGCTTAGTACTCAAGCACACTGGTAGCTTTTCAGAAAGGATCTCTATTTTAGAGTAGGTTTATACACTGGCTTTACGGAGTTTATTCAGATGAATTTCATTAACATAAATGTCTTACAAAACACATTATAAAAGCTCATGTTCTAACACACAAAAATAACACAGGAGAGTGAAAGATTTTGTTAAAACTATGAAGAAATGTGAACCCTCAGATACTGATGGTGGCAAAGCAAGTTACTTACTGGAAATACGTAAATGAACACAAAACTCCCTAATGATAAGAAGTGGACTGTTAAGAGAAAAGATTGTTGAAAGCCACATTTTTCTTTCTTTCATTCTTTCTTTTTTTTTTTTTTTTTTTTTTTTTTTGTCTTTTTCATTTTTATCGGTACTGGGGATCAAACTCACGACTGCCTGCTTGCAAGGCAGGTGCTTATGCCACTGCGCTAAATCCCCAGCCCAAAAGCCACATCATTTTATAGTAAACAAATGTGTGGACTTGGAATTGGATATATACATTGTCAATTTGGAAAATAGCAAAAAATCACTCTGACATATTATTGGATGAAGGCCTCAGTTTGAACCTAAACTAAGCTTTTTACTGACCCAGTATAATTAGAAAGGTACATTATTTCTTTCCTTTTAGTAAAAAAGAGATGCACAGGAATAGGGTAAGTAACATCTGTCATGTTTTAATTGGTGACAAAAATGTTTTAGAACTATCTAAAGAAGAACATTACAAAGCATAAAGAGTTCCTGTTACAGCTAAAAAGCTATGAGAAACACAGAATGTAAGAGGTGGGAAAAATAGCCTGGCGTGGTGGCACATGTGTGTAATTCCAGCACTTGGGGAACTGAGGCAGGAGGGTTGACACGAGCTTGAGGTCAGCTTGGTCTACATAGTTTCTTATTTTATTTTTATTTTTTATTTTTTGGTAGCAGGGATCGAACTCACAATCATGAGCTTACCAGGCAGGTGCTTACGCCACTGAGCTAAATCCCTGGCCCTGGGCTACTTAGTTTTAAGACCAGTGTGAACTATATATTGAGACTTTCTCTCATAAAACAAAAAATCAATGGGAAAGTATTTTTTATCATAAACGTGCTCACTGGCTAATAGTAATTGTGAATAGGGTAGTGGAGATTGTGGAGTTGTGTGTTGTTGAAGTTCTTTCTGAAATAGCCACAGATTATTTTATCTGTAGGTACAAAAAGATGAATGTAAGGAAATAGGGAAGTGTTTTGCTATAAATCATTACCTGCGTTAATTACAAGTAAGGCTAAGAGTGCACAGTATCAACTATATGAGGGCGTATATGCATTTTTCCTGTTTAAGAAGAGCGTGTGGTAAAATTTTGGGGTCTTGGGTTACTTAGAATATTATACTAGTATTTCTTTGTGCTTTGCTCATTTCTATCATGATCAAGTGATTCTTTTTTTTTTTTTTTTCTGTCTCTCTTTTGGGTGCCACGAATCAAACTTAGGGCCTTGTGCTTGCGGCAGGTGTTGGCGCTGCTGAGCTACATCCCTGGCCCAATGCAGTGGTTCTTGGTAACTTGACTGTCTTCAAGATGTCTCAGATAATGTCTGTGCATCCTGTGGAAAGCTCTGAACACTCTGTAAATATAACTTACACCAAAAGTTCAGGAATAAAACAAAAGTTTAACATGGGTAGATTTTGAATGAAAAGACAGGAAATTAAATATTAATCTAATTTTTCTTAACAAAGCATTGTAGAAATGCTTCGTAAGAAAGCACTGTCAAGAAAAGTAAAGGCCCAAAGAAGCAATTTGTGTTTCTAATTATGACAATTTTAAGTGTTATAAAAAGGAGTTAGTGGCAGTGTTATTGAGTGTCTTGAAGACGGTCTCTCCTTAACTCTCTCTAGGACTCTGTTAGCGATGGTTACTGAGTCTCTGAACCTGGGAAAGCATATTAGATCCTGAAGTGTGTTGTCCCTGGTGCTATGGGTGCTGACCTGCTCTTTCCGGGCCTTTCTTTCCTTCCTGTCAGTTGGGTTGTATGACTCACCTATAATCATTTTTCCCCACCACTGTTGGAAGGGATGGGCCACAGGTCACCATCACTTTCCATGTATCCTGATGTCCCTTTCCTTTGGCAGGTCACTGATCCGGAGCGGCCGCTCTCATTTGGTGTTACCCTGGGGGAGCCTTAGTCTACTGGTAATGTTGCCTTGGTTTTGATTTTGGTGGAACCTCTGAAATATCGCTGTGAAGTCATAAGCTGAATTGCCTAAAATCAACTATGTCTGCAACTAGCTAATGCATTTTTTATATTAGGTTGCTGCAGTTTTGTAGAAATTCAACATTTTTGGTGATGCTCTTATTACATGACATTCTTTCATTTTCATTTTTCTTACCACAAGTAGATCTAAATACCAATTTTAAAAGTTACTTAAAATACTAAATTTTAAAATTTAAATTTACAAATATATCTAAATAGCAAACAGTCTGAAAGGAATAAGAACTATCTTAATATGTGCGAAAAGTGGGGTGGAAAGTGTATGTTGGGCTAAGTGCTACCACTTGATACAGGTAAATGGATTTTCTAGGTGGCTGTGCATGTGTATGTATTTACGTAGATCTGTCACATTGGGAGACACATAAGTGATTCAGTTTGGTTATTTCATAAATAGGTTTGTTTCTTTGCTAGAGAATACAGTTGTATATATATAGATTGGACTTGCTTGTATTTAGGGCAATTGTAGGAAACATTTGCCGGGGGAAGGGCATAGAAATGAGGAAAAACAGCTGCATAAGGCTTTTCTACAAATAAACGGCATATACAGTTAAACTCAAGGGCGGTGGATGATAAGTCATACGGGAGACTTGCCACTGACGGCGAGGACCTCAGGGAAGGCGAGGAGGAAACGTGAACGAGGGTTACTGGCAGAGAAACCGAGAGATGTGGTGATGGAGCAGTCCTAAAAGCACACACCAGGAAGTGCAGGTATATAGGTACATGCAGTGGAAGAGTGAGGCAGAACAGTGAAAAAGAGAGCTGGACAACCAGTGACAGGAATTAATCAATGAACAGGGAAACTAGGGTGTGTCTAACCTTTCAACCTAACATCCTCCTCCCGCTCTATTCAGGCCTCGTACCCTCAGAAACCTGTGTCCCGCCCTAGCATCCCATCTTTCTGCTTTACGTCAGTCTCCCTCTCCTAAATCTTCATCTCCTCCTGCCCACACACTTAAACATGTGCATGGCTCCTCTTTATCACACAGCTAAAAGCCCCTCCTTAATGTCCCCAGTCCCTCTCAGGCCCTGAAACTACTGCCTTCTCTCTCTTATACAACCACACTTTTCTGGAATTTACTACCTGTGCCTTCCCCCTTTCTTGTCCTCAGCAAGGTCATCAGTAATGTGCTGGCTGTTAAATCGGGTCCAAACAGCATTGTTGGCTATGCTGTCCTTGCAGGGCACATGGCCCTGCTGTCATTCCCATGCTTTTCTGGTTTGCTTTCTATGTTACAGAAAGTAGTATCTTTTAAAAGTGTGTGCCTTCTTCAACAGAATACAGGCAGGCTTTCTTGTTTCTGTTCATACCCAATTCTTTCTTCCATTCACACATTAACTGTAATTTCCTAAAGGAGTGAACCCAAGTTATGTTTCACAGTTCCTTTGATTTTGCCTTGCAGATACATAAAGAATTAGGTAACACTAGCCAACAGTAGCTAAGTATGTTTTCTTTATGTGTTATTTTGTTTCTACTTGAGGATACTAAAACACTGTCATATACCACATTTCATAGTTATTCTTTTTCTTTTAGACTACAAATGAGAATTGGACTCCATGCATATTAAATGAAGCAGAAAAAATTATATACAAGGTATTGTATTATTATTATTAGAGTAAAAATTCTTTTGTTAGTTTTCTAGGTGCAAGTACTTAATGTCTTTCCTTGAAATGGTGGAGCAGAATGTGCTCTTGGGGTGAATTGAAAGTCCAAAGTCTAGTTCTGGCTCTGCTTCTTACTGTGTGACTCTCAATCTTAGGTTGTTCGTCTGTAAGGTGAAGAATATGGTATTTTATGAAGCATTAGGTAATTGAGATACTATTAGATTTTTTTAAAGGAAGTAAAGGTTTATTAGCTCAGTTTGTGGAGGTTTCAGTCCATAATCAGCTGGTTCTAAGTCTCGGGGTGGTATGGGAAAGGGGCAACCGTTCATGGTGGTGGAAGACAGCCAAAGAAATGAGCAAAAGAGGAGCAAGCCTCTTCTGTTCTTTTACATTGTGTGTGGGCTGCCTACCCTAGGCTGGGTGTAGACTCACACCCCCCATCCCAACAGGAGACGATGAATCAATCACAACTCTAGATTCAGTCACCACTGGAAAGCCAGTCTTTCTGACTGTATAAGGCTTTGGGGGACATCTAGACACAAACCATAGCGTTCTGCCCCTCGCCCCCCAAAGACTCATGTACATCTCTTTATGCAAAAGACATTTGGTCCATTGCTAAGAGTTGCTGAAGTCCTAACAGTTCCAGCATTGCTGAAAAGTCCAAGTCTCAAGTGTCTCTCAAGATCTAAGGCAAACTGTTAGCTGTGAGTCTCTGTATGAATGAAAAGAGACTTAAACTTCCAGGATGCAATGGCACAATACAGGCATTTCCATTCCAAAATGTACAAGCAGGGTATAAAGGAATGGGACAAAGCAAGTCCAGAATCCAGCAGGGCAAACATTAAGTCCTATAGTTCCTGTAGTTCCATGTCCAGCCTTGGAGGCAATCTGTGGCAAGTTGTGAACTCCAGAGGGCTTGGGTGACTGCCCCATGGCACTTCTGATGGTAGTGGCACCTAGGGCTTCTCTCTTGACCCCCTCTGCTTTTGCTTTACACTCAAACCTTTTACACACTGCCCTCTTAGGAGCACACTTGCTTTGCTCTGAAATCTAGGCAGAAGCCGTCCTGGCTCAACAACTCTGCCATCCTGTGTCTTGATCCCGCAACTCTGCTATCTGTGTGCACCTTCAGTTGGCTGCGCAAGCCTAGCTGAAGACCTAGAGTTCATGGCAGTGCCCTCCATGAGTCTAACTGGAGGCCTGGAGCGCACGACAGTATCTCATGTAAGTCAGAGATGCTGTTAGGTTTTGTAGGAAAAGTATTCTCTGGTTAAGTGAGGCTACTAATTTTAAGTAGCAAGCACGCTGTAATTAGACAGGTGTGTTTCATTTTATTGTAAGCTAAGGGCTTCAAGGTACTTTAATATGCTAATAAGTGCAGTGAACCTCCTACTGCAATGTTCATAGTGTTAGCGGTCCTCACTGTGTTGGTTAGAGATGCTCTGGCACCACCCTCCCCTCCCTTGGAGACAGTCGCTGGTGTCTGCCAGAGGTGTCATTTCTTCTGTGTCTAGTAGAATGTTTCCTGGATCTGCTAACTGCTAAACTCCGGTCAGTTTGATAGTTGAATGAATGAATATCTTGGAAATTGTGTTCTTGGGCACACAGTTTAGCAAATACTAAGCTTAATAATAGAGACTGTGAACATATTTTCCTTTAACTTTGCATTATTTTCTTTAAAAGTTCAAAGTGGCAGTTGGTTAATCTCAGGGTTGTGAACATGAGCGTAGTCTTCTACCATAGTTTGCTTTATCTTTTGTGTTTGTTCATTGCTTGACAGTTTTTCTTTTCTTTCCTAGCTAATCCAACTGGATAGTCTCAGTGCTTGCTGGAATGTGAACTGCCGTCTGTCCTACTTGGGGTCCCGAGAACAGATCTTGGTAATTTTGGAAGAGCCACCTCCACTCCCTAATTATGTTGTATGACAGAGCCCCTCAATGAGGACAGGCCACAGTCCTTTGTTTAACTTGTATGTCACTGAGTTGGAAGTGTGAAAAACAGTGTTGAAATCTGTATGCCTTCAAGATAGTTTCTGATTTGAATGTTTTGTGAAATTGTTCGCTACATAGTGATGTAAGAACCTATAAAACTTAAAAACTTCATTTGGGCTTTTATACTCATTTTAATGGCACTCTTAGATTGTAATATTTTATTTGACAATGATTATGAATATTGTAAACAAAGACAAGAAAATAGGGAAAGAGATGTCAACCAACTCATCACCTAAGAAATTCTGTAGGGCACACAAACACATGAAAAGATGTATAAACATCTTGATTCTGTAGGGAAATACAAGTGAAAACCAAAGTGAGATAATGTTATAATTTCCTGGAATTCTTATACGAAGCTGGTGAGAATGCCGAATTGGTAAAATCATTTTGTAAATCAGTCTGTCAGTTTCTCGTAGCTAATGTTACACTGAGTGTTTGTCCTCTATTTATCCACAAGAGAAGAGAATTATATCCACAGAAACATGGACAGATGTTCAGGGTACCTTCTAAGAGTAAGAACTATAAACAACCCAAATGTCTATTAGATGATTAATACTACATCCAGTTAAAGGGCAAGAATTATTAATACAATAATAAGGACCAGTGTTAAAATAATTACGCTGGCTAAAAGAAACCATACTGTACTTCTTAAAAAAAGCATAGGAACTGCAAATGATCTGTAGAGCAAAAAGTAAATCCGTGGTTGCCTGGAAGTCAGTGGTGGGGAGGAACTGGGGCTTGTAAAGGGACGAAGTGAAACTTGGGATGATGAGTATATTTATTATCTCTACCGCAACAATAATGTCATGAATATACTCCATGTCAGAATGCATTGTAGTGTGTATTTTGTGTGTGTACTTTGTGTGTGTGTGTGTGTGTGTGTGTGTATGTGAGTGTGTTTGAGACAAAATCTCAGTGTGTATTACTACAGCCTGGCTCTAAACTTATGTAGTCTAGACTGGGCTTGACCTCAACAGAGATCTTCCTCAGCCTCCCAAGTGCTGAGATTAGAGGTGTGCATCACCATGCCTGGCTAAAAACATGTGTTGTACCTTAAAAGGTGGCGAAGTGATGAAAATGACTTAATGTGTGGTCTGGGTATACAACTAAAAAGACCAAAAGTAGGACTTAAACATGTTCTTATGCTGGTGTTCATGGCAGTAAATAACTTAACCTTTGACTAGAAATTTGTAGGAGTATACATATATATGGGTTTTTTTAAAGTCAGAGAGAGGGGCAGTGTGATGCCACATGCCTGTAATCCCAGCACTCGGGAGGCTGAGCAGGAGGACCATTGAGTTTGAGGCCACCTTACGGGTACAGAGTGAGCACAAGACCAGCCTGAGCTACATAGTGAGACCCTGACTTCAAAAAAGAAAAAAAGGGGGAAATAATATTACAATGTAGACATTTAGTGTTTTAAAAATTACCACTTTCTATATTTTTAGTATGCTAGAGAAATATATCTGTAAATGATACTCAGCATGTTTTTCCTATAGACTAATTAGTTACAAAGAGAGGAATAAAAATATTGATGTAATAACCAAGTTGTTTCTCGTATATGTGGCTGAATCTGTTTGCAGCTTCTTTTCTAGTCTCAAAAAATTTAAATGCTTTCTTTAGGATCAACTTAAAAATGAAATTCTTACCAAGTAGACAGAGACCTCCAAACCATCAATACAGTAAGTACTAGTAAGTTGTAGTGGAATATTTTACCGCACTTCCTTATTAAGTTATGTGGACAAGAAGAGCACACTCATTTTATGCCTTCATTTCATGGCTAGAGAGCTGTGCTGCTTGGGAATAGCTCGAAAGGCATCTGCTGGAGAAGGAGGCAGGAGGGCCCGAAAGCCGTCAGCTCCTTGTAGCCAACCTTCTTTGGCTTCCATGTTTTCTTTATGCCTTGTAATTGTACTCATTTTAGGACTTAGCAGTTCTTTTTCTTTCTTTATAAAAGATAACCAAGTCTCTGACCCCTGGGTATTAAGCATTCCTCCTCTGTGCTGCCACTATTCTTGCAAAATAAATCTGCCCATATTTTTAAAGTGAGCTTTTCTGTTTTTTGACAATGTCACCTTTATTTGAAAGGTGTCTTTCCCATATTTTCTCTATTTCAGTTTCATTCTAAAGAAGGTATTGGTTTGCTTTTGCTTATTGTGTCCCTTTGTAATTGTCCTCAGCTTTTTTAAAATTGAACTTTTAAGACCTTCGCTTACCAGGCAGGTACTTAGCCGCTGAGTTATGGCCCTAACTGTCCTCAGCTTTTGTACCTGTGTTCTTCCATATTGTGTATTCGACTGGTTTACTTCTGTTGTCTTCTTCCTGTTCTCTTGCTGTTGGATGATGGTTGTCACTTTCTATCCTACTCATACTCCTCTCCTTAGTGATGGTAGTTTTCAAGCGCTGTTTGTGAAAGCCTTTAGTTTTTTTGCAGGGATGGAGGTGGGTTTGTTACTGGGAATCAAACTCAGGGCAGCCACTGTGCTGCAGCTGTGTCTGCAGTAGCATTTAGTTTCATTGATGGATAAACGAATACAAAAACACTACAGCTTCATTCTTTGGGCTCATCTATATCTTGCAGCTAAGTTAACACTTTTCATAATTTTATGAGCATCATAAAGTGTTGTAACAGTTAAAATTATATTCACAAAGCTTATCACCTTGCTTTGAGCTATCATCTTTGCTAATACACATTTTTTTCAGCCTCCAAATTACATTATTTATTTCATTGTAATAGTACATGTGTCATGAGTATTTTAAAAATCATAAAGTAGTGGTGTCTTTTAGGTATTTAATTTTATTCATGATTCTGTTCCTAAATTTTAGCAATGATTAAGGAAAATTAATTGTATTTTATTTCATTTTATTAGTATATTTAGTGAATAATAAGTGTATTAAATGCTTTGTGCAAGGGTAAAGAAACTTAATTTTATACAGACTGAGTAGCCAAAGGTAGACTGTGTTATGTACATTTCTTACCTAGGAGTACAGGACTTCAGTGTGTATACAAACATTTATTGGCAGGGTGAAGATGAACAGCTACTTTACATGTTTTTGGGAGTGATTTTATTTTATTTTCGATCATTTTACTTCTAAAATAATAGTGCTCTCAGATTATTTAAGTTGTTCATATGTAAGGGTGTATAAACATACTCATATCTTCTCATGTGATGTCAGTTTTCCAGCCAATATCCAGCCAGTTTCCTGCAAAACTCTACATGAATCCTCATGCAGAAGTAGAACTCAAAACTCCCAAATTAGATTGGAGCATAGAAGTGCAGAATATTGCCATTGAGCTGACCAAGCCCCAGGTGAGATGCAAGGGCACGTTAGTAGTTTTGAATCTAGGTCGCTTTTGTCTTTTGTGATGATTCTTTTGTGAAATCTGTTGGTTCTCTTTGTTTGTTTTGTGGAGATTTGACTTTTCAAGTAATCTTTTTCTGAAAAAAAAATTTCAAGCTGAAGAATTTTTTTTCATTTATCTGACTTTAGATGTTGCAGAATCTTATCAAACTATAATGAATAATATTTTCATTTATTTAAATTTTAATGTGGTTTTTCCTTTCTTAGTTTTTAACACTAGACCTTCATGTTAAGTGTTATCTATTTTGTAAAATAAGTGTCTTGGCAGCTTTTTTCTTTTTGTTTCCCAAGTATAGTTGTATGACTGATTTGAGTTGCAGATTTAGGTATGAGATTTGGCCAAGAGAGTTTAGCCCAGTACTGTCTAGTTATTATACAGCACTTTTGTAATGTTAGATGTTCTGGTTAGCTACATTAGCAAAGCAAAAAAATGAGATTAACTTTAATAACCTATTTTATTTAGCTTAATATTTCCAAAATCTTATCATTGCAACTTGTCATCATAAAAAATTTCAAAGAAATATTTTACATCTTTTCTCTCCCCCTCAGTCTTTGAAATACAGATATGTTCTTAATTTAAATACATTTAAGTTCGCACTAGACATGAATGTACGTAACCGTTGAATTGCTTTAAGAAAATTGGCAAGGAGCAAACTGAAGTTGCCTTTTCTTTGGTCTTGCTTGCATTTGAGTTCGCTCTGTGTATATCTCGTGCCGTGCCGTTTGAAGTGTTGAAGTGTTTGAAATCCGCACATTGTTGTGATGGTGGTAAGCTAGTTGGTTAGTTAGTTTTATCCTGTTTAGTTGCATAGCGGTTTCCTGGAGCAGTTTGAAAATTAACTCATAGATAGCTACCAGTGAAGTTATGATCCAGCAGACATGGAAATAGTTTTAAAAATAAACTAGTTCAGAAATAAGTAGAACTAGGTTGTTAAGAAGTTCAGAGAAGAAGTCTTAGAGTAAAAAATATAATAAAATTTGACATTTATTGAAAATGTGTAATATAATGAACCTGGTTTTTTGTTTTGTTTTAATAGTACGTAAGTATGATTGACCTTTTGGAATCGTTGGATTATATGGTTAGAAATGTACCTTATAGGAAATATAAACCTAATTTACCACTTCATACCAATTGTAGGCAATGGTAAGTATGAGCTTGCTTTTTTTATTTTATGAGAAGCATAATTATACAATATGTCAAAATTAAGAGACCTGTAAGCAATGTAGTATACCCACTCAGAAAAAAATAGGGTCTTCCCCTCCTCTCCAAAAGCCAAGGAGGGACATCTTTTATATGGTTGTGGTACTTTTTTGGTAAGCACATCCTTTTGTATTCTTGCATCTATAGTTCCAAATTTTTTAACTTAGTATTTAAGATTTTCAGCATTTAAAAAACCCTGCTTTCTCTGTAGTCATTTACTGGGACCTAAGGTTGTAACCATGCTGGAATACTATCATGTGTTGCTTAGCAGTGGCGGTAACTTCTGAAACATGTATCTGTATGTATTCACTTCCTGAACTTGCTGAACTGGGATAGCTGTGAGGGCAAGAGGGTCTGTAATCTTACAGGACCACCAGGGCATATGTGGTCTGCTGGGTGCCAAAGAGTTGATTTGCTTTGGCATACCTTCTTCCTGGAGGGTGTTCATTCTGAATGTATTTAAGCCAGAGAACTATAATTGAGACACACTGTTAGAGTGGAAATTTTATTCCAAGATATTTAACAGTGCAATATCTAAAAGTCAGAGCTATTTTCCTTGATTTCTCTTAAATGTTTTATGTGCATATGCATTAAAAAGTTTTGATTTTCAGGTGGAAGTATGCCATTGATTCAGTTCTTGAAGTTCATATAAGAAGATGTACACAGATGTGGTCATGGTGTAACATAAAGAAGCATAGAGAGTTACTCAAGAGTTATAAAATCGCTTACAAGAATAAGCTAACTCAGACTAAACTCTCGGAAGAAATCCAGAAACAAATTCAGGTATACTTTGTGCACAGTGGTGAGAGCCCTTAATTGTCTGATCACCTTTTAATGTTGATTCTTCACTTATTTGAATTAAAATATAATTTTAGAACAGCTTGTGAGAGGATTTTATGGGAAATTTAAGAGTATGTTTTTCCCATTTTTTTTTCTTTAATAAAATCTTTTCCCAGTCCTGAGAACAGATGAAATAATGTTACTGTAAACCCTTTTGGTAGATGTTTAGGGTTTTGTAATAGCATTTTTATATATTTACTAGTTAGCTCTGTTTACATGTTTTTCTCTTAAAAGTTCCGTATTTATGTGACCATGGCTTTTTTAAAAAAGAGTTTAAGGTATTATTTTTTAAAACAGCTTTTAGTCTGGGGTAGGACAGAGGTTTATTTGTTCTTATAACAGATAGAAAATATACTGAATACATAATTTGTCATATGATCTGGATTATAGAACTCTTTCTGCCACTGATTGATAATGCGAAGTACAAGTTGAATTTGTGGTATTGTAAAATACGTAACAATCACTAGCATAATATATTAGAATTGGCATAGGTATCAGAGTCAGCTGAATTTGGGCTCAGGGCTTACGAAGTGTTCTGATCTTGGACACGAGTTTCTTAAGTCTGTTATTCTGAGGTAGGAAGTAGAAACAGAGCCTGTCTTACAAGTTGTGAGAATTGCATAAGATAATACATAAAGGACCTAAAATACAAGTCATCTGGGAAATGTTAAATACTTCCTACATACTTCATTGTAAATTCTGAAATTCAGTTTCTACTTTAGCTTACTTACTGACTTGCAGAATTTTATATTCTTAATATTTTGTGTGTTTTGCAATGATGCCTTTAGTATGATAATTGTGAAATAATATGGAAAGTAGGAAGTGTAAGAAGTAAGGCTACTACCTAAAAGAAATCCTTTTTCTCAATATGTTTGTTGCCATGTACATGTAAAGCTGTCTGTGATTTTTAAAGTTTCACCGAAAAGTTCTTATTTTCTTAAGGTGTTTAAATGGGATATACTTCCTTAGAAAACTTAATTTCTTGCTGTAAAAATTAAATGGTTTCAAAGATTAGCATATGCTCCAGTTTGATTATATCACAAGTTTTGGTAATGAACTAGATAAGCCTAGAAATCTTGTAAGAAAACTTTAATCTAATGATTATTTCCCTTATTTACAAGTGTCTCTGTTTCGTAGGACCTGGAGAAGACTTTAGATGTTTTTAACATAATTTTAGCAAGGCAACAAGCACAAGTCGAGGTAATCATTTTTATTAGTTCATTTGATGTTTTCAACATGTTAATACAGCTCTTTTAAACCTAGGATCAGGACATCTAAGTTTTATGGGAAGTTATTCAGATTTACCTAAAGTAGAGAAGAGATTTAAGTTTCCATTGATTAATTTAGTATCAGAAGAAAATAAATTGGAGTTCTAGAAAAAAGCTACGAACACTAAGGTGAAGAGCTTTGAACATTTATAATTCCTATTTGAAATACATGGAAAAGAAAGCAAATCGAGATCAGTTATCATCTTAGCAACTTAGAATGCTTTTGTTAACCTTTCTATGTGCAGGACTCCAGTTTCTCTTTCATACTTATGTACCTACTTGTTTTTTATCTTTCATTTAAAAAAACTTCTTTTGTTTGTTTCTTTTTTCCTGTTTCCTCTTTCTTATCTCGTATCTCTTTCCTCTTGTCTTCTTTCACTTTCCTTCTTTACAAAGTTGGACTGAATTATGTTTGTAATTGTTCATAATTGCTTATGTATTGTGCCTTGTTCTGTGTAGTTTGTATAATTGTGTCGGATGTTTCAGTGATAAGCTCCAAGCAGTACAACTCACTGTAGAAAAGTTAGAAATACAGATCAACAATGGAGAGAGAACCATCTCACAGGCTCTTCTCAGTCGTAGTCACTAATGTTAACACTTTTCTGTGTATTCTGTTAGTCCTTTTTGTAGCTGTAAATTCTCTCTACCCATACTCATTTTAAAAATGAGATTAAAGCATACACAATTTTCCATTTATTTAGCAAGTGCTCATTGAGTTTTGGTTTTTCTAGCCTTACGATTAAGAGTATGGAGTTGAGAATCAGAGCATCTGAATAATAATAGTTCCAGCTTTGCTATCTTCTAATTGTGTGATTTTGGGATGTTTAATTTCTTCTTGCCTTATTTTTGAAAAATGGCATTAATTATTAGTACCTGCGTCATAGGGTTATTGTAAGGAGTATGGCTAGTCCCTGTGAGGCAGTTAGATTCCTGGGGGCATGGCACGTAGTAATTAGTAAGTGGTTTTTTCCTTCATCACTGTTTGCGTATTACACAGAAATCCACATAACAGACATAACTTTTTTACATTCCATTAGGAGAGGATAATAAGCATATACTTACATGAAGTCAGTAGGAATGGATGGAGAGAGGGTTGAGGCTGGGCAGTATTGATAGACATTGCTGTTGTAGACTGGAGGGTTAGAGAAAATCTCCCTGGGAAGATGTTTGAGCAAAGACAGAGGAAGCTGAGGGAGTCATTCAGAAAGGTTTCTAAGGAGAAGGATTATTCCTGCAGAAAGAGTGAAGCATAGCCAGCTCAACGGTCTTGGGGTGGTGGGAACATATCTGCTGCGGGGGGGGGGGGTGGTGGTGACCAGTGAGTCAGAGGAGGAAGGAGTGAAAGGGGTGCTGTGGGAAGGAGGAGGATGTCAGATTCTGCAGAATCTTGCAAACTGAAGTGTAGATTTTTGCTTGTGTTCTGAGTTCGGAAGCTGTGTATGGTTTTTGAGAACAGGACGGTATAATGTGGTGGTTTTAGAACTCTGGCTGCCTTGAAAGCAGGCTGTAAGAGAGTGGCAGGAGGAGGGCAGGGAGACTCTTTGGATGTGGCTGAGATAATTGAGGTCAGTGGTAGTGACTTCCTGGGGAAGTTTGCAGTGAAGTGGAGAAAAAGGGTCGATGGAGTACAGGGCCAGTGTTTCCTGCCCGATTAGATGTGTGTGTACGAGAGCGAAGAGATGACTTTAAGGATTTTTTCTGAGCATGGTTGGAAGGACATAGTCCCTATTCTGTGAGATGAGGAAGGCTGGATTTAGCAAGTGTGAGCAAGGTGCGAGAAGTTCAGGGGTTCAGCAGGCAGCTGGGTGCATAATTGTGGAGTTAGCAGAGAAATCCGCGCTGGTGTGTGAATCTGGAAAGGGTCAGCCTGTAGGTTGCATTGACAGTCATGCGATTGGATGAGATCATTGAACTTCTTGGAGTAGCAGGAGAAGCGGACAGTACTGAAAGATCTGAAGTACCCTGTTGTTATGGTCAGTGAGATGGGCAAAGCCCAGCAAAGATGCCCATGAAGGGGCTGCTGGAGGTGTAGTCGAGAAGCTGTCTGAATGCAGTGTGTTCATACTGGAGTAGAGGAGAATTTCAGGGAAGACAGGGTCACCTGCCTCATCATTTGAGGTGGCACTGAGAGTTAAGTATTACATTAAAAACCTTTAAAGTTACACAAATATATTTATAGATAAAGGTGCGATATCATACATATATACACACATATCTCAAAACCATACTCTCATGCACACATAAATGTATTGTGGTTACTTGACTGTTCGCATCTGTTATCTTTTCTGTTGAGAATTGGTCACATATTTCTATTTTTCTTCCTTGTTTTTGTTCTTATATTAGCATATTTTTGTTTTATATGTCCTGTTAGGTGAACATGATACTGCTGTATACTTACATTGTTATCTGTATATATATTTTGCCCTTTTGATGTTGTACTGTAGCTCTGTGAGCACTGATTATATTTCTTCCCCGATCTATTTTTCTCTGTATTTTAAAAATTGAATAGTTTCAATTGTTCTCTTTTGAAAGTCACTCTTCTATCATCTCCATTTTGCTATTGAGCTTATCCTGTGAGCTCTTTAATTTCAGAAACTAAGTTATTTGACTGTTGGTACCTGTTACCATTAAGGTTGAGAACTGGCCACTTTTCCCTGTTTTCTCTCTTTTTTTTTAATGTCAAGTGATTACAGATTGTATTTTTGATGTTGGGGCTACTGTAGCATGTAGTCTTTGGATCCCGTTATACTTGTCTGGAAAATGTGATTATCACAAAACCTGGTTAGGTTCTGGTCCTAAGGTGTGCATTGCCTTCTGTGGATGGTGGCTCAAGTCTGAATTGAGTTCCTAACCCTTCAGCATGTAGATATGAATCTGTTATACGCATGAATTGTATGGGGGTTAATTTGAGCTCTGCTAGAGGGATGGTTTATGTCTCAGTTCAGGTCTCTAAGCCTTTGTCTCTTTGGTTGAATCAGTTTCATACATAATGAATCTTGGATTGAATTGGATTGTAGGCAGATTCACGTGCAGAAGTAAGGGCTAGAAATAAAAACAACACCACTTGTTCAAAAAAAAAAAAAAAAAAAAGAAGTAAGGGCTAGTCTCTGCTCTGTCCCCCATAGGATTTCTCATTGTATACTCTGGCCAGCATGGACTTTCTGGTTGTTTGGTCAGAAATAAGGATTTCTCAGGGTTGTAGCTGCCTGCACAGCTGTGCTGCATGTATTTCTTGCAGCTCCCTTCCTTGGTTGGAGCCAGGTGTGGTACTTTTCTGTGGGTCTGTAGGAGCTTAGGATAGAATAACACACTTAGACTACTTCAGTTTCTGTGGGCAGGAAGTCTCGGCATGGCTTGGCTGAGCCTTCTGCTTGGGAAGAGATCAGAATACCGCAAGGTGTTACCTGGGATGTAGTATCAGCTGAAGCATGGCTGACATACTCCATTCTCACTAGTTGAATGTACTTTGGATTTACCGTCTTTCGGCTTTGGGGTGGATTACTGTTTTTCTGTTGCCTGCTGACTCCAGGCTTCTCCTACCTCTTAAGTGTCACTTTCTGTTTCTTGCCTTCTGAGTCATGTGCTTCTCGTAACTTGGCAGCTTACTTCTTCAAAGGGAGAGGGAGACTCCCCCAGGAGGGCTGCTGTGGTACTAGGCTTATAACAGCAACTCCCACACTGCACAGAGTGAATGCGTTGTACCACCGTTGGTTAGAAACAAGTCAGAAGGCACACCCGCATTCACAGGCAAGAGTTCACCCAAGAGCGGGAGATGCTGGGGCACATCACTGAGAAAAACAGAAGACACGGAAACTCAAAACTCTTGTGTGTTGGTTCTCCATGTTTGGGTCCCTTTCTACCATCTGTCTGCTTTGCCTACTTTCAGGCTCTGATGAATGTTTTTTAAAATATGTTTGGAATTCTTAGTTTTAATCAGTAGAAAGGAAGGGCTAATACCACCATGGAGTCAAAACAGATTTGGTAATAAATTACCAATTCGGTAATACATTTTTGTAATAAAGAGCATTTTTAATAGAAGGTACAGGCAGAAACTTGAAAGGAACGAGAGAGAATGGAAGACTAGGAACTGGAGACTCTGAGTAAGTACAGACAGTGTGTGCAAGGGGAACGGAAATGAGTGGCAGCGTGGGAGATGTGGAATCAAGAGGCTTTATATCTTGCTTCTTGTTGTTTTCTTGGTTTTTATTTTATTTTTTAAGTTACTAGGGTTTAGTGCTGCTACTGTTACTTGTTGCGCATCATTTAAACAACTGGGTAGCTTTCCAGTCTGTGCAGGTATCAGAATATGTGTCACTGTTTGCATTAGCTGTATTCCATTGTGACACTAGTGGGTAGTCTTGTCTATCTTGAGAATAGTTTGCAATTATAAGGTCAGATTCCTTAGTGGATAGTTGTTGGGTCAGGGAGTACAAATATTTTAAAGAGTTGTTTGCCATTTGTGAATTGTTCTAATGAAACAGAAATGAATCACTGGAGGAAACAGATACTTTCAGGCCTCCTTAAGTCACTTGGGTTCCATTGTGTGCTGTTAGGGCCACTTGCAGCTGCTCAGAACTTGAGGATGGATTACTGGACAAGGAAGGGCGGGTATAGGGCAAACAGAGGCAGTGCAGTTTATTTAAGATTGGCAGTTCTCATTGTGGAGCCAGAGAGTTTTAAATCAGGGCTGAAGTTTTGCTTACTGTAATCCCTTTGTGAGTCAGGGAAGGATGTGGGTCACGGATACGTGGAACAGGTGAGAGGGCTGTGCTGGATCTGTGTTTCTGTTGGTCACTTGTATGAGCACTTTGATTTTTAACAGACACATGTAAAAGAGGTCTCTGTGTGTGTGTGTGTAAAAATTTTAAACTCTGAAATAATTATAGAGCCATTACAGAAAATAAGCAGCAAAGATATTTTTCAGAGTCCCTGTATATCTTTGACTCAGTTTCCCCCAGGGGTTACATCTTATGTAAATTAAAACACAGTATCAGAACCAGGATTTGAAATTGGTACTGTTTGAGTAGAGTTTCTGATAGCTGTCATGTTTTTAAGTGGTGATTCTTAGATTTTTAAAATGGTAATCATTTTAAAATGGTAATCATCAAAACAAATCAAAGAGTTTTTAATGAACTCTTTATTTTCTTCATAGTCTTTGTCATTGAGGTTAGTGTTTTCATTAGATGTTTTGTATTAATTTGTATCTTTTCTCTTTATTAAGTCTTTCTACATTTTTCCCCTTGTAGTAGAACAGGGGATCAGAGCTGGGACTTTCACACTCAGCTCCATCCCCAGCCATGTTTATAATTTTTTTCTTTTGAGAAAAAGTATTGCTAACTTTTTGGGTGTGTGTGTCAGTAAACTTGAACATCTTGCCTCAACCTCCCAAGTGCTGGCTGGAATTATTGTATGCACCACCTTGCCTAATTGTTTTTCTATTTTTGAATTTATTTTGAAACACTTTGAAAATTTTAGCATGTTGATCACATCTCTAACTGAGATTTCAACTTTGATAGTGACTTTATCTTCCTTTAAAATAATTTTTTTTTTTTGGTAGCAGGAATCAAACTCAGGACTTTGTGCTTGTCAGGCAGGTGCTGCGCTGCTGAGCTGCATCCCTGACCCTAAAAGAATTTTTTAAAAGATACTTAAGTAGAGATTTGAAAAAGAGAAAATTGAATGTTGCCATGTGTTATTCCATTACTTGATGTCTCTTAACAGAGTATTTATTTTAATGTTTTAATGATTTTTTTCAATGAATTCATGTTTTTTCAAAATAAAAATGTATCTCGTTAAAATACATGTTTTTATTATCATAAATTAGATTTTTTTATGGAGACTAAAATGATGGTTATAATTTGTGTCTACTCTTTTAAAGTGATCAGTTTACTTAAAAATTTTTAATACTCAGGTGCCTTGCAGTTTTTCTGGCATTTAGGTTTATGAAGGATGCTTCATAAATCCTCCCCTTTGTGAAGTGCAGGTATCCAGGAGGGGTTCCAGGGTGCCATCTCAGGCTGCATTTTCCTGGGAGGGTTGTCAGTACTGTAATTCAGACCTTTCAAACTCCAGATGGTAGGCATGTGATTGGGTATCCTTTGCAGAGTAGCTTAGTTTCATCTGCTGTGAAAGAGTTGAAGCAGCTGAACTCCCTGTGGGCTGGTTTTTTTTTTTTTTTTTTTTTTTTGTCTTTTTGAGGCAGAGTCTCTCTACGCAGTTCAGGCTGGCCTTGGCTCACTTTGTAGCCCAGGCTGGTCTCCAATTTGCGATGATCCACCTGCCGCAGCCTCCCAAGTGCTGGGATTACAGGCACGCACCACCATGTCCAGCTTCTGAATGTCCTGTGTTTTGATCTCTGCTGTTGTTGAAGGAAACTCCATTGTTGTAGTTTTGAACCTGGTGTACATTAGAGTCACCTGGGGAATTTTTGTAACATATGGATGCCTGGAGCCCCACACCCTTAAGATGATTTAATTGGGGTGGGCTTGGGCCTTGATGTTTTTCTTAAGCTTCTTGATGATGCACATGCACAGAAAGGATTGAGTACCAGTGAGCTGTGATATCTGCAGTAACTGTCTGTCATTCACTTGTGACTTGCAAATTCAAACAAGATTTTAGTGTTTCACTCCTCCTTGGCATATGATAAATGTCTAACATTTTCTCATGCTTTTAATCTTTATAATTTACTAACCAAGCCTGTTCTCTCTACTATAGAATTGTTCACTATCAGCTTAGAATATTTTATGTTCTAACTGAAAATTTTCTTTGCCTCTGTGTTTTGTTTTTTGGTTTATCTGGTAAGTGGGCAAAGAGAGGGAGTAATAGAAACAGATGAGAAATTTGTTGCGGAGAGAGTCTGATGTGTGATTCGGGTGCCATCTGTAGCCCTCCTCTCCTGCCATACCATAGTTAGCAAAGCAGCAGTGGATGTGAATTCTGAAATACAATTGCTTTGAACTGATACGTTTTGGGTATTGAGAACATCTTTCTTTAGTGGAAGCCTTTGCTTTACTAACCTGCAATTCTAGTGCCCTGAACTGAAAGATTTCTGGATTATAACCCTCAGACCAGTCTTACCTGAAACCAGTTGTATTGCTGGTCCGATTTAGTCTCATCAAGATGCTTTCCATAGATACAAGGGTGCTGTTTACCAAATGGTATTGTGAGAATCATTTAAGAAGGACCTGGCTTTTGTGCCTGTTTTAGTCTGACATTGTGTTGAGCATGAAAATGAAGAAAGCATTTATTTTTCAGTTAATTTTTTAATTTTAATTTTTTAGGTGATTCGATCTGGGCAGAAACTAAGGAAGAAATCCACTGACACAGGGGAGAAACGGGGAGGCTGGTTTAGTGGGTTTTGGGGTAAGAAGGAGTCTAAGAAAAAAGGTGAAGAATCATTGATTCCTGAAAGTAAGTTCCGAGTCTGCCAGTTTATTGTATATTCATGAGAAAAAATTAGGTTAATTATACCTTAGTCTTCCAGTTGAACTTCATTTCAAAAAACTTTTATTTTGAAAAAAAATCAGCTCAGTATCCTAGTAAATTTATCTCAAGTAAAACTTTTTCTTGAGAAGAATTATATGAAATTTAAAATGTTCAGATTTAGGGGTTTCAGCACTTAGCACTTACCTTTTCCATGAATATTTAATAATAAGTTTCACTTCAGTTTTAAAATTTTCTAAGACCCTCTTTTAAAACCGTTTGCAAACAGAATTTCTTTTGTACCATCTCTTTGTCTTTACTGAAATGGTGAACACAGACAGGTGCTTATTTTCGTCATAGTGGAGTATTAGAGGAAATTACTTGGCTGATTGGTTTTATCGTTTGCCTCTGTTGATTTTGGGACATTTGTTTTGACTTGTTGGTTTTATTTGTAAAGCTGAAGAAATTAATTTCTTGAATTACTGTTTTCCTTGTAGCTATTGATGATCTTATGACCCCTGAGGAGAAGGACAAACTCTTCACTGCTATTGGTTACAGCGGGAGCATGCATAACTTGACTTTGCCCAAGAAGGTAATTACACTGCACTGGAGAGGTGTTTCCATCCTTCCTGCCGCGTGGTCTGTAATTGGATTACATAAGTTCCAACTTTTAACTGCTGGAAATATGTTATTGTTAGTTTCTACTTTACTCTTCAGTTGTTAAATGCTTCCAGTCAGACCTTACCAATTAAAATTTTCCCTTCAACGTTAGATATTAGTGAGTGTAAGGATAATCTGATTAAAAAGTGCTTCTTATAGTTTAAATTGAATCTTTAAAAGTTTTTTTGCTGTGAAACATAACTCATGTAAGAGTGAAAGAAACTGAAATGTCCTGCTCACTTGGTTGATCAGAAAGGACACAAGTGTATAATTACTGTTAGGGTCCAGATTAGTCTTGCCACTGATATAGAACCCCTGTGTATATTCCTGTTCTTCCTTTTCAGAGGCAGTTAATAACCAGCTTTTTGTGTTAACAATTCGTTTGATTTTTGTTTTACTATAAACACTGATTTTATTTTGTACATTTTTGTCTTTCTCTAAATGGAATTATAAAGTACATGTTTGTGTTTGCTGTGAGGCCCATCCTGTTGTACTGCATATATTTTGCTCATTTTTGTCGCTCCATAGGATTCCAACACTTACAAAAAATACCAAAAGTTATTCATTTGTGCTTCTGTTGATGAACATTTGGGTTGTTCCGTTTGTTCGGTTATTATGAGTAATGCTGCCATGGATTTCTTGTAGGTATCTTTGTAATGTGTATATCTTAAGATTTCCTGTGTATTATCTACTTAGGAATAAAACTGCTGGGTCATAGGATACGAGTGTATGTAATAGTGTAGTCTCTGAAATAGTTTTGCAAGATGGAAAACATTTCCATTTGCAGATATGAGGATTCTGCATCTTCACCAACACTTGGCATCAATCTTTTAAATTTTAGTGGTGTTAAGCTCTGATTATTTTAAAACAAGAGCTCCCTGTGTAGACCACATTGGCCTTGAGCTTGTTATCTTCATCTTCCTAGCCTCCTGAGTGTTGAGATTGCAAGCTTGTGCCACCATGACTGGCTTGATCTTTGGATAAGGGAATCTTGGCTACTCTAGATCATTCATGCTTCCACATGCTATTCCGAATCATCAGTGTTTCCAGAAGTACATGCTGACGATTTGTTAGAGATTGAACTGAATGTATGGGTTACTTTAGGGAGAGTGGTAATGTCACCAAACTGGATGTTTCGGTTATTTAGTTCCTTTCTGTTTGGCCATGCATGTACTATTACTTTCTGCCCAAAGAGTGCCCATTTCTGTATATTCTTTTTTTTTTTTTTTTTGTACTGGGAATCAAACTCAGGACCTTGCACTTACCAGACAGGTGCTGTGCAGCTGAGCTACATCTCTAGTCCTATACATTATTCCTTTTAATACTGGTCTGTTGGTAATTAGTTTTCTAAAAATGTATCTATTTTCCCTTTTTTCTTGAAGGATTCTTTTTTCTGCATATAGAATTATAGATTGTTTGAATTCATTAAGCTATCTTGAGGTCTTATGGGAAATCACTAAAGCTTTTATTTTTCTTTCTTCATTCTCTTTCTCTTTTTAAAATTTCTAATATCTTTAGATTTTATATCTCATGTGTCTGTCTCTTCTTTATTCTGTATATCCAAGTTCTTAATTTAAATTGTTTCCTCTTATTCTCCCATGAGCTGATTGTTTATTCATTAAATTCCTTATTTTTTGTATCGTTTAGTTCTTGAGTTTCTGTTTGGTTCTGTACACTTTTTTTTTTTAAAGAATAGCTTTGAAATTCTTTACTAACATGCTCAGTTTTGTCATTTAGCTCCTTGAGTATAGTGAGCACCACAGTGTACCTCTAAGCTTACACTTCCTGTGAGTGTAAAATGTGATGTCTAGAGTCCCTGTGAGTATCTATTCTTTGTGGTTTTTTTGGGTTTGTTTGGACATATTCTGGATTCGATGAGCATATCTGTACATGTGCCTAATATATTAGATATTGATTTTGCAAATGATATATACTTTTATGTTTTAGAGACATAGGGAAATAGTATCCAGTAAGGTAGATTCTTGTTTCAGGGAGACGTTGTGTTTCTTCCTGGTGTCTGTAGCACCATTACGTGGGATCACCTCGGTCTTTTGGGGGGCTTGATGTGATTTGATGCTGTGCTGTGGATCCTGGGAGTCTGCCTACTTAGATGCTTGCCTTTCGCCCTGCACCGTGGCCCATCAGGGTCCTAGCCAAAGTTGGGGAGTCTCATCGGTGCCATTGCCCTTTGTAGGGACCTCGTTTCCAGTTTGGATCTTGCTGGCCAGCTTCACAGCCCCTTGGCTCCCTCATTCAGTTTTCAAGCACTCTGGCTGAGTTATGGTCTCAGATTCCAGAGTTATCTTCCGGTTGGTTGGCTGTCCTGTGTCTAGGTCTAGTCATGACTTGACAAGCATCGGGTCAGGAGTCTCCTTTTAGTGTGTTGCTAACTTCCTGCAGCCATCAGGTGGGTGTTTCTTATTATCATTTGTTTGTTTGTTTGTTTTTTTTTTGCTCATCTACAAGAAGTCTTATTGTACGTCATTGTTATACTACTTTAAAACTTAAGAGAAATGAACTTTGGATCTTTATAAATTGTATTAGAGAGAAAATTTTATCAAAATTTTATTCTGCTGTTCTTCATTTGTGGTAATTATGTGATTGCCAAAACCTCCATGTTGCTAGGTTACGTTATAATTCATCATATTTATTTAAAAAGAAACTGCTAAAGGTTATGTAAACTGTAACAATTTTCACTCAATTTTTTTCTTCAGTATGTTGCCTATATAATGACCTTGAAGTTGGTAAGCACTTCTATTGTAATCAGAGAAAACAAAAATATTCCTGAAATCCTAAAAATCCAGATCATTGGCCTGGGCACCTGTTGGGAGCCGCGTCTGTGATAGCTCGCCTTGCGCGGCGGACGTGCGGCCTGTGGTAAAGAGCAAAGCCTGAGGTAGATTACCCCTCCCATCGAATATGTTAGTTTCCTGCTTACCGCGTAAACAACCCGCTCAACAATATAGTCTGCCTGGCAACTGATGATGTTAGCCAATCAGCTTGCCTTGCTTACTTTAACATGATTGGACACTGTACCCGTATATATACCGGTGCCACCCCTGGGCGGAAGAAGAAGCCAGGTAGAAGCCTGGAAGTAGAAGCCCAGAAGGAGCCGCGGAGAGCGGACCGGTAGAGGCTTCGGAGCGAAGCCCGGAAGGAGCCGCGGGGAGCGGACCAGAGGAGGCTTCGGCTGGGAGCGATCCCAGGGCAGGCTGTACGGAGAAGGAAAATAAAAAGAAAAGGTTGTCCACTACCAGACTTTGTCGTGTGTCCTTCCTGCCGGCCGGGAGCGGACATCGACATTTGGAGGCCCGCCCGGGGACTGATCACCCCCGAGACGTGGAAGTGGACAACGCTCCAGTACAGAGCTGCGAGACAGGTGAGTTGGGGATAAGCCTGGGCTCTGGGTGGCGCGCACCTACAGGGCTTTTAGACTCCCCTCAGGCTCACGCGTAAGTGGCGGATTCCTTGGGCCTCACGCGGTGAGTAACATATTAAAAGATGGGAAACATGTTAGGTAGCAACACTAAGAGCGAGGGTGGTTGTGGAGAAAGCTCTCAAGAGCTTACAAAAGTACGCAGGGTATCTGAGCAGGCCCAGTCAGGGAGCTCCCGAGAGGGGTCCGTCAAGGGGAACAAGGATGCTAAGGAGGAGGACGGGGCTCTAGCCTCGGAGTCGTCTGACTCCGAGGACGAGGGAAAGTTGAATGGCAAGGAGGCCAAAGAGACCAGCTGTCAGGAGCCTAAGTCGCTCAATAAGGAGTCGCAGGGTTCTTTTCCAGCGTTGCCCCGCGAATTGCGCTCTACTCAACCTGGTCTGCGGAGGAGTAGAGAGCTCCTGAGCGCTCCCCGGCGCGAGAGGGAGGCGAAGCCTTCCGCCCCACCTTGGGGGCCGTTTCCGGAGGCGATTCCTCGCCACGAGGCGGCCGCCTGGGAGCTCCCTCCCCTTTCGCCAGAACAGGAAGTGATGCACGGGCCCCCATTTTCTGCCCAATCACGGCCGCTGTCTTATGCTCCGCCGCCGGCGGGTCGGTATTTTTACAGGCGGCTTTGGCAGGGGGGACGCTTGTCTCATGAGGTACATCCACCTGGGATAGATAGTGGCCCCTACGGGATATTTCCTGTACAAGTAGCTATGGGCCAGGGACGCAATGTATGGGAGCCTTTTGAGATAAAGCAGATTAGAGAACTTAAAAATGCAGTTACAACCTTTGGGCCGACTGCGCCTTACACCATTGCCATGCTGGAGAATCTGTCTTCTGGGCCCCTCACCCCCGCGGACTGGATTCAGCTGGCAAAGGCGTGTCTGCCCTCGGGCAGTTACCTGGATTGGCGAGCCTGGTACACAGAGTTCTCTGCCGAGCAGGCTGAGAAAAACGCCGGTCGAGGAAGCGGGGGCTGGGGATTTAGCTTAGCGGCATAAGCGCCTGCCTTGTAAGCAGGCAATCGCCAGTTCGATCCCTGGTACCGATAAAAAAAAAAAAAAAAAAAAAAAAAAAAAAAACGAAAAAGATAAAAATAAAAAATAAAAAATAAAAAACAAAAGGGGGAGTAGGCCAAGGCCTGGCCCCAAAGGCACGATTATCCATGGCACTATTCACACACAATTTTTTAAATTTAAATAATGATAATCGCTCCCCAGCTGTGGAGCACTGCAACCCTTCCCCCAACCATAAAGGGTGGGTGAAGTGGAAAGATGTCCTGACAGGACAATGGATGGGCCCGGATCCAGTGGTCAGCTGGAACCGAGGCGCGGTTTGTGTTTTCCCACAGGAACCGGGACGAGAACCACTGTGGATACCGGAGAGACTGACACGGGCAACAAAGCCCTCGACTGAAGATCAGACCTGCCCTACTGGAGATCCATCACAGACCAACCAATAAGATGAATAGAAATAGCGGTAGCCCGAAATGGACAAGAAGATCCTCAGGCATATGCATGGCTTGCTCAATTGGCCCACGACCGAGTCTAGATATGGCGGGCATCCCTCATTCTCCTCCATAAGGTGACAATACACAGCAGGGTAGGTGAGTCAATGACGGGTAAGAGCGTGCCTCCCCAGCACGACTCGACCTAAGCCAGGCCCTACCCCATCCTGCACGTAAGCCGCTGGACTGTTAGATGCTGCCCAGGTCTAAATTTCTCTCCGAGGGGATTTCTTTACGGAGAGGAAATGAGTGCAAGCTTGTGTGCATCCAGGTTCCGTCCAGTTTGTGCCTGGCCCTAGAAAAAGGACGAGGGCCTCAGGGCCTTGGCAGACCATGGCATGGCCAACCAGGGTCTAAGCCAAGGACCTACGGTGGGCCTACACATAGGGCATAAGCCTCTGCACCCAGTCCAGGAAGGGCTACGATGCGCACATTCATAAAAAATAAAATAGGGGGAGATGTTGGGAGCCGCGTCTGTGATAGCTCGCCTTGCGCGGCGGACGTGCGGCCTGTGGTAAAGAGCAAAGCCTGAGGTAGATTACCCCTCCCATCGAATATGTTAGTTTCCTGCTTACCGCGTAAACAACCCGCTCAACAATATAGTCTGCCTGGCAACTGATGATGTTAGCCAATCAGCTTGCCTTGCTTACTTTAACATGATTGGACACTGTACCCGTATATATACCGGTGCCACCCCTGGGCGGAAGAAGAAGCCAGGTAGAAGCCCAGAAGTAAAAGCCCAAAAGGAGCCGCGGAGAGCGGACCGGTAGAGGCTTTGGGGCAGACTGAAGCACAAAAGGAGCCGCGGGGAGCGGACCAGAGGAGGCTTCAGCTGGGAGAACCCAGGGCAGGCTGTACGGAGAAGGAAAATAAAAAGAAAAGGTTGTCCACTACCAGACTTTGTCGTGTGTCCTTCCTGCCGGCCGGGAGCGGACATCGACAGGCACCCAAGTATGCCAGGAGCGCAAGCCCTTAAGTAAGTTTTTAAAAACTTATTTCAGTTTTTAACTCTAATAATGATTGTAGACCAGAATATATGAAATGCTATGCAGCATGGAAAAGATCAGTAACACTCTTTTTTTTAAAGATTTTTATTTTTTGTGGTACCAGGGATCAAACTCATGACCTCATGCTTGCCAGGCAGGCACTTATGCCACTGAGCTAAATCCCTGGCCAGTAACACCTCTTTTTAAAATTTTTTTGTGTGTGCCAAGATAGTCATCTTGTGTTTCAGTTATTATGGAACTACATAGAGTTCATCATTATTGTACTCTCCTTCCTTTTCTTCACAAACATTTGATGCCATGTGCTTCAGGCTCCGAAAGCTGTGTGTAGGCACTGTGAGCCTTCGTTTTCAGGAAGTGTAAGCTGTAGCTGGTACGACATACATAAAGCTAGTAATTCAGGAGCTGTGTAACATGTTAGGTGGTCAGAGTGAGGTGATGGTGTACATTAGTACCTTCTGTTACTGCTGCACAAGCTCATCTGGGCAAGAGCCTAACTGAACCCACGAAGGCTTAGTCTGGCTGATGGGAAAGAGCACGAGAAGAAGCAGGGGAGAGATGAAGGCTGGTGAGGCTGGCATAGGAGCAGGCAGATAACTTCTCCCATTTTGCATGAATTTTTATTCACCAAAAAGTGGTCAGAACCGCTGCAGTCCCCTGGGGTTGGTGAAAGTGAGCTTTTCCAGCAGACAATGAGGTAATAAAAACAGTCACAAAGTGATAGCAGCATTGCAAACAGATGACGAAAGTGAATGGACGGCAGGCTAAGGAAGCTAAATTTCACTTCTGGGTAATAGACTGGGCCTGATTCTTGGAAGACTGTTTTAAGAAAAAGTTGTATTTCAGCCTATTAAATTACAAAGGCTCTTATGACTTTCTCATTCTCCTTGGACTGCAGGGTAGAAGCAAAGTTAGAACACTGGTATATCACAGGTCTGAGACAGCAGGATACTGTGCCATCCCTTGTGGCTTCCATTGGTGACACTGCATCATCCTTGCTTAAAATTGAGTTTGAAACCAATCCAGAGAACAGCCTTGCTGACCAGACGCTGACCGTCCAGTCCCAGCCCGTGGAGGTCATCTACGATGCTGTAGGTGCAGGGAGGCTGGGCTCCTTGCTGCGGCTGCCTTGCATTTAGTGTTTGCTTATTTCTCTTCTGTTCTGTTTAATTAGCAAACTTCAGTTTCATAAGCTTTTTCTTGTTTCAAAGCAGTGTGTGTTATAGTAGTCGATTTTAATTTCTCATATGCTATTGCCATTCTTTTCCTTAAGTATTTAAGATCTATTTATGTCTCCTTATGTTAGATGTAAAAACCCTAATATACCTACAGAGCAGCCTGTGCATGTGCCAGCTACTGCCGATTAGGTGCACACTGTTTGCCTGCTCTTTTTTGCTCTCCGTGTTTGGAACCTAAGCTCGAGGAGTGGGGGGAGAATTCCCAGTGCTGTCTATATGGGAGCAAGCACTGACGCTGAGGTGTTCCGGACAGCGCTGCCTCCAGCTCTGTGTCTGTGCCTCGCCCTCCGCTAGCCCAAGCTCCCTCTCACTCCACATACTGCCTCACCCACCGCCACCCTCCTGTACTTCACTGTGGAGGTTAGAGATGGGTTCCCAGTATACACGAAGGATGGATGCAGACACTCCAGAATGCACTGTGCTTCTGAACGTCTAAAAATTTTATGTTTTTTGTAAAATACACATAACAAAATTTACCATGTTAAGTGTTTTAAAGTAGTGTTAAGTGGCATAGTGTTCTATGGCCAATCTCCAGAACCTTTTTCATTTTACAAAAATCTCTTTTTAGAATTAACATCAACTTTTGTATATAAATAAGGCCTGAATAGTTTTCTTCTTACTTCCTCTCTAAATTTCAGAGTACAATGCAATCCAATCACAGTTTTCAAAAGTACTATTTTACTGACCGACGAGAGGCTAAAGCTAGCAGTGATGTCTGTAGTTCCTTGCCTGTGTCGCTGTACCCCTGTGGAATGCAGCTGACACTGAGGTGACATGCAGATGTTGGCAACTTCCCTATAAGCTTACTCGGCTGCTCTTCCTCTAGTGGGAGGTGAAATAGTCCAGAATATCTTTCGATTTCTCCTTTCAAAGCCATTACTATTTTAGAATGAGGCAAAGTCTTAAAAAGTTACAATATTGAAAGAGGTATATATGTTTAACTTGATTGTATTTTTAAATTCCTTTACAGAAAACCATCAATGCAGTGGTTGATTTCTTTCAGTCAAATAGGGGATTGGATCTTGAGCAAATAACATCAGCCACTTTGATGAAGCTGGAAGAAATTAAAGAGAGAACAGCTACTGGTAAAGAATTCATGTCTCCATACACTTGAAAAATGTGTGTTCTTCTGTCCATGTATTTAAACTAGTGTAGGTTCCTTCAGTTGTGCGGATTGTACAACAGACACGGCTTACTCAAGTGGAAATACAGGGACTGGGATAATTTAGCTAAATGGTACAACGCTTGTGTAGCAAGTGGGAAGCTTTGAGTTCAGTCCTCAATACCAAAAAAAATTTTTTTTAAAAACCTAAAAAGCAAAAAAGAAAAGACAAAAGTACCAAGGCAACTCAAGCTGAAACATCCATTCTAGGCTGGACAAGGAGAACGGTAGGGAGTGCAGATGACTCCACCTGCTCTATGTCCAGGACCCTGCCCGGAAGGAGCTTGAGATGGAGGCACCCTCCATCTGCTCTGGGAAGCTGCAGTCCACGCAGCGCAGGATGCTGGTTTTCAGGATGGACGCTTCTGTGTGACGGGGCCTCTACTCATGCCAAGTGTGTTACCTGCTCATTCTCTCTCCATAGAGAACTCTAGCACTGGACTCGTACTGAGCTGACTATGCTCCGCTGTGAGACAGTTACTTTCACTGACTGTGTGCAGGTTGCACCTCAGCTGAGAATCTGACTTATGAGAGCTTGCTGCCCTCCTCAGTGCCTTTCAAGTGAATCTGTTAGTCTGGTTAGTAGTGTGATTATACATTTCACCGTCTCCTTTTCTTTTCCTTCAGGACTTACACATATAATTGAGACTCGAAAAGTTCTTGATTTAAGGATAAATCTGAAGCCTTCTTATCTAATAGTTCCACAGACAGGCTTCCACCATGAAAAGTCAAATCTTCTCATTTTAGATTTTGGTACATTTCAGGTAGGTGTATGCACACTTCTGTCTGCTTTGACAGGCTTGGTAGCTCACTAACTGATAGCCTGCTCTTCTTTCCATATTTTCTTTATTACATATTTCAGCCTAACCATTTCATCTTCCATTTTTTTTCTTCAGGACTTAAACAAACATAATATTGAGACTTGAAAAGTGTTTGACTTAAGGACAAATCTGAAGTCTTTTCTGATAATGCCACAATTAGGTTTCTACCATAAAAAGTGAAACTTCTCAGAGTTCACTTAAACTAAACTAAGACTTTCTTAGCATTTGTCAAGGTTAGTCTAGATTACTCAGTATGAGTGTGAGTGTAGTTCCCTGGTGCTTGCCTACATTACAGTATATGCATTATATAACGGTTAAATAGCACTATTAATCAGTAGTAGGTGATTTCACATTGATGATGGGATTGCTTTTGTGTTTTCCTAATTGGGGAGGAACAGTGTTAGTTTTCATGGTTTCTCGAGATTAATTATGCAGTGTTGCATGTTGCTTATGTATTTTGCTTACAGGAGACTGTATGTATATATTTGTTTAATCACTGCCAGTAACTAAGTAGAACAAAAGAACCCATAGATTTTGGTGTTTGACTCTCATGGAATCTCAACCTCTGGAAGAAAGATAAAACTTTCAGAAATAAGTCTTTGCTTCGGCTAGGAAGGGGGAAAAGGAAGTAGAACTAGATACTAATTTCTCATGGGCTAATTGCTATCACCGAACAGTGGAGAGAAGGAGTAAAGCCCTGCTGTTCCTGGTGTAGGGTGGTGGGAGGTGCAGAGCCTTAAGGACAGTCTCATTTATTTAAGTTTTGGGAAAACACACAACTAAAATATGTTGATTTGTGTACATTCTGTTGTGTAAAAAAAATCAAAAATTTTTTCTTCATTTTAGCTCAACAGTAAAAGTCAAGGTCTACAGAAGACTACCAGTTCATCTTTGGAAGAAATAATGGATAAAGCATATGACAAGTTTGATGTTGAAATAAAGAGTGTGCAACTACTCTTTGCAAGAGCAGGTATAGCACTGATCAACTTTCAGAATACTGAAATTAGTGTGAATGGCTTAAGTCAGATACATGTATGTGTTCATGTGCATATATAAACCTTTATAACGATTTTGCACAAATAACTATTGGTGCTTAAGAAAACCATATAGAAGCATATTATGCAAACCACTGTCAGTTATAAACTGAAACAGTATTTGCCAATTCATCTTAGGGTGGTGTTTGAACCTAGTCAATTCACAAATTGTATTTTTGCAATATGATGTAAAACAGTTCAGAATCCAAAATGGAAGCTGTGATTGGTTCAGGTTCCTCTGTCCTGATGCTTTTTGGAATGTTTTGATGTCATTTTCCCATGTTGCCTTTATTATTATATATGTTACTTATCTTTTTTTTTAATTTTATTTAAGGAGAAAAAAACAGAAAAAGGGTACAAGTTATACAGAATTTCAGAAAAAAACAGGAAATCACTAGTTAATAGATTACATATTGTCATCTTAGAAATAATTGTTCAAGTTACAAAATTAAAGCATATAAAGTGGACATTCAAACAGTGAGACTGCAAACAGTTCTGTTCAGTGATCCAATAAAACTCGGTAATATGGTTACCTATCTTACACACTTAAATATACATGCAGTTATGTCCTGTAGAGCACTTTCTTTTCCTCTCTTTTGTACAATGACAATTACACATTTTGGGTTTTATTACTCCCACTGTTCTTATTACTTTTTTTTGAAAAAAGTAAAACCAAATGTGACATAATAGGACAGAGTCAGTCAAATCAAAAGGATGGACATAATACATAATGTAAAAACAAAATACAAGGTGATCAACAATGGTTACCCTTAATGCCTCTTGCTATCTTAAAAAGAATTGCCTATATCATCAGTTACAATAAAATTGAACAAAACAGATGTGGTGTATTCTCTATCCCATGAGTAAAGGCTTCGGGTATTTATACTTTCTCTAGTTTTACAGACACTAAGTATTTATTAAATATCTTTGTATATCACTTTGTGATAGATCATCGGAGAAAAGTACAGGCAAAATTACGGAGTACAGTGTACAATCTATAAGAGTGAGTTTTTTGTACACTAAGGGCCTGTTAGTTCCTGTAAGGCAAATACACAAACCATTAAACTTCCCTTTTTGAGTATGTATTTACAAACAGTTGAAGTACAAGTGACAAAACGTGCTCCACATTGCCATCAGGAAGACATGTACAAGACAGCCATTGGGAAATCTATCTTTAAGATTTTCTTTTCTTGAAAAAGTGATTATCACACTTTTTTTTGCTACTAGGGATCAAACTCACAACTTGGTGCATGTCAGGAAGGCGCTTATGCCACTGAACTAAATCCCCAGTCCATTATCCGATGTTTTTATCATAAAATCTTGCATTACAAAACTTTTTCTCTGCCATCATATGTGAAGCAAATGTAATTATTGCTCTTAGGAATTCCATCAACCTTACCCCCACCCTTTTGTGCTTTTTTCCCCTACTTTTTACCATAGCTACCTATCTTGATTGCTAACTCTGGAATTGAGGTAATTCCTGTTTTTTTCCCCCCTTCTTGGTTTTTTTTTTTTTTTTTGTGTGTGTGTGTAACGGAAGTAGAACTCACAACCTTGTGTTTGCCAAGCAGGCACTTAGGCCACTGAGCCCCCTATGCTTGCTTTGAAATGCAAGCATTGTCATATAAACATTTTCAAAAAGTATATAGAATTATCTTTATATCACAGTCTCTGTGAGCCTATGTTTAAAATACAGGTTACCCTAGTTCCGTGGTACAGTGCTTGCCTCGCATGTGTGAAGCCCTCAGTTTGATCCCCAGTACAGCAAAAATATCCTGTATAATGAAAGAATTAAAAGTGAGCATTGACTCTGTCTCTTCACTATTTTCTACTAAAAGTTTTCTGCAGAATAGTCGATAATGCATTAAAATTAATTTAAACTCCTTTTTTGAAGGGGAAAACTGGAAGAAGTACCGTTTTCAGCACCCGTCCACTATGCATATACTGCAGCCCATGGATATTCATGTGGAGCTAGCCAAGGCGATGGTAGAGAAGGACACGAGAATGGCCAGGTAATGCGTGGGTTTCTTTTGTTTCAGAAACCAACAAAGTGAATGCTGTCCATATCAGCTACTGGATAGATTTCTGTGGGAGACAGAAAATTAAAATACATTTTAAAGAAATGATAATTTGAATTATATGTAACCTTTTGAGAAGTTTTATCTAGACTTTTAGACAGTATAAAATTAGGTGATCTGTGTCTTTAAATGGCTTTCAGGTGCATTATAGCTCTTTCAAGGTGCATTATTAATGAGGTAAAGCCTCCAGAAACATGTTTCACCATGAAACTACCTGAAATCTTTAAAAAATCTAAGAGGATAAAAATTAAAACTGAATTTTGGTCAGTTAAACTGCCCTTTAGAAAAACATTTTTGTTGACATATGGTTGGCATTCAGTAGGCTGAGTCGTTGAAAGTGTATGATTTGGTAAGTTTTGACATGTGTGTATCTCCGTGAAAATTTCACAGGCAAGTAATGAACACATCCATCACCTCCAAAAGTTTCCTTGAACTCTGGTATTTCCTCCTTCCCTTCCTTTCCCTGTCTAATTCCTCTCCCCCTCAACCAATCCTTGGACAACATTGGTCTGTTTTCTGACACTGGGGATTTGTTAGAACTTTCTAGAATTTTATATGAATGAAAACATAGATTTTTAATTTTTTGTTTGATCTCTTTGAACATAATTAGTGATTCATTCACGTTGGTGTATGTATCAGCAATTCCTTCATACTCTTTACCAGATAGATGTTAAACCAACTGTCTTACTAGAGAAACCTTACTTGGTAATATTCAAAATATCATGGGGAATAATTTGCAAAAATTTTGTTAACAAGTGTTGTATCTGTGTTCATGAGGGATATTGATCCATGCTTTTCTTTTTTGTTTTGATATTAGGGTAATATTGGCTATGTGGGAAATGTTACATAGAAATCAGTTTTCTTTCTTCTCTCTCTCTCTCTCTCTCTCTCTCTCTCTCTCTCTCTCTTTCTTTCTATGTTTGGAAGAATTTTAAAATCTTTTTTTAAAGAGGAAGAAGTGTCTATTTTCCCACCCATCGGCTGCGTGTTTCTTGCAGCCCATGGGTATTCATGTGGAGTTGGCCAAGGGGACGTTAGAAAAAGACGTTAGAATGGCCGTCAGCACTTGGAGTTTTTCTTTTTTTTCTAGGTTTTAAACTATAAATTTAGTTTATTATAGAGATTCACATGTATTCAGATTGTTTTGAATCATCCTTTGAGTGTTGCAAATATTTTACATGATTTTAAGAAATTTATCTTTGTTGTTTGGTTTATTAGCATAAAATTATAGTATTTTCTTATTTGTTTAATACATTAATAATCTGTAGTCATGTTATCTCTCTCAATTCTGGTATTAGTGATTTGAGTTTTCTCTCCCTCTTTTTTTTTTTTTCCTACAAGTCTTGCTAGAGATTTATGAGTTTTCTTAACCTTCTTTTTAATTTCAAATATTTTCTCAAGTTGATTTCTGTTTTTGCCTTTTTTTGGTCCTCATTTCTACCCTGATGTTTACTGCTGTTCTTTTTTCCTGCGTATTTTGAGTTTTGTTGCCCTTTCATTCGCATTTTCTTGAGGTAGTAGTTGAGGTCATTCGTTTGAGCCTTGTTGCTCATGTAGGCATGTAGCGCTATGAGTTTCCCTCTAACCACTGCTGCCTTTATCCTGACCCTAAAAGCCCACCTGCAGGTAGGCATCTGTAAGCCCGGCTATTCACAGCCCAGCCAGGAAGCCAGGGATAACTTAAAAGAGTTTTATGGCGGCAGTGGCTGCACAGTGTGTTGGAGACAGGCAGACTGGGGTGGGTGCAGGGAACAGCTGTGGGGCCAGTTGCTGAGGACAGCAGGCCTGTGACACAGTGTGGACAGATGGACAGATGGCCTCAGGGAACTTACACTGCAGCCAGGGATGTGAGATGAGCTAGTGTATCCGTATATGACTTGTGAAGTGCTCCCAAGTGCTCTGTTAAAATAAATAAGAGACAAGGAGATAGTGACAGGATAGATACTCTTTTCCACTAATGATGAGAAATCTTGGATATTTGGAAATAAAGTATACATGGCGGTTTTGGTTTTAAAAAGAGAATTTGTTTAGTATGTTTAGGCTTTGTAAAAACCTTTAAAAGTTTGGCTGCTTAAAAAAGGATACCTGGAAATTAAATTACCAGGTATCCTTAAATTAATTAAATTACCTGGAAACCTGACTTAGAATCCCAGTTGGCTGACAGTATTGTCAGCACAAGCCGGGGATTGGATTAGAACTTGTCTACAGTAACCCGACTCTGCAGCTCCTTCCCCCTCTGCAGTACTGATGGAGAGGCTGGCTGATCCTGAAATCTTACGGCTGAATTGTGTTTTTAGATTTAAAGCATCAGGAGGACTTCCTTTGATGCATGTGAGGATTTCAGACCAGAAGATGAAAGATGTGCTGTGTTTGATTAACAGTATACCTTTGCCACAGAAATCATCAACTCAATCTCCAGAGAGACAGGTAATGGGTATGACACAAATATTCAATCTTCTGTTTTCAGACAACTGCTGTAATAGAGTAGCAGTCGGAAGGCAGTTTTAGGGCAAACTTTATGCTTGAAAGAACCAAAAATACAGGAAAGGAAAATAAAATAGAAAACATACTTTAAATAAAATTAGAAATATAAATCATCTTAGAAATGTTGCAAATAAAATAATGGGGATAAAATTTCCTTTTGTGTTGGACTTTAAAGTTCTGAGTCACTTTAATTGAAATAATTTTCATAGCATAAAAGAAATGTTGGGCCAGGCATGGTGGCACATACCTGTAATTTCAGCACTTGTGAGGCAGAGGCAGGAGGATCACTGAGTTCACAGCCAGCTTGGACTACATAATGAGATCAAGGCCAGCGTGAACTACTAGTGAAAACCCTCCTCTCCACCCCAAACACACAGAAGAAATGTTGGATTTTTGCTTACTTAGAAACACATTTTGAGAGAATCATCTGATGCTGAACTCATTTTCTAGGGACCTCTGATGTTCACAGCAGCTAAATGATAAACATTAATGAATCACCTTATCTGCTAGAGTTATACATAATTTTATCTTTTAAACATGACGACAATCTTAATTTGTAAATTTCAACTATTATTCAGTTACAGAATTTATCCTTCCTTTTTTATTTAAAATTTTTTTAAAAAACAGTATCCTGCTGTATAGTTCAGGCTGGCCTCGAACTCACAACAATCTCCTTGCCTCAGCCTCCTGAGTGCTAGGATTATAGGCACGTGTCCCCGTGTCTGGATGTCATGTATTCTGTTGGAAGATTTATATATGGCGTGTATGAGTTTTTCCATCTCTGAACTTTGTTAGTTTTCAGTCTCGTGTGTATTTAATCCTGTGAAATTCATATTTTGTTTTTGTTTCTGTGTACTTTGCTAGGTATCGTCAGTTCCTGTTGCTTCAAGTGGGACAAAAGTTCTCCTTGGTACTTCATTATTGCTGAGTGAAATGGATTCAGGTAAGGAGTGTAAAAGTGTGTTTCTAAATTATCTTTATCACAATAACATTTTCAGAAAAGCAGAGGTGTTAGGAGTGCATTACAGCAGTCTGCTGGTTCTGGTTCTCGTGCTGTTACCTAACAGTGTGCCTTCAGTTATTTACGTTTGGAAGGTCAGGTTTCTTTACTAAAGCCCTTTTGGTGGTCAACAATTTTTACTTCAGGTTCTAAGTAAGCTACTTGATGATCTGATCTCTGTGTGATCCTTTTCCGTAGCCATGCTTAGTTGATCTTTTGAGATTTCAAGCTAGAGCATAAGCTTGGCAGAGATAATAAGTATGTCTGTTCTGGTCACTCTTAAGTTCTTGGTGGCTGACACAGCTTGGAACATGGTAGATGGGTCAGTAACTATTTCATGGAGTACTCAGTGAGTGAACTAAGCCAAAAATGAAGTCACTGAAGGAAAGATTGTAGTGCTGTTTGATTTCAAATTTGATTATCACGTGCCTAACTGAGTCACCTCGTGGGACTTGATAAAAGCTCTGGGGCAGTTTTGAGTGTGAATGTAGAGTTACATCTAATGCATAAACTTTGCCTGAGAGGACTTGGGCTTGAGTGCTTTGTGCAGTGTTTAGTGGATGTCTTTCTACTCTAGAGTCTGACGATGAGTATTTCGACGCTGAAGACGGTGCCTTCCAGGTGCCTAGAGGTGCGCCAGGCTCCGAACCCCGAAAGGCTGCGGAGGTTCCGAACGAGGCCCTCGTTAATCTTCTGCTCAAGTTTGAAGTTAAAGAAGTATGTGTACTTTTTGTCTATGAATGTATTCTTGTCATCATTAAACTGTTTCATGGTAGACCACACATCAGGTTAGGAAAATGTACCCCCACACACCATGTCAAAACAATGAAAGTCTTTTTTTTCTTTTTTTTTAAATAGGGATGACTTGTGGTTTGATCTATTTTGGAAGAGCTCAGAGCTTTTAATTAGGATTTGTGTTTTTTCAGACAATTTCTGACTTTTTTTTTGTGGTACTGGAGATTTAATCCAGGAATCATAGAGCTACTTCCCTGGCTCTTTTTTGTTTGTATTTTGAGACAAGGTCTTGATAAGTTGCCCAGGCTGTTTCTGACCTTGGATTCCCCTTTGTAGCTGGGATTACCAGCATGTGTCACAAAGTTCAGCTTATTTTTTTAACTTTCATTTGTGAGTTAAATAATAGTTGCTCATTGTCATATTTATAGTTTGGAAAAATGTAAACATCCTAAATTTCCAGCATGCTTTTTCTGCCCTTTAAAAGTCATCTAGTAAGCTGAGTGTGGTGGCACACAAATGTAATCCCAGCACGCAGGAGCCTGAGGCAAGAGAATCCCGCAAGTCCAAGGGCAGCCTGGGCTACAAAGTGAGCTCAAGGCCAGACTGTACTGCTTAGCGAGACCCTGTCTCAAAATGGTCCAAAAAATAAGTCATGTAGTAAAAGGAAACCTGGAAATATGGTCATGGTATATAGTTTCTTGATGAAAATGGAATGTACACTAGCAAGGACACAATCTGTTTAAAATTTCATATACATGTTTTCTTTGATAAGTACAGATTGTTCATCTCGGGGTGCGGTGTTTACAGCTACAGATCTGAGAAATGTCACTGATTTGACTTGTGCATGCGGACCAAGCATTGCTGGTATTTGTTTTGAAGTGAGATGCGTTGGCCTTTTTAGCCTGCTGTCTTCCTCTTCCTCTTTGACCCCCAGTAGCAGCAGACCTCTCAGCTTTGTTTTCTATTGCACTCACATACTTGCTCTCCCCCACTGCTGCTCTATGTCCTGTCCTCTTCATCTCCGGGCTGTATCTTTGCAGCAGCTTCCTGACCGCTGCTCTGTTATCCATACGGCAGCCAAAGCGACCCTTTTAACACGGAGGCCGCGTCCTGGCGCTGCTCTGTTCGTGCCCTCCCCTGGCTCAGTGATGACTTGTGCTTTCCTGTGGCCTGCAAGGCCTTGCAGGGATCACCCGCCTGCCTGTTTGGGCCACTGTTTTCTGCTTGCTTCCTCTGTTGCAGTTGCGTTTCTTGCATTCCTCCAGTGAGTGCGGTGCCGTCCTCCACCAGACATCGGTGTTGATGTTGGAAATGGGTGGGGAGCGAAGTCCTTGCACCGCCAAGTCTACTAAATGTGTTTTTTCTCACATATGTGCACCAGAACTTTCTCTGCTTGCCATTTTTTGGTTGGGGACACTTTCCTAGCATGGCTTGGTTCTTGTGTGCTTCAAGCGCTTGTATGTGTCTCCTTACTGGGAAGACCTGACTACCTCAAGAGAGCAGTGTTCCTTTTCCTTCTCTCTCTGGCATGTGGGGCACATGAGGGCAAGAACTATGTCTGCCTGCTTAACCTTGGTCTTTTTAGCTCCTGGGACAGCCTGATACATGCATGGTACATGATATGCAATAAATACTTCATTGACTATTGAATGAACTGAGGTGAAAACAGAACTTTTGAAGGAAAAAGAATAATGCTGTTTGGAATACTTTTCCCAGTAGAACTTTTTAAAAAGGTTTCTATAGTGAAATCTATCAGTGTTTTTCTTTATGACCCAGTTTTAGTGTATGCCTAGAAAATTCTCACAAAATACTTACCCATGTTTATATATATATAAAATCTATGTATGTATGTGTATATATATATATATGTATATATATATATATATATAACCTATGTTTATATATATATATACATATATATATATATGTATGTATATATTAAATGTATATATTTTCCCCCTTTTACTTTTGTGGGTCCCAGGAATCGAACGCAGGACCTTATGCTTGTCAAGGCAGGCCCTGTGCCACTGAGCTATATTCCTGGCCCCATGTTTTATGTATTTACGATTTCATTGCTTTTGTTTAAATAATGCGTAGGAAGCTTATTTTGTATATAAAGTGTGTGCTGAACTTTACTTACTGTATTATCTTGTTGTTATCTTCTGTTTTTGGTTGCTTTTGGCTTGATTTTTCTTAAGTACATAATCATACCACCTGCTAATATTAGTGTGCCTTTTCCATAGTTTTTCTATTTTACTGGCTACCATTGCTGTTTATCAAGTTACCCTCACGCTTAGCTGCTTAAGACAGCTATTTTTGTTTGCTCATGCATTGTGGGTTAGGAGTACCAAAAAGCCCAGCTGGACTACTCTGGGTTTGCCTGTTGTCTTTGATCAGGTGTTACCTGGGGCTTCAGTCACTGGAAGCCTTGGGGTGCAGGTCCTTTGGTTCCCTTGGAGGCTGGCGGAGGCTGGCGGAGGCTGGCGGAGGCTGAGGGCTGGCTGCTATCTGGGCTTGACTCTCCAGGTTCCCATGGTGATTGTCAGCTTTCCCAGGCCCTTTGTGTTACCAGAGTCCTCTGCGCTCTATTGATTGAGGCATTCACAGCTGTCCAGGTTCAGGAGGAAGCAGCACAGACCTCTGTCTTTTGGAGAGTGTATTAAAGAATTTTGGGGGAAAATAAATAAATAAATAAATAAATAAAAAGAGGGAGTTTATATCTTTTAAAAGATACCATGCTTTGCTTTTTATTATCTAAATGTATCAGCTGCCATTCCACAATTAACTTAAGTAATATGATAACAAGCACTCTCGTCATAACTTTTTCTCTTGTTTTTGTTTTGTAGACATGGTCTTGCTTTGTAGTGCAGGCTGGCCTTGAGCTATTGGCAATCCTCTTGCCTCAGCCTCCTGAGTGCTGGGATTACAGGCATATGCCCGCCGCCTGACTTTCTTGTCATAAATTTTTACTTGAATAGCTTCTGTTATCACCAAATGTGATTTTAGTTTGAGAAAATATTAAGGAAGACTTCATAAATTCTAAATTTTTCTAAACTTAAAAAAGTCAACAAAAGATGTTAAATTTCACCATAATCTTTTATACAGGAATTTATACTCTTGATAATGATAATTTATAACATTAAATAACTTTATGGTGGGAAAGGGGTCTGAGCAAAGTTTTAACTGTATTCATGGTGATGTGTATGGAGAAAGACTTTGTTTTTTATTTGAAGTATGACTTAAACTTTTGTCAACTTTTCACTTGGCTATGCTAATTCTTTTAGGTAATTTTGGAATTTACTAAACAACAGAAAGAAGAAGATACAATTCTAGTATTTAATGTTACTCAGTTAGGAACAGAGGCCACAGTGAGAACTTTCGACCTAACTGTGGTGTCTAATTTAAAGAAGATCAGCTTGGATTACCATGAAATTCAAGGTAATATTCCTAAAAATGGAAGTGATAAAAGTAGCACTTTTAAGCATCTAAAACACTTTTATTTCTATGATAGTATCTATTATAAACAAGAGTAAACATTGTTCAAAACACTTTACAAATAACAATTCATTTAAATCTTATAATAACATAGTGTTACTGTTGGTAGTTTTATGTAACTAAGGTATAGATTTCTTATAAAATTTACCCTTGGTCTAACAAGGAGTAGCAGAGCCGTGAATGAAATCTTGGCAGTCCGGCAGGCTAGCAGTCTGGGGTTGCTGTTCTCAGCTACTCTGATTTGTTACCTCTGCCTTTGTGTAACTCTCCTTAGCAAACACAGGGACAGACAAAAAGGGTCAGAGAAGAATTCAGTAGCTTCCTTCATGTCATGTATTTATGGCTAGAAGACTGGAGAGTTTGTCTCTGATCCTACCATGTTGAGGGTCCCCTTTGTTTTTTCTTTCTGAGACAGGGTCTTACTATGTAAGGCAACTGGTCTTGAATTTTGCTAATTTAGCCCCAGCTGACCTCAAACTCATGGTGATCCTCCAACACTGCTTCCTGAGGGCTGGGATTACAACAGCTGTGCCTGGCAGGTCCCAGGCTTTCTGTGCAGTAGTGGTCACATGTCATAAGCTCCAGTTAAAAATAAAAATGGGAGAATACGAAGTTCACTCTCTTAGAAGCTCGACAACTTTATTCATCTCAGTATTTATCTTGTGACCTCAGATATTTGAGGCATGAAGGAATAAAATGTACGATAATTAAAATTCTTTAGTGCTTCAGTCAAATATAGAGGCCTGGGTTTTATAATTTGAGAGTATTTGTAACTGAAATCAGCCTCAATTTAGAAAAGAAATATTTTACGTTACTATTTTTTTGTACAGAAAGAAAGAATTTACAGAAAGAAAGAGGGAAATGTAGATGATAAATTTTCTAGGCTGTTTTGTCGTCATGGAGGATTAGGACTCGGGAGAAAGATGCCCTGTGCGGTGGGGAAGCAGGAGTAGAAGTCCAGTGGTCAGGTGGGCGGTGGGCGGCTGCTCCCTTCCCAGGGCCTGCGTGCGAGCTGCTCCCTGGCCCAGGTGCAGGGGTGGAGGCTGCTTGTGTTTAAACTTTACAGGAAGCATTGCAGTTTGCTTCTCTTGAAATTCTCTTCTCCCAGTCTACACAAAGTTCTCTCTATATAAAGTTCTTTCATAGAATTTTAGACACAACAGAATCCCATCCAACTTGTTCGTTACATTGTTGAAAAATATGTCTGGTAGTTTAAGTCAGAAGGATAGAGGTGAGCTGGAATTGATATTTCTTGATGCTGGCACCTGTAGTCTGTTCTGCTGCCTTACTAATGAACATGTGGCCTTAAAAATATCTAAAGAAGCTTTGATTAGTTTTGAACAGATGTGAATTCAACTGAAAATAAATACATGTTTTAAAGTAAATTAGATGCCTAAGGCAAGAACTTGGAGTGGCTTATTTCTCCATGAGTGATGGTTTTAGTATTTAATAACCATGAAAATATACACAGGTATTCTTTTGAAGCTTAATTAGCAGCTTTTATAAAGAAGTGTCTAGCAAGTTCTAGAAGCAACTTGTTTGAAAATGGTTTTTTTTTTTTCTGTAGGATCAAGAAAAAAGCCCCTTCACTTGATTAGCTCTTCTGACAAACCTGGGTCAGATCTTTTAAAAGTAGAGTATATTAAGGTAAGGACCATGGCAGTGCTGGAGAACCTGTGGAGAGATGAGAGCTCAGACTGCACCCCAAAACCCACTTCTTTATGGCAGAATGCCAATTAAGTGCAATTAAACCTGAATACTGAGATTTTTGTTTAGGAAAGAACAACTTCTACATTAGCATCTTTTGTCTTTGATTTGCCAGCACTAGTCTGGACTGTGCCCCTGGGAAGTGGACAGGACAGTGTGTTACTAATCATTCTGGGTGGTAGGTTAGTTTTTAACTGTTTCTTTTTGCACGTAAACACCTTGTTTCTCTTTCACTAAGTGAAGAGCTATTAGAAGGCTGCTGACCTCTTATTCTCAAATGCAGAAGCCTGGGCGGAAGGAGGCACTGTTTCTCTCTTTAGGGGCATAATTATATGTCCACACTTGTCTGTATAGTAGGTGACAGTTTGGCTAAGCCACATTCAAAGAAAAAAACACATTGGATCAGGTGCTGCAGAGAACTCCCAGGCCTGGAAAGAGACCAAGAAATGCACCAGGAAAGTGCTGAAGTAATTGAAAAAATTAGGTTCATTTAAGATTTAATAGGTTTGTTTTAATCACTTATTATTTATTGAATGTCTATATGTGTTTCTAAATGGATTACACTACCAGGTGCTTAGAGACACAGATGACAAACATTATGTTTTGCAGGCAAATTATAAACTAGAAGGGAGAGGTACAAAAATAAATAATTAAAATGTGTTGATTGGTTGACAATATGATTATTATATAGTAGTGTAATATGAATATAATAAAGCAAAACAAAAGCATTGTGGGAGCAGAGAGGCAAGCAGACAAGCGATGGCAGAAAACTCACAGGAGGTCTTTTTTTTTTTTTTTTGTCTTTTTCTTTTTTTTTATCGGTACCGGGGATCGAACTCACGATTGCTTTTTTGCAAGGCAGTCGCTTAAGCCACTGAGCTAAATCCCCGGCCCCCCGGGAGGTCATCTTTTGTGTTTAGAGTTACACTGTTTGTTTCAGGGATCAGAAATACAGTGAATAATAAGGCTGGGAGATTGCTTGAAGCAGTACAAAGACCTCATTAAATCAGAGCACCCTGATGATTGGATTTCTAAGAAGATGAGGTTTCTTTTACTGGAGATGTAAACAGACTTACCAGAGAAGTGGACAAGGGATTTCAGCATTAGGTGTCCAATGTACTAGATGACCTAGATGACCTTTGCACCTTCTACCTCCCAAGGTGTATCATTCTCACACCCTGCTGTAGGTTCCCTGAAGTGAGTAATTGTTCTCCCGGGCTCCCAGAGGAGAACACACAGCATGTTACAGTCAGTAAAATGCATGGCTTTACAGTGGATTAATTACTTTGGTCTTAATTCCTTTGTTCATTTTTTATTTAGGCTGATAAGAGTGGACCTAGTTTTCAAACCACTTTTGAAAAAACTGAACAGACATTTAAGGTAAGAAATTCTATTAAAGCATATATCCTATTGAAAATAATTATTAATGGAAATCTTTAGTATTTTGGGGGGGATAGGATCTGTGTAACTTGATGATATAATCAAGAACCAATAAAAGTTATAAATTAACCTTGTAAATACTCTGATTTTTAGTAAAGCTGTTACTTTTTTTAAATTTTAAAAGCCAAAGAATAATGATGATATAAAATTTCAAAACAAAGTAATAGGTTAACAGTGGTTATGTATTGTGTATTGTTCCCTTCAAAGTGATATTCATGTTACAAGATATAGGCATAAAAATGAAAGAGCAAACTTTTTTTGGACAAACTAATAGTTTAGTAGTATAGTTATCTATTGAGTGTATATAAAGAGTATATGTACGTAGCTGGGCGTGGTGGCTCATGCCTGTAATCCCAGCACTTGGGAGGCTGAGGCAGGGGGATCGCTGTGAGTTCGAGACCAGCCTGGGCTACAAAGTGAGCTCAATGCCAGCCTAAACTGCATAGTGAGATCCTGCTTCAAAAAAGACAAAAAAAAAAAAAAAGAGTCTATGTACATATAGTCTTTCCCCTCTTTGTTTTCTCCTTTCACCTATTCCAGTTGTTCTTTCCTTTTGAGCAGATTCTTTTCCTATCACTTTCCTCAGTATCTATTGTATATTTTGGATCTTTCTTACTCTTTCAGTGGTTTTTTTTGTTTTTGTTTTTTGGTATCAGGGATCGAACTCATGAACTTGCACTTGCCAAGCAGGCACTTACACCACTGAGCTAAATCCCTGACCCCCTTTCAATGTTTTACTTAAGAGAGACAGTACAATACTTAACACATGTAAGTCTGGTTTATTTCACTTATGAGTTTGATCTCAAGTTGCATCCATTTACTTATAAAAACCTCAAGTTTGTCCTTCTTTATAGCTGAGTGGTACACCATTTTATAAAAATACCACATCTTTTTTATCCATTCCTCAGTTAATGGACACTTAGGTTGTTTCCCAGATCAATCCAATTATAAATTGTGCTGCTGTAAACATTGGTGCACATTTACCACTTTGACATGATGTTTTCAGTTCTTCTGGAAACTGCAAAATTACCCAGTCAAGGAATAGCTAGATTGAATGAGCCCTCCAGTCCTAGTTTTTTGAATAATCTCTACACTGATCTTCACTGTGGCTGCATTGGTCTACATTCCCACCAACAATGGAGAAGGGTTCCTTTTTCCCTACCGACATTTGTTATTGGTTGATTTCTTGGTAACAGCCATTCTTTGTGGAGTGAAGTGTAATCTCAATGTTGTTTTAATTTGCATCTCTCGAATGACCAGTGATGTTGAAGATTTCTTTGTGTATTTATTTGCCATTTGTATTTCAACATCTGAGAAGGGCATGCTCATCACAGATGCCTGTTTTTGAATTAAGTCTTTGAATTTGAGGGGCCTGATATTTTCAGCTCTTTATATGTTCTAGTAAGTCCTTTGTCTGAGGGACAGGAGGCTAAAATTTTTTCTCTATGGGTTTTCTTTTCACACTGTGATTTCTTTTGAAGTGTAAAAACTTCTTAATAAGATAAGAATCCCAGTTGCTGATTCTTTGAAGTACTTCTATGCAGTTTGCATTTTTGTTCATGAATTCTTTGCCTACCTTGTGTCTTCAAGATTTCTATTTACCTTATCTTCCAGTAGATTTAGTGTTTCTGTTTTAGTATTTGGATCTTTAATCCATTTTGACTTTACTTTAGTGCACGGTAATAGACACGGATCTAATTTTAGTCTCTGGCATGTGGAAAGCCAGTTTTTCTAGCACTGCTTAGTAAAGAGGCAGTGAACATGTTCCAGTGAACGTTTGCCCCCTTTGTCAAAAATAAGGTAGCTGAGTGTCATTGTATTTCTGTCTGCATCTTCTGATCCATTCCATTGATCTTAAGGTCTGTTTTTTTGCCACTACTATGCTGATTTTATCACAGTAGCTTTATAGTATAATTTAAGTCAGGAATTGTGATGCACTCTGTCTTGCCTTTGTTGCCCAGGATTGCCTTTGCTATTCTAGGTCTCTTCTGTTTCCAAATGAATTTTAGGGATGTTTTCTCTACATCTGTGAAGTATGCTAATGGTATTTTGATAGGAATTGCATTAAATCCGTATAATAGTTTGGAAGTATGGCCATTTTCACAGTGTTGATTCCTTCTATCCAAGAAGAAGGGATGGCTTCCTATTTTCTGATACCATGTTAGGTCTCCTTTTTCAGAGTATTGTAGTTTTCAATATATAGATCCTTCATATCCTTTGTTAGATTAATTCCTAAATATTTCATATTTTGGGTGAAGGGTATTATTTCCATAATTTCTCTGTCAGTGAGTTTTTTGTTTTTGTACAGGAATGCTATTGATTTTTGAGCGTTGACTTTGTATCCAGGCACACTGCTGAATCTGATGAAGTGTAGTAGTCTTTTGATGTAGTTTTTGGGATCCCAGGAGTTGGGTGGCTGAGGCAGGAGGATCCCGACTGTACACTTGCAAGGCAGACATTTATGCCGCCGAGCTAAATCCCCAGCCCTTGCAGTGTTGTTTCTAAAGAAGGGAATGCTTTAGATAAGGGAACAGTAATCTATAAACAGCTGAGAGGATTGTAAGCTTCAAGTAATACAGGACTGAGAAAGTGTGTAGGACACAGGGAGGGAGGTAAGTGCTCCTAAAGAAGTGGCAGCTGGTGCTTGTGGGTTGCACCAAAAAAAAAGGGTTGAGAGGGTCTGATTTAATAGTGAACTTTCCTCTTTGATGTGTGCATGTGTTTTTCTGTTGTTACATTTTTTATTTTGAGACAGTGTCTGGCCTTGTATCCCTTCTTCCTCAGTCTCTCTGAGTGCTGGAATTATAAGCATACTGTTTGTGTACATTTCTTTCCATGCAGAAATGAGAAAACGAAAGATTCTTTTCCATAAGGAGCTTTTGTTTTAACTTGCTGTTAGAAAACCACTTTCTTTGAGGCAATTTGTGTTGTTGTCTTAGCTTTCTGGAGTCATTTTTCTAAAAGTGTAGTACTTTTATGACATTTACTTTCTTCTGTGTTTATGACAGGACCATTTTTGTAGTTTTAATGATTTAGTAACAGAACTCTCCCAATTGTTAATCTCACAGATGCCACATTTGGAATCCTCTGTGGATTTAGTAGTATGTAGTGCTTGTGGAGTTTCAGGTTCTGACTTAAACTTGTTATATGATCATGATGAGTAGTGAATGGGAAATGTACAAAGATGCATGTTGGGAATACAGGTGGCCACGTGCAGCAGAATATATGCTCCCTGGGCAGCTGCTTGGGAAATGGAGTGATTAGGGACCTGTGCCCTAATCTGCGCTGAGCACTGAGCGAGAACATCTAATTTTCTCTCTCTGCACCCCTGCCTTGAGGGTCATGACTTTCCTCGCTGCTGTCTTCCCAGTGATGGAAGCTGCGAAGCCGTGATGCAAGCCTGGCTGCCTGTCAGGCCCCTTGTGCATACAGCAGCTTGGCATTTGCCAGTGAAAAGTAACTTTGTTTTAAAACTTTTTAGGTGGCCTTTTCCTCTTTGAACTTGTTGCTGCAAACCCAAGCTCTTCTCTCTTCTATTAACTACCTGACAACCATCCTTCCCTCAGATGGCCTTGGAGGCCATCCTGACCCAGGGACAGGCCAGCTTCCAGATAGGTGTTACAAGCCAAGAGCCCAGATTTCGGATAGGAAAGTGCTCAGTTCAGAGTCTGACCTTCCTACTTAAACTATGTGGCTGTAGGTGCATTGTTTAGCTATTCAGAATTTTATTGTCCTTATTTACTTTGTTTTACAGAACGTCACCAACTCACTGACATTCAGACTGAACTATAAGATGCATTTTGTTGGCTTACGAACAAATCTGGAATAGAATTTATTCATAAGTCGGGGACTGACTCTTCTTTTTAAATTGCAAAAGGAACGTCTATTAAAAAGCCTAGTTTTGTAAGGCAAAAGAAGTATTTGAAATTAAGTTTGTAATTTAACTTGTGTATGTGTATATTTCTGTTTAACAGAATTGTGGTTCAGTTAATATAGAAAAGTCTTGAATAGAATTTATATTATCTGAATTGTATTGTGAAATAACTCTTATTTTCTTTTTAGTGATTGTATCCTCTAAAGACAGTGATGTTACTGGCTTCAGATTGTTTGCCAAGTTAAATGCTTTCTGTGTCACCATTTGCAATGAGAAGAGCAGTATTGCTGAAATCAGGATACAAGGTAACAGGTTCTGGGGATATAGCCCAGTGGCCTAATGCCTGCCTGGCAAGCATAAGGTCCTGAGTTTGGGTCATGGATCCAAAAAACCCCAAAAAGATAGAAGGTAACATACTTGAGAAAACTGAGGCAGGAGGAGCTAGAGTTCAAGCCCAGCCTAGGTAACTTAGTGACTTAGCCAAGACCTCATCTCAAAAAAAATACGAAATGAAAAAGGCTGCGAATGTAGCCTGTTGGTGGCACTGGGTTCAATTCCATGCATCACCAAACAAAACAGAACAAAAAACAAGGTAAAAAATACAGCGTTAAAATTCATTAAAAGATGAGCTTTTTTTTCTTTTTTCATTTATTCCCTTTCAATGTTAAAGAATACACGAACGAGGCCTTCGGCAGGGGTAGAGCCAGCAGGATACTGTTGAATCGGGTGCTTTTTTCTTGGGGCACAGTTGTTCAAGGGCATCGCCGCTCCTTCATGGCGTGCGCTGGTGCTGTGGGCCTGGCCCAGGCTTGTGTAGGGTGGAAGAGTGCATATCTGCGCAGAAATGCTGACGGGTGGCAGGAGTGGCAGTCCGGCTTGCACACGCAGTCTGCGAACATCCTGCTCTTCACCAGCCTTATTCATCATGGGTGTAGTTATCTGTCTGTATGTAGTGATGGAATGGAGGTTAGTACTGCTCTGTGCATTTGTGCTTTCTGCACAGCAGCCCTTCAATGAGAGAAAGCCTGTGAGCCATCAGTATCTACAGAGAAAGCTGCTGAAATGCATCTCGCTCTGTCTCTGGTCTTAATAGTTATAAGAATGTATTGTCATTTGCTGAAGGTAAAGATATGCTCAGTCTGTTTCATGAAATCCTTTAAGAATTTAAGAACCTGAAAGGTAGGGATTTCTTTTTGTCCTTTCTGATCTGGTAGTACATCAACTAGAATGAACTGGATTTGTGACACTTCCATAGTCTCCATGTAGATACCTGGGTTTAAGATATAAGGGATATACTAAATCCCGAGATCATCTCTCATGTACTTTTGTCAGAGAATTGAAAATTCAGGTAATTAATGTTTATTAACTTAGAAGTTGAGTGTTTATAAAAGTATAAAATATCTAATATAGCTTGTTGATCAGTTGGGAATTTAGATGTTGCTAAATTTTAAAAATTGCACTATACAATAGAAATAAATATCTTATTCGTTCTAGATCTATAGAAGTTATATTAATTTTTTTTTCAGGCCTCGACTCTTCCCTTTCTCTTCAGTCAAGGAAGCAGTCACTTTTTGCCAGACTGGAAAATATTATTGTTACAGATGTTGATCCTAAGACAGTTCATAACAAAGTAAGTTGGACTAAATAAATGATGACTATTTTTTTGGTGATTGCATATAAAGTCCAGTTTTAAAGTAATATATTTGAAATTAAGTATACTTCATGAAAATGTTTGTTTTTTTATAAAGATTATAAATATAAACCATATTCTAAGTGGTAATTTACTTTGTCATTACTTTGGTAGAAAGAATATGTTCACATTTCTGTTTTTCAGGCTGTGTCAATAATGGGAAATGAAGTTTTTCGTTTTAACTTGGATTTGTACCCAGATGCGACTGAAGGGGATTCATACACTGACATGTCCAAAGTGGATGGCGTGGTGTTGCTGAATGTTGGCTGCATTCAGATTGTCTATCTTCATAAGTTCCTTGTGTCCCTTTTGGTAAAATCGCTATTTTCATATGAGTTTTTCAGCTGAGGAAACAATGCTGATAGTTATGATTGCAAGTGTTCCAAATCTTGCATTGTAGGTGATATTGTTTGATTAGATGTGGTAGTTATGTATGAAGGTTCAAGTAAATTGTCTTAACAGTTAAAATCTGAGTGATTTAATGATTTTTGTGTTGAATTGAAGTTACTTTTGTTAGAGTAAGTATTGAAGCCGCATTCTTCCATGCAGAAATCATGAGAATGGATTTCCGTCCTTCCTTTTCCTTAGCTGTGTAACCCTGTGTAACCCCTGTGTAAGCCAGGCAGCTCGTGACCTTGGATGAGTTAGTAGTTGCTCCCATCTAACATGGTCACAGCAGGCTTAACAGAAAGTTACCTGTCCTAAAAGATGTCAGCATCATGGAGACAAAAGGTGGTGTCCCTCTTGAGAGCCTGCTTTCTGTTTCAGTTTCTCTGTACTTCCTTTGTGTCTACAGAACTTCCTGAACAATTTCCAGACAGCCAAAGAGGCCCTGAGCGCAGCCACCGCGCAGGCTGCAGAAAAGGCCGCCACCAGTGTGAAAGACCTTGCCCAGCGGAGTTTGCGCTTCTCTGTCAGCATTAATTTGAAAGCACCCGTTATTGTCATCCCACAGTCTTCTGTTTCCAGCAACGCTGTTGTGGTGGACCTTGGTTTGATCAGAGTTCAGAACCAGTTCAGTCTTGTGTCTGGGGAAGGGTCTGTAAATCCTCCTGTGATCGATAGAATGGATGTGCAGCTCACGGACCTGAAGCTGTCCAGGTGTGTTCTCCAGTGTTTCCGGGCTTAAGTATTAGGTTCACTTTTTCTATGATATTTCATGATCATTCAAGTTCATACTCAACAGGTTGCTGTTTCACAGAATCAGTGGTTTTTTTTCCTTTTTAAAACTGGAAAAATAAAGACTGTACACATAAATGTTTCATCTACATTCACCAGTCTGTTATACATTTGCTGTCATTTACTTATAGCATCTTTACAATGTAAAACATTTTTGCTGAATCATTTAATAATAGACATCTGGACCTTTTGCCCCTAAATATTTCACCATGTGTGTCCTATAAACAAGAAAATTCATTCTCTTGACGTTAACTACAATGTATTTGTGAGATTCTGAAAATATAGTATCACCGTAATATTACCTAACGTGCAGTCTGCATTAAGGTCATATCAGTTGTTGCAGTGATGTTGTTTGTAGTAATTTCCCTTCCCCTTCCAGAATCACACATAACTGTTTCCATTCTTACTGAGAAGAACTTCTTTCCTGATAAATGCTTTCTCTAGAATAGTTCTTGCACCTTTTTCTGTCTCTTACAATGATGCTGGTTTTGAGAGGTATAATCTGGCTGTTCCATGAAACAACTCTTTTTTTGAGTGATTCCTCATGGGTTTTGATTAAGCCGAAGCATTTTTGGCCTGAATGCTCTCTAAGTAATACCCTCAGTGCTCACACTGTGTGAGACATGAAGACACACAAAAAATTAAAACTCAGGACCTATTCCATCCAAGGTGATTTAACTATCCATATTTTAAAAAGTAATACTCATAAGACAGTTGCAGAAAATACTGTTGGAGAGTAAATTTGTGAGACATGTGATTTGAGAATGTTTCTGTTACTGTTGTCTTTTTTGGTCTCCATACCAACAAACGCACAGTCACACATCACTTAGCAGTGAGGCTGCCTTCTGAGAAACGAGTTGTGGGCGATTTCATCATTGTGTGAATGTCACAGTGCTCCTTGGATGAGCCTTGCTGGTGTAGGTCAGTTATTTTGATGTGGTCTTTTGTAATCTGGATCAACAGTCAGCAAGAGATGATGAGGCTGTTGTCAGTGTGACGGGGCAAGCTGTTGTAGTTACATTTGTTTGGTAAATATAGTTTAACGTCTAATGATATAGGCAATTCTATTAGAGATAGCGGGAGGCATTATAGTAACCATTGTTGATCACCTTGTATTATGTTTTTACATTATCTATTATGTCCACCCTTTTGACTTGACCGATTCTGTTCTGTTATGTCACATTTGGTTTTACTCTCTTCCAAAAAAGTAATAAGAACCGTGGGAGCAATGAAACCCAAAATGTGTAATAGTCATGGTACAAAAGAGAGGAAAAGAAAGTGCTCCAAACTATGTAACTGCATGTATATTTAAGTGTATAAGATAGAAAATGATATCACAGAGTTTTACTGGATCAATGAACAGAACTGTCTGCAGTATCATTGATGGAATGTCCATTTTACAAGCTTTAATTTTGTGACTTGAACAATTATTTCTAAGATGACAATATGTAATCCATTAACTAGTGATTTCCTACTGTTCATTTTTTTTCTGTAAATCTGTATAACTTGTACCCTTTCCCTGCTTTTTTTTTCTTTTCTCCTTAAATAAAATTAAAAAAAATATATAGTTTAACGTAATAAAAGTATAATAAATCCATAAGCCAGTGACAGTAGTTTATGATCAAGACTTTGTACTCTGAGTGGTCTGATGTGCTGTGATTCTGTGTGATTGGCTGTACAGTAGGCTTGCTCACAGCAGCATCTCCACGCCCACACATCGTGCCTTGCACTACCACCAAGGACAGTCGTGACATCTCTAGGCAGCAGTCATTTGTCCTCTCCATTCTGATCTTGTGGAAACATTCCTGGTCCACTGTAGCAGTATGTTTGAATACCTCTGTTTGGTGATTTTAACTTGGCTAGTCCTCAAGAAACAATTTGATGATTTCTTGTACATCTTCAACGGTGTAAATTTCTTTTTAAAAGAAAAATGTTTTCTTAATAGTGTACAGTGTATGACATTTTAATTTATCCCTGATAGTGGATTATCAATTAATTATAACTCGGTTTTGAAGTGAAAAATTCAAGTAATGCTGCTTCAAATCAGTATTTTAAAAAGGCAAATGACTGCTTGCCTTTGCTGTTTTAAAGACATGTTGTGTTTCCCTCATACATGTCCACATCTGATGTTTCTGTTTTTCTTTAGGACAGTGATCCAACCAGGCACCTCCCAGCCTGATATTCAGCTGTTGCACCCAATTAACTTTGAGTTTTTTGTAAATCGAAATCTACCTGCAAATTGGTATCATAAGGTACCTGTTGTGGAAATTAAAGGACATCTTGATACAATGACTGTAAGTGCACAAGTGAAAAAACAAAACAAAAGAAAAAAACCCTTGGTCATTGAAGTCTTACATTCTGAAGACTTTCTTAATATAGAACTCCCTGAAAAGTAGAGTATTTTACTGAATGATGTAAGAATTTCAGTAAGATACAGTTCAAAAAGGTATTACCCCTTTCAATAAAAATCTCTAAATAAGTAATATTTAACTTTTACATTTTCTGTACATATGGAAGGAAATCTGTGCACAAATTTTCCTGGTTTCATGTCTGCTGTGTATCATATATCACTTAATTTTTAAGGTCATCTATGTAGTACCTCTAAGATAATTATAGCATTGGGAGAAGTGCCTGGTAACTGAAAACAGCCATTTTGTTTCACTCAATTTAAACAAACAGACAAAATTGGATGTATTTGCAGAATGTCTTTTAAAAAAATCAACTCTCTAATTATACCTTTCAGTAAAAAATAATATAAATTAAGTCAGTGGAGTGAATGTTGATTTATGTTACTATCTTTGAAAATAAAATGTTAACATGAAATAGTGAAACACGTGCGTAGTAATTGTATATATTTTTGGTAAGGTAGGGTTATTCTGTGCTTCATGCTTTGTTTCTGAGAATGTTCTGTAATAAACTGCTGCATTTTAAATGAAATATATCTACCTTTTGAACCTAATATTTCACAGGTTTGTCTAAATCAAGAAGATCTTAATGTTTTGTTTAGAATACTGTCGGAAAATCTTGGTGAAACTCCTGAAGAGTTAGATAAAGTGAAACCAAGAGTACCAGAGACAGGTAAGAGATGCACAGTAGGTGGCTAATATTTCACAGTTATTTTGCAGTTTGATAGACAATAAGAAGACATCGTTCTCTTCTCTGTATGGTGGGTTGGGATTTGAATCCAGAGTCTAGGAGTTAAGGTGCACATACTACCCCTGTGCTGTACCTGCAGCCCAGCACAGACAGGACACGTGAGGTAAGCAGGTACACATTCATGATTTGGATTTGTATTACCAGCAAATAAACAAAGTGCCACCCAGTGGAAATGTGTTAACTGGACACGCTGCTGCCTGCTGATGGCCCAGCATTTAGGAGCCTGAGGCAGGAGAGTTGTCCTGAGTTCCAGCCTGTGCTACGTGGCGAGTTCAAGGTTAGTGTGAACTACACAGACCCTGTCTTAAAAATAAAAGCAAAAACAGAAAATAACACATCGTGGTTAAAGATGCTTGACTCTTATTAGTTAAGCAAGCAGGTATTATGAAGTCCTGGAGTAATTATTAAATTTGCAATTAAGTTGCCACTAAGCTGTGGTAGCACATTCCATATGATTTTTAAATTAGGCTTAGTAGTCAGATGTCTGTAAGAATTAAAATAGTTGATAAATTATCACTCCTTCCAAAGATCCCAGAACATGCTGCAATAAATATGTAAGCAAATTTAAATGATCAGATACGGCCTTTTGGACTTAACCACTACATACTTTCCATGCTGCTGTATATACACGCGCACACACACACTTATGTATATAAATAATGTGTTATGCACACACATATTGATATAATCTTCAGTGTTTTTCAAATTAGCACCTGTGTTTGTGAACCTTGCTATGTTTTTCCTAAATTATCAGTATCTTTTGTGTGTACTTTTTATATCTGTTTATATGCTCCCTATAGGCTGTCTTCATTTTTGTCTTTTTTTCATGGCACCGAAGGGCCCAAGTACTAGGGCTGTACACAGCGCTACATTCCCAGCCCTTTCCTAGATTTCGAGGTAGGGTCTTGTTGTGTTGCTGAGCTGCCCAGGCTGAGTTTGATTTACAGCGCCTCCCAGAGTGCTGAGATTACAGGCCTTTGCCAGCATGCCTGCTGCTTTCATTCTGTTTAATGGCGGCCTGGTATTAGAGCCTGTGGAAGTACGTGCCATAATTTATTTAGCAAGTCTCTCCTGACAGAAATTTCACGCTTCCAAAGTTTCATTTGTATCACGTTGCACTGAATTTGCACTTGTGTGTCATAAGAAAATATCAGTTAAGGCCTGTGCAATCTTTATTAATTTAAATTTATTAGTAACATAAAAATCTAACAAATTGATGTAATCATTTGGCAGATCTTGCTGATTGCTCACTAAAGAACTTGTATTAGGTTTGTACTCCTACTGGGTAGCTTTTGCGTGCCTTTATAACACCAGATGGTACCAGATTTAAAACGTTTTGCCCCTTTTTAAAGTGAAACATAGGATTTCAGGGTTTTTCTCACTGTACTGTAACATCCATGAACACATCTTGTGTGCGAGGCAGAGTTTTTATAGTGTGTGCTCCTGTGTCATCCCTGTGAGTGAGGTGCAGCATGGCTCGCGAGGCCTAGATAGTGCCCCCATCTGCCCAGAGGTCACTGTGCTCCGACCGGTCCCACCGTGGAGGGTCTCGTATCTCCCCGGGTTTTATGTGAAGCTGTAGGGAGCCACTCTTCGGGAGCATGTCTTCAGCTCTGCTTGGAGGATGCCTCCGCCCTCAGGCCTTTCTTCCCCACGCTGGAACCAGGCTGTGCCTTGTTTGGTGTCATCTGTGCACCTTAGAGTCTGTTAACCTTTGTCCACTCCATGTGAGTAGGTATGGCTGCCTGGCTGGCTAGTGGGCAGACTGTGTGTGTGTGTGGGTGTGGGTGTAGGTGTGTGGGTGTGCATGCGTGTCTGTGTGTCTGTCTATCCACCCTTCCTGAGGATTGAACTCAAAGCGATGCATCCCCAGCCTTTTTAGTATTTTATTTATTTTTTTGAGACATAGTTTTGCTGAGTTGTTAATAGTCCCATGCTGGGCTTGAACTTGCCTTTCTTCTGCCTCAGCTTCCCAGAGTGCTAGTCTTTTGTTTTTTATAGGTATGTGCCAGCATGCCTAGTCTTTTGTTTTTAGTTTAAATGTATATGTCTCTTGTACTAAACTGTGGGTTTTCTGAGGGCCAGAAGGGTTATTGATTTATGGATTTTTAGTTCCTTCATTAGGTCCAGAGCACTTCTCCATGTCCTCCTGAGTGTGTAAGAAATGTGTGCATAGAAGTGAATGAATTTCTTTTTAACATCTGTAGGTGAAATCAAAGATGCCCCTGAAATTTCTACATCACAGAGATTACAAGCTTCAAAAGATGCTTCAAGAGCTGAAAGAGAAGAAATTAGATCTGTAAACATTGTTAATGTACTGCTGAATTTTGAAATTAAAGAGGTAGGTGATTTTCATGTTTTTGTAGAGAGGTAAGTTAATGGATTTGTAGAATTACCTGTATTAAAATAAGCTTCTGGTAATTAATATGGGTGAAAAAATCTTAGGTAGGCTATTTATATGTAATGATGTTTAAAATTTGAGAGTTTAAGGATGAGTTATGTTTGGGGGATATAAGATTACATAGAGAAAGCTGTAGGATTTTCTATAACTTCCTTTTAATGATTATGAGACAGCCAGAATGTGCCTTGCTTTGCGTTTTTTATTATCTAAGCATAACAAGACAGGGAACTAGTGATGCAAAATCCTTTACAAATGTTAGAAATTCTAAAGAGAATAAAACCAGTAAGTGTACACCAAGCGTTATGGTACTCATGCAGAATGGTACTCGGTCAGTGTACTTCCATTTACAGATTGTTGAGGAAAGGTCAGGTAGCTTTTCCTCTCCCTCACGCACACACTCAGCACGTATTCATTGCACGTGCTAGGTATTTAGATGCCTAGACCTTGAGCTCGGAAGTGTTTGTTCCCCCTTAAAGATGTGCTCAGTTAGGGTTCTGTTAAGCTTGTGGCACTGGTGGTAGGGAAGGTGCATCTGAGCAAACCGAGAGGGTCCACAAGTGTATTAAACTGAGTTTTCCTGCAGGAAGTGTAACTTTGAGTTGAGCTTTTAAAAGAGCAGCAGTAAATAACCTGAGAAAAGGAGATTAAGAAAGGGGGGGGGGGCAGGATGGACTGGAGTGGGCATGAAGTTGTGAGAGAGCATAGAGCGTACAGGGAACCACGGACCTTTCCCAAAATACCTGGTTGTTGAGTAGTTCTCTAAATGTCATGCTCTTCCTCTGAGCTAAAGATGAATGAATGGGCTCTGTGTTCACTTCGCAACTAGATTCTGGATTGTTAAACCTCCAGTATGTTTTCTGTGTAATATCAGTTACATAAGCTTTATTTTTATTTTTATTTGTTTGTGTTTTTGAGAAAGTGTCTCCCTCTGCAGTTCAGTCTGGCCTTGAGCTTACTTTGTAGCCCAGGCTGGTCTCAAAGTTGCTATATGATTCTCCTGTCTCAGCCTCCCGAGTGCTGGGATTACAAGCGTGTGCCACCATGCCTAGCTTAGTTACTGAAGATTTTTAAGCTTAATAATTAAAAGACTGATCGGAATCAATTTTTTGACAAGTGTGTAATTAACATATGTAGATGGAAAACCTGTCAGTCCTTTCTAATATGATTTGCTGTAGATACTATGGTAGTTCCCTTCCCTGAGGACAGTGGTCAGGGTGGAGAAAACCACTAGAAAAAAGTGGCAGTGCTTCAGTCTGAACAAGCATAGGTGTCGCCTCGGGTAAATGATGCCGCCTCCAGTCACCAAAGAAGGTGGACGTTTTTACATTGTGTGACTCTCAGTGTTGTATCAGTGTCCTTATTAAATTCTTGTGCAGCAGTGAAATCGTGGGTGGTAATACTGGTGCATTCCTACAGGTTATGGTGATGCTGATGAAAAAGGCGGAAAAGAGTGGGAGGCCAGTGCACGAGCTCAGTGTCCTGCAGCTTGGAGTGGAAGCTAGAGTTCAAGCTTATGCCGTGACTGCTGAAGCTTATCTCCAGCAAGTCAGCATGCGGTGCCTGGATTTCACTGGTCAGTGAGTTATGCAGTAGGCAGGTGGTCTTCTGGATCGCCACCCCGCATGTGTCACCATAATCATTCAGGTTAAATGTATTGATGCGAAGGCATGTGACGGTTTAAAACCTACCATCTTACCTAGTTACACATACATACTCAGGTAGTGTAGAGTAGAGTATTTCTGGAGAAGGAGCCACTTGTCACTGTGTGTGATACTTCAGTACTTAGGAAAGGCACTGTTTCGTTGTAACTGTGCCACGAGAGCTGATCCATCAGGAGACGAGGACCTGGGTACATACAGGGACTTACTTGGGAAAGTTGAGTTAGTTTATTTGTTGCTATTCATTTCAAAATTACATGTATTTTAAAATTTCTTCTCATGTATATCACTATATGCTTATGAAAAAGGAAATTTCAGCAATACAGAAGTTTATGGAAGGAAAAATTTAACATAATCCAGAAGTCTCTTTTCCCCTCAAGTAAAAACTAAATTGTTGTTTTGTGAGTTTCTTGGATCTCCTAAATTCATTTTCTCTTTCTTAGTTTTAGTGTGCTAGTACATGTGCGTAGTGTGTAAAGTTCCCTTCCCTTGTGTGGAGTTGACACCTTACACCACACATCTTCATCCCCTTTCCCTTCCCTCCCTCACCTGTCCCCCACACTTGTCCCTTTCCTCTTCCTAAGCTGTCTTCATCTTTATGCTGGATTTCTCGTAGAAAAGGAACAATGTGATATGAGACAACTTTTAAAAGTTTCTGGTGACATTTAAGGTTTATAAGAACTCTGTGGAAGAGCTTTACGAAAACAAGCTTGTGCCGTGCGTGGTAGTGCATGCCTGTGACCCCAGCACTTAAGCGGCCAAGGCAGGAGAAGCTCTGGGAGTTCAAGGCCAGCCTGCACTACATAGCCAGGCCCTGTCTCAAAACAAAACAAGCTCATATTGAGAATAATCCATGCTTTTATGTATTTTATAGTTTTATAATTATAGCATATAATATGTGATTTGCTCAAATCAGTAATATTAGTAGTATCAAATGTTACATAATTTTTAAATTATCTTGACTGTTTTTATATATAAATATATATACACATATATATGTTGTTTCTTTCAGCTTTTAATGCTAATGAGACAATATGATGTTTACACATGTGTGTCTTATTTATTTTACTAATGAGTATGGTCTCAAGTTGTATCCTTTTACCTATAAAAGTCTCCAGTTTGTCCTTTATGATTGAGTAGTGCTCCATTGCATAAAAACACTACATTTGTTTTTATCCATTCCTCAATCACTGGGTATTTAGGTTTTTCCAAGATCTGGCTATTATAAACTGTGCTGCTATAAACATGAGTGCACATGTATCACTGTGGTATGATGTTCTTAATTTTTTTGGGAAGACACCCAGTTGGGAATAGCTAGACTGTGAGCCCTCCAATCCTAGATTTTTGAGGAATCTACACTGATTGCCCAGTGGTTGCACCAGTTTACATTCCCACCAATGTGAAGAAGGGTTCCTTTTTTCCCACAGCCCCTCCAGCATTTGTTATTGGTTGATTTCTTGATCCTGGCCATTCTTTCCGGGGTGTGGTGAAATCTCAGTGATGTTTTCATTTGCATCTCTGAATGATCAGTGATGCTGAACATTTTTTCACATCTCACAGGTTATATAATTGACTGGTACTGGGTTTGTTGTTTTTAGGGATTTTTCTCTCTCTTTTCAAAGCCAGGCTTCTTGAAGCATGATTTCATATTTAGTGTAAAATTTACACTAAAATTTAGCAGTGTAATTCATATTTAGTGTAAAATTCTTAGTGTTGATGAACATACCTTAATGTAACTGGCTGTTCATGCTGTGTAAGAAGTGTGAGGCATTTGCAGTGCTGACCAGCCTGTCTCTTGCCCCCAGATGCAGAAGGAGGCCCTCTGCACATCGTGCGCTCCTCTTGTGTGACTAAGGAGCCGCTCCTGAAGTTGGCCTTGACCAAGGTACCAGCTTTCTGTCTAACTCCTGAATATGCTAAGTTATGTCTGTTCCCTTCATGTTTAGTGCTCCAGTTTTTCTCCTTTGAAAGTGTGCTTTATCCTTGGGTTGACTGCGATGAATTTGAAAGCATCTGCACACACTCGTTAACTTTCTGGTTTCTCTAGGGAAACCAGACAAGTGGTTTGGACAAGTGGAACAGAAAAGCTGTGCTGTGTTCTGAAGCAGAGTGTATTATCATCCAGTACACAAGCATTTCCCCTGCAGTTCAGATTTGTCCATTAGTATTTCCTCCAGAGTAGTTCTTTTCATCTGTAGGATGGGAGATGTGGTTTAAATCATGTTCTTTACCTATAAGAAATGTGTTTTAATAGCATACTTTAATAAGTAAAAAATGGATGTTTATTCAGTACATGCAATTTTAGTGTTTGTAATCCATTGATTTAATTACCCACTGTTTGTAGGCAGACAGTGATGGACCGGAATTTAAAACTGTTCATGACAATACCAAACAGAGACTAAAGGTAAGCTGGTAATGATTAAATGTAGCTTCATAGCCATTTTGAGTTGTAAGGTTGTGCTAACATTAGAATATTGTGAAAATAAAAATAGATTAATTTTTGTCGATAAAGCCAGTGCATATAGAATTAAAATACACTTTTTATAAAAATTAATTTGATTTATAAAGAGATTGCTTGTTTCCCAGATGTAAATTGCTCTTTACTTATACAACAAATAATGTATTCTCAAGGAAATGCTGTCCATAGTTATTTGGCCTGATACTGATTCAGCATTAAATGTTAGCGTTGTGTGTTGGCGTTAGGATTAAGGACGTTGTTCACATTCCCTTTGTGCAAATGGGTCAGTGTTGGGACGCTTCCTATACATTTTCTTAAAACTCAAACCCTGTGGACAATAGAATTATGTTTGCACACAGGAGTGGGAAGAGTATTGGTTTACTGACTGATTACAATTAACATAATAGTGTTTCTAAGAATTGATGCTGGTAGTAATTCATTTTTTTAAGGGCCTTTCTTTAATTGAACTGCTCTTGTGCTAGTTGTGTGTGTTGAAACTTAACACAAATGTTACTATGTCTTACTCTGCCTCTCTGTTTTCTTAGGTTTCATTTTCATCCTTAGACATATTACTTCATTTAGAAGCTTTACTTTCCCTTATGGATTTTTTGTCATCGGCTGTTCCATCCTCTGAGTCGTCTTCTAGGAAGGAATCTGAGCTAAAACCACTTGTAGGGGAGTCCAGAAGTATTGCCATCAAAGCTGGTATTAATTTTTGAGTAATGGTCAAATGCTTTCTCTCATATAATACTGTAATGTATTTTAAGCTAAGAAGATACTTACTATCTTGATGTTACTATACCTGATTTGACAGTTTAAGTTAGTTTTGAAAGAACTCAAAATTTTTCCTTATAGGATTATACATCAGTTTATTGAAATGTTTTAAATAAATGTTGTTTAATGGTGTGTTTTTTTTAATTTTACTGGCTAGAAAGCATCTTTTTTGCATTGACATCTCTTTGCATTCTTCAGTGCAATAGAAATGAGAAAGGAAGAAGTTAAAGTTCGAATGCAGTCACACATAGTTACAAAATTGTATTGCGCCCAGTCCTGTCTAGTGCTGAGCAGGCTTCAAGCCTTGTGCGCACTGAAGGAATCTCACAGAGAAGATGGACTCATTCTGTTTCTAAATAGATCTGGGGACATGTTTGCTAGGCAGATACCTTGAGCTGTGAAATGTTAGCTCTGAAGTATCTACAGTCAATAGAGAATGTGTATTGGTTTATAGAGCAAGCATCATTTTGGTTTTTCACATTGTATGATATGAACTTGTAACATACAGTAATTCAATTAGAATAGATTGGTATTACTGGGATCTTTAGAATAAAACTGTTATTACCATTACATCTGATACAAGGATCTGATTTTTTTTAACCTTGGAAGATAGCGAATTGTTCTAAACTATAGTAAAAGCGTTTTACCCATTTTATTGTTAATTTGCTTGCAACAGCAGTACAGTATCTAGAGGTAATAGCCTTGGAATTCTTCTGTTATAACATAAATAGAATACATAGAAAAATAGTTGAATACATGAAAAATAAATATTTGAAATTACGATAACCTACAAGCAATTTTAATTCATAGAAACAGTCTTGTGGTTTTGCTGTATGATTGGTCTTCATGGTTTGATGTTGCCACATTTGGTATTAGGGAAAAAACCAGCTTATCATCATGTAATGGGGATTAATTACTAATACATATCCTGATGGTTTTGCAGTTTTATAGGAAAGAACTTTAAAAGAACTGTAGTCCTTTATATTTATATCTTATCCATTCTGAATTTATTTTACAATTCTTTATAGAGCCATTGCATATACTGTAGTAAAATTGGATTGCTTCCATAGTTAAATAACATGTATAATAAGTGCCATAGTAAATAAAATGAACTGTGTTAACTAGTCAACATATTTTAGTTCTGTATTAGTTACTGTTTTGATATAATATATGACAGGTTTTAAAATCAAACTTTTAGACGAATAGAATAGAATTCTAATTTAAAGTGTTTTATTTTATTCTGGAAGGAAAATCAGTGAAATTTTCATGTCATGAATAACACAATCAGGATGTTAACAGTAGTTATGTTTACTCTTAATGTGAAGGGAAACTGCTATTTTGGGTTGGTTTTTGAAAATTGACTCAAAGTCACATTTTATCTTAATGGAGAGCTTTTTGGCTCCTCCTAGTACAATTTTATTTTATTGAATTTGAGATTATTTTGTGTGTTCTATCATCTTTACACTTTGCCAATCACAAATTTTCTATTACTTTTTAGTATCTGGCACCATTTCTAAAGAGGATATGTTCGATTTAAAGGTTACAGCTGAATTAGATGCTATTAATGTTGTTCTGTAGCTGATGTTAAAATACATGGTGAGTAATTCTATTTTGTTATATAAACATCCAGCAAAAGTGAGCTTGTAGGGGTGAATTTCTTATGAGTCAAACATTGTTTCCTTACACTGAAGGTTAAAGGTATATTTGGAAATGTTTGTAGTAAATTTGTTATAATTCTTTTCTGACTTGAGACATTCCATGTATATTTTAAAAATTTCAGATTATATCTGAGGCCTTAATTTGTTTCTGTACTTGTATTTTTAGAATAATCTGATAATTGAGACATCACAGAATTTTTAAAAAATAGTTTATTTATTTTGCCTTTTCCCCGTATGTAGCATAGGCAAAGGAGTTTCTGAAAGACACTTTGTGACCTTTTGATGTTGTCGGTTTGAAAGGAGAATGAAGCAGCACATTACCCTTCCTCCTCTCCTCCTCTTTTCCTTCTTTCCTGTCTTTCCTTTGTGGGATTGAATCCAGAGGCTTTCCACTGAGCTATACTCTCACTCTAGTTTTTAAACTTTTTGTAATTTTGAGCCAGGAGAACTTAATTTCTTCTGAAGTTGCTCAGTTGCCCTGGCTGGGCTTGAATTTGGGATCCTCCTGACAGCTTTCCGGAGTACTGGGATTATAGGCCTCTACCTCCAGGTCTGGCTAGGTGTTTTGTTTATTTGGTTTTAAACTCACAACTTTTATGTAAGATGCATGAAGTACTTAAAGGTGTAACCTGTCTTACATACCTCATACGTGAATACTGGTATAACAATACCAGTATGTCTAATAATAGCTTGTGTTGACTCTGTATGTTAGTAGTATGTTACTGAACACAGCACTGCTAACTTGACTCATCTGGATTGAATGAATCCTTTGTGAAAGTCTTGCCTTCCCTAGGAATGGACGCCTCTGTTTCTGTGAAGCCAAAACAGACTGATATGTTTGCCAGACTTCATTCAGAATATCATAGTAACAAATGTTGATTTGAAGTCCATTCACAAAAAGGTAAAAATTGATTTCTCAACTGAAATGTCTTCTGTGTTTTATATTTGAGATGCTTTTTTGTTGTTGTCCAATGCATTTACTAGTCTGTCACATGAGGCCTTCTCTAAGGGTGGGGATATAGATGGTGACCACCTGCTTTCCTGTCATGTGCACACTAGGCCTTCTGGTTACTTCTGAAAGTGCAATGATGGACTGATACTGCCTTTAGTAAAGGGTTTTTTATAACGATAGGAAAAAAGTTACTGTCAAATAAGTTGGGTTAACTAATAATGTTTAAGGCTGAATCGGAGGTCACTTTCTCTAATGAGGAACTTTGTGATACAGAGAAGGGCCTGCAACTCTCCGGTGCTAAGCCAATGATCTCACCCTTTCAGGCTGTCTCCATCTTGGGAGAGGAAGTCTTCCGGTTCCAGATGACTCTGTATCCAGACGCCACAGAAGGAGAAGCCTATGCCGACGTGTCTAAAGTGGATGGCAGACTTAGTCTCAAAGTGGGCTGTATTCAGATCGTTTACGTTCATAAATTCTTCGTGTCTTTGTTGGTAAGTGTATGTTTCAGTATGTGTTTATTTCTCATTGGGCCCTAAATAATTGCCTGTACTCCTGAACCCAGGGAGTCCAGGTCTTCACAGTGGGCTGTGTTAAACACCCTAACACCAGCCAGATTACTGCAGTCAAAGATCTTTAGATGATGGTTAACTAAGTGAATTTTAAAACTCATTGGTAAGTACACAAGCTGTGTTTCTCCAGCATTTTTTTAGGTGTGTATTTTACAAGTGCTTTTTAATTTAGGACTTTTTAGTAGTACTTGTTTATGGGAATGCTTGTAGAGATGTTTAGCTAAAAGAACTTTTAAAGGAAGTTTGGCAATATCTTAAGAACTAATATTAGAATTTACAGCTTTTGCTTATATTTGTGATCACTAAGACCATAGAATTCTTTTATTTTTATCCGTCATGGAAGTAGCCTATGCTGAAAAGTTTTAAGTCTGCTTACTGCTTTTAGCAGGGTTGCTAACCAGAGCTTATCTTTCATGAATTTCTCTCTGAACTGTCATGTTCACTTGTGTAGAAAGTGAGTTATTTCGGGAGAAGAGGAAGAGATTAAGTTTATGACAAATGGTGGATATTAAGAACATGAGTTGTAAGAGCAACTGTTTCTTTGCTGGGAAGAATCTTTCTGGTTGCGTGGAGATGAAAATGCATCCTACCTAAATAAAGAAGTTTTGATTCTTAGTCATGATTACAGAATTGTAGGTAGTTAACCATTTGTGTCCATCCATATGCAGTACATTAGAAACTCAGTAATAAGCTTCCTGAACCCTCATTTTTAAAAGTAGACTGTATTTACTGTGACCTAGAGGTACAGAATAGAACTTACTGTTGGGGAGATAAAGTGCTGTCCTCCATTCCTTTCCTTGCATGTGGCATAGTTACTAAGAAACATTTTAAAAAGAATCATATCAGAACTTCATCATAAAATTAATGGTTAAAAATAGAAATAAAAAAAGAATAAAAAATATAAATGAAAGTTAAGAATCTTTACTCCCTGGAGGTAGCTGTTGTTAATAGCGCAGGGTATATCTTCCTAGACTTTACTCTTCTCCACGTACACAATCATAAATAATCTCTTTTATTATGCTTATTTAGTTGTTCATTTTGCAGCACGTACTTTTGAAAGTGTTTTCCTTTGGAGAACAAACATCTTTTGGGGGGAAGTCTTTTAACTATCATTCTCTTCCAACAGAATTTCCTCAACAACTTCCAAGCTGCCAAGGAAGCTTTGAGCACGGCTACCATGCAGGCTGCAGAGAGAGCTGCTTCTAGTGTGAGGGACTTGGCCCAGAAGAGCTTCCGCCTTGCGATGGATGTGGACCTGAAAGCACCGGTTATTATTATCCCTCAGTCTTCAGTGTCGTCTAACGCTGTGGTGGCAGATCTCGGCTTAATCAGCGTGGAAAACAGCTTTAGTTTGCTTCCTGCAGAACGTTACCCTTTCCCTCCAGTCATTGATAAAATGAAGGTCCAACTCACTCAATTGAAGCTGTCCAGGTAAAATTATGTGTGTAACTGTCATAATTTGCTAGAAAGAAGATTTTTACATAGTTTTCCTAGGATTAAAATAGTGATATTTTCTCTCATTGTTTAATTATGAACCTTAATCATTTTTGACTAATTGTCAATATAACGGTGTGCTTTATAGTATCTGTATTTTGTAGTACCAAGTTTAGAATGTTATTTTCCATTCTGTGAAAACTTACATGTTAAAAGATATCAGCTTACTAGCTGGGATTAGTGGTTCATGCCTGTAGTACTTGAAGCAGGAGGCTCACTTGAGCTCACAAGTTCCAAACTATGCTGTGTATTATAGCAAGAGCCTATCTCAAGGAACAAAGAAAAAAAATTTATGGAGAATGCTACAGAATGTATGTACTTGCTCAGAAATACATCTTCATTTCATTTGCTCATAGCTAGTTCTTCCTAAATTTGTAGTAAGATTTAGTATTTGTAGTGTGGTGCTTAAAGGATTTTTGAATCCAGATGGGAAGGTGTTGACTCTGTTTAGTGGCCAGAGTTCTTATTTCCTCGTGCAAATGGCTGTTTGTAGGCAAGTTAGAAATGTTTATTGCCATGTGAGTCACTTTAGATTTGATGTGTTTTTCTCTTTGGATTTGGAGAAGTAACATATTGAGGACTGAGTATATGATTGCTTCATTTATTTTGTTTTCACAGAGTACAAATATGAGATACTAGCTGCTGTATCATATAGTTTTTGTGAAAGATAGCAAATGATACAGTGATAATTTCTGGAAGTTATGTCTTTGTTTTTGATAACTATATATAAACTTTATTCTGATTTGCTCTGATTTATGGAAAGAAATATGTTCTAAAAGAGTTCTGATAGTAGCTTTTATGTATTTAGGAAGGTGCCTTGTGGAAACTCTTAAACAGTGTGGGATATTGTCATTTTAAATGTCAATTTAAAGCGTATATGGAAGCATGATCTTGTTTCTCTTCTCAGAACTATCTTGCAAGCTGACTTGCCACAGGATGACATTGAAATCTTAAAACCAGTAAACATGCTTTTGTCTATACAACGAAACTTATCAGCAACTTGGTACATGGAAATTCCCGGGATCGAGATAAAAGGAAAGTTAAAACCTATGCAGGTATGCGGATCACATGAGATAGATGGCCGTTGTAGGTGGACCTTCATGGTGGATCACAGTGCAGTTCTAGTGTATTAAAAGAGATGCTTTGTATCAAGTGAGAGCACCCTTGTCGCTTGCTCTTTTATTACATTTTAATTAGCTGTGTGGTAAAACTAGCAAGAACGTTGAAAGAGCTGGTACAATGGCTCAGGTTTCAGGCCAGTTGGTGCAGTTGAGGGCCTGCAGATGTAGCCCTGTGGGGGAGCACTTGACCTAGCAACATGCGTGTGTGTGTGCACACATGCACACACAGGAGAGGGGGTGGGGACTAAGATAAACCTGTTGAGTCTGCTGAAACTACTGTTCTTAATTTTGGAAAATTCTATGAAAATTTTAGTGTGTTTAAATTGTAAGAGAATGAAAAGTGATGTTCACGTACCACAGAGATTTTTTAGTTGTGATTTTCTTTTTAAATTAAAGTTTTTCGATTGACACAATATTTGTACAGCGACGGAGTAGTATTTTCAGGTGTAGGAAGCCTCCTGGAGTATCACTTTGAGTAGGCAGAGGTTTGTGTTGGTAGCAGAGCAGTGAAGCAGCGTCTCAGAGGCAGTCTTTGCAGGTGTTGTGCCAGCTCCCGGGAGCAGGAGAGACCGGGGACAGGAGCTATGGGAGTGTACTAGCCCTGTGGTTCTCAAGTACCCGTGTGTGAAGTGGGAAGCTCTACAGCACGTGTCAAGATAGTGGGGAGAGAGGAAGCAAATTGAACGAGTAAAAAGCCAACCAAACTATAATGTCAGTAGCTTTGGTATCCGTGGTTATTCTAGGGTTGGTTCTGTGATAAGAAGGGGTTGGAGGAGCATTTAGGAAGGCATTTAAAGTAGAAGCTTGTTGTGCAAATGGAAGGTTTTTAAGTAGATGTCCCAGTGAGTACAAGTAGATGTATTAAATGAGAAAGAGTGGTTGAATGATTGATACTCCAGAGCATGGGTTCTTTCTTTCAGTTCACAGAGCACTATATATTGCAGAGTTTTTTCTCTGAAGTTGTAGGGTAGTCTGTATTCCAGACTATATCTTCTGTGCCTCAATTTCTCCTTATTGCTAAGATATTAGATTCCAGGACAATATTTGATTCTTCCTTTCAAAGATTGTAGAGTTACAGATTTCCTGAAAGCAAAAGTAAAATGTAAATGTCTGTCAATGGGACAATGTGGATAAAATTATAATTACTCACATTTGGGAATTATAAAGTATCTAAAATAAATGAACCAGAATTATAGCATATCTTAAAGATAAAAATGAAAAAAATTAATTGCAAAATGATAGTACAGTTTTATGTTACTTGAAAATATTTTAACAAGCAAGGGTTGCATAAGTTATAGGATATGTAGTAATGGTAAATGTTAGAAAGCATTCATGAAAATAATTGTCGTACTCGGGATGGAGTCTTTCCGTGGATGTGGGAACGGGCTCTCACAGAGTTGCATGGAGGATTCAGCTATGTCTGTAAAGGGAAAAAGATCTGAAGGAAATGTGGTAACTGTTAAGATTTGATGAAGCCAGGTGGTAGGCACATGGGAGGATTATAGTATTTTCTTTTTCTTTTATGCTTGAAATATATCAAAAGGAAAAAGGAAAAAAGCAGTAAATCCAGCAGGTTAGCATCAAAGTATGATCATTATTTTACCCAAAGGGCTCTTGTTAATTCAGTAGTGCAGCCACACTGGATAACATTTCCACAACCCGATCTGTCAGTGAGTCAGGCCTGTTGAATCACTTAGGCTTTGGGCACGGTTCGTGTAATTTCCTGGGTCAAGGGTGCTGCTGAGAAAGATATCAGGCAAGTGACACCAATAAATTCTTTTCAGTATATTGTTTGACAGTTCTTGAAGAACTCTGGGGCCACCTTTCAGAATTATCCTGTAGCCTTCCTGAAGGTCGGTGTAGTAGGCGATCTATAGCACTTTTGTTCAAAGCACACAGGGTGGTGAGGTCAGCTGCCCTTTGGGCTACTGTGATAACTTGGTTGGTATCCAGATAGGAATGGACACTGAGGAAGTTCTAAGGAATTGGTGTTATTCCTGTTATCCAAGGACTGGGGCTGAAACAAACAAGAAGTCCCTGATCATTGCCTTGTGCAAAAGTATCTCCTTATTTTCGTTGAGGAGGGGTACTAGGCAGTGTTGCAGGCTGAAGGGATCTAATTTAGGGGACACAGGTTACCGTCGCATCCGGAAGTTAACTGTGCATGTGTATGTGTTGGTGTGAGACCATGTGTAAGTTCTGAAAACAAAGTTTTACGATTCTGGTGTCTGGAAGTGAAATTTACAAAAGATAGAATAAGAAAGTACTGATTTAATAGACTTTAATAGCCAGTTGTTGGGAGCCGCAGCCCCAAGCCCGGTCGCCTTACTTGGCGGACGTGAGGCCTGTGGTAAAGAGTAAAGCCTGAGTTAGATTACCCCTCCCATCGAGCACGTTAGTTTCCTGCTTACCGCGTAAACAACCCGCTCAATAATATGTTAGCCAATCAGCTTGCCTTGCTTACTTTAACATGATTGGACACTGTATCCGTATATATACTGGTGCCACCCCTGGGGGGAAGTAGAAGCCTGGAAGGAGCCGCGGAGAGCGGACCGGTAGAGGCTTCGGAGCGAAGCCCGGAAGGAGCCGCGGAGAGCGGACCAGTAGAGGCTTCGGAGCGAAGCACGGAAGGAGCCACGGGGAGCGGACCAGAGGAGGCTTCAGCTGGGAGCGATCCCAGGGCAGGCTGTACGGAGAAGGAAAATAAAAGAAAAGGTTGTCCACTGCCAGACTTTGTTGTGTGTCCTTCCTGCCGGCCGGGAGATATTAGCGCCCGACATGGGTGTTCAGGTGGTCGAAACCACCTTCAAGGGACGGCTGCCTGAAAATACAGTTGGCCTAGTAATCGGAAGGTCCTCCATGGCCCTTCGGGGTCTCACAGTGATCCCTGGGGTCATAGACTCAGATTATACAGGAAATATTCAGATTATGGTTCAAACTCTTGTAGGTACTATGGTAATTAATGAGGGGGACAGGATAGCACAGCTCCTGCTGCTCCCCAGCCTCCATAAGAGGTTCCAGTACTCCACATGACTCTTGACAAGAGGCCCATGCTTTTGCTTAAGATCAATGGCAGACAATTAAAACATGGTATCCCATACAATCCCCAAGGTCAAGGAATCATTGAGAGGGCTCATAGAAGCCTCAAAGAAATTTTACAAAAACAAAAAGGGGGAGTAGGCCAAGGCCTGGCCCCAAAGGCACGATTATCCATGGCACTATTCACACACAATTTTTTAAATTTAAATAATGATAATTGCTCCCCAGCTATGGAGCACTGCAACCCTTCCTCCAACCATAAAGGGTGGGTTAAATGGAAAGATGTCCTAACAGGACAATGGATGGGCCCGGATCCGGTAATCAGCTGGAACCGAGGCGCGGTTTGTGTTTTTCTGCAGGAATCGGGACGAGAACCACTGTGGGTACCGGAGAGACTGACACGGGCGACAAAGCCCTCGACTGAAGATCAGACCTGCCCTACCGGAGATCCATCACAGACCAACCAACAAGATGAATAGAAATAGCGGTAGCCCGAAATGGACAAGAAGATCCTCAGGCATATGCATGGCTCGCTCGCCTAGCCTACGACCGAGTCTAGGGGCGGTGAGCTTCCCACACTCCTCCTCTAAAAAATTATGACATAGCTGGGTAGGAGAGTCAATGACGGGTAAGAGCGTACTCCCCCGGTGCGACTCAACCTAAGCCAGGCCCTACCCCATCCTGCACGTAAGCCGCTGGACTGTTAGATGCTGCCCAGGTCTAAATTTCTCTCCGAGGGGATTTCTTTACGGAGAAGAAATGAGTGCAAGCTTGTGTACATCCAGGTTCCGTCCAGTTTGTGCCTGGCCCTAGAAAAAGGACGAGGGCCTCAGGGCCTTGGCAGACCATGGCACGGCTGACCAGGGTCTAAGCCAAGGACCTACGGTGGGCCTACGCATAGGGCATAAGCCTCTGCACCCAGTCCAGGAAGGGCTACGATGCGCACATTCATAAAAAATAAAAAAGGGGGAGATGTTGGGAGCCGCAGCCCCGAGCCCGGTCGCCTTACTTGGCGGACGTGAGGCCTGTGGTAAAGAGTAAAGCCTGAGTTAGATTACCCCTCCCATCGAGCACGTTAGTTTCCTGCTTACCGCGTAAACAACCCGCTCAATAATATGTTAGCCAATCAGCTTGCCTTGCTTACTTTAACATGATTGGACACTGTATCCGTATATATACTGGTGCCACCCCTGGGGGGAAGTAGAAGCCCGGAAGGAGCCGCGGAGAGCGGACCGGTAGAGGCTTCGGAGCGAAGCCCGGAAGGAGCCGCGGAGAGCGGACCAGAGGAGGCTTCGGCTGGGAGCGATCCCAGGGCAGGCTGTACAGAGAGAAAATAAAAGAAAAGGTTGTCCACTGCCAGACTTTGTCGTGTGTCCTTCCTGCCGGCCGGGAGCGACATCGACAGCCAGTAGCAAGTGTGTTGTTCTGCAACACTGTGTAAGGAAGATACTACTATTCTTGTTTTAAGACTAACAGACTTGATGTAAGAAAGCTAAGAAAACCCGGCCAGCATCACAGCTTGAAAGTGTTAGGGTGCTGCACTCAGATCTACTTGAGTCTGAAGCCTTGCTGTTTTGTATTTTTATAAATATAAAATACTCTTTTGTAAAGTTAAAAGATGAAAAGATGCTACCTTCCTAGTGCGTGTTTTGGTTTTAGAAAATATTTTGTAGTTATGTTCGTTGTTATTGTAAAAGGTATTATTTTTGATACGTTAAGATAGTCTATGTATGTCCAGGTGCATATGTACTGTGTGAACAGAGCTACAGAACAGGAGAAAATCTTATTTTCTGTTGGAGACTAGAAATCAAACTGTACCATCTGGTGTTGAACTTGTTGGAGCAGAGTGAATACCGTAGGAGGAGGAGCAGATGGGGCCTGGAAGAGAGATGGAGTGGGCATGAGAAGGTGGGATCTTGGAAGTGAGTTCAGGCCTGTGAAAGGGACAGCTAGGCGGAGGCCAGGCAGCATGGTGGTGAGGCAGGGCCTGGCTATGGGCAGAGCAGAGGGTGCCTCCCAGGAGAGGTGTCTCACACTGGACAGGTGGCAATCTTCTCTCCACTCCTCCTCCCAACTCCCAGTCTGTCCATCACCATCTCTGTTTCTCTCTCTTTTTATTTTTGCAGTGCTGGGGATTGAACACGGGTTGCACATGCTAGGCAAACACTCTGTCAGTGAGCTACAATCTCACCCCATCTTTATTTTTAAAAAGATGCAAACAGTTGGTTAAACTTAATTATGTATGTATGTATGATATTCTGGATTTTTTATTACTTTATATTGACAGTTATTGCCTGTTTCCAGGTTGCTCTCAGTGAAGATGACCTAACAGTTCTAATGAAAATTTTGCTGGAAAATCTTGGGGAAGCTTCTCCACAGCCAAGCCCTGCACTGTCTGCTCAGGAGGCTGTGAGAGTGAGGAAAGATATTCCAAGTGGACCAGACTACCTGAGAGGTAGAAATAGATGAAGATGCTTGCTTGCTTGATGACTGAAACATTGTTGTCGGTACCCTCTTTATACTGAGTGCCCTTTAATTTTGCATTCCTTGTTGGGCAGTGTACTGGGGAGGGCATGTGGCAGCTGCCTCTGGAAACTCCCAGGGGGAGGGGATCTGCCCGTCATCTGTGACGAGAGGATGAGCCTCATTCTTGCCACATGATCCGTGTTTGCCCTGACTTGTGAAAGCTGCATTTGCAGAATTCCCCAGGCACTGAACTTGGGATCATTTGCAGGCAGTGCACACTGAGAGGAAGTCAGTAGGCAAGCCGTGTGGCCTGGTCCCAAAGTCCTTGGGAGAGAAAAGGGACTTGGTGTGGTGTCACCACCCGTGGGTGACTGAACCCTGAGAAAGAAGCTTTACTTACCTGATGTGGAGAAGGATACAGTCATATGAACTTCAGCTCTGTTTCATATTATTAAACTGAACTTTCAGAAAGCACTGAACCGGGCTGGGGGTTTAGCTCAGCGGCATAAGCGCCTGCCTTGAAAGCAGGCAGTCGTGAGTTCGATCCCCGGTACCAATAAAAAGGAAAAAGACAAAAAAAACAGCACTGAACCTTTTAAATTCAGCCATTTTTAAATGATAGTTGTTGTAGAATAAAAGTTTCTTTTACTTGCTTAAACAGATTCTATCAAATACAGTTTTTTGAAGTCATTAGAATGAACACCAGATGTTTTATTAGAATGCAAATAGGTTACTATTTCCATGCTGAAAAGAGGAAGTACCCTTTGCTTTTGTAATAAATGGTGCTGGGCAGTTATGTATGTGCTTGCAAATGCTCTCAGATCATCCCAGTTTAATTGGTAAAACTGCCAAGAAATAATACCATACTAACACTGCTTATATAGGTGGACTGACATGTTTTGGAATTAGGGATACCACAGATGATGGGAACATTTTGCAGAACAGGTTTCTGGTTTAAGTAGATAGTTATTTGTATTGCATAGCTTGGTGAGGCCAACACGTTCTCCTTCATTTGGCTTTATACTGCCTTCTAAAGTGCTGGGGGAGCAGAGTGTCTCAGACAGGAGCTGTGTAGACAGGAACAGAGCATACATGACAGGCATGCTTTTTGGTTAATGATCTCGTTAGATCCGCCTGTGATCAGATTTGTTTTCCATTCTCACTGATGTTCATGTGGAACTTGGGAAAATTTGAGTTCAGATGCGAGCCACAGAGGTGAAGATTGCAAAGGTGGTGAAGATTGGAATGTAAATTATTTTTAGGAAAAGTGGAGAAAAAAAGACTTTCCAGTTTGGAGAAACCTACCTGGTTAAAATTATGGAGTGCTTCCTTTTGTAGAATTTGTAAGATAAGAAGCTCCTATACTGTAACCAATAGAGAGAAACAGTCTCTGAGAGAATCATTGAGTCTCTTTGCAACTGAAGGCAGGCTTTGTCTGTCCTGTCTAAAGATGAGAAAAAAGACTAAATTTTTTTTGAAGTCTCTCTCATCTCAAAATTCCTAAGTTTCCCCCCAGCTTCCATCATATTTGAGCTCTGATGCTACCGCTGAGTTATATCCTATACTTTCTGAAGGCAGAGGTGAGCAGTGTGGGTATTTAAAGGTAGTAAGACTTGTGCTCTGCAGCAAAGCTTTTACTGCCTAACCTGGGCCCACATGTTCCGGCTTTCTGTGCCTTCTGTCTCGTAACCTCTTGAGGATGGTTGGAAACAGGCAGGTGAAAATGCCTTGATATGAAAAATGATAAGTGATCTTACACTGAAGAACTGTTAAAACTGCCTTGAAATACTGTTTAGTCTCCCCTTTGCCACTTTGCCCTGTACTAAATATAAGGTAATCATTGCTGCTTTTATATACTGTCACATAATATGATTTAAAGAGTACTGGAAGGAATAACATAAATTTAGTATAGCAAATTATTATCTCAGCTTTTAAAATATGTATGAAATAATGTGCTTACTTAAAATCTTTATAATTTTAATTTTCATGTTTAAACCATCAGAACAAGAAGATTTGACAGACCTAAAGCCTTCTTTGGACCAGACCGTCACACTCCAATTTGACTTTCATTTTGAATCTCTGTCCATTATCCTTTATAACAGTGACATCAGTCAGGTATGTAGTAAAGCGTCTGGTGGGGATGCATTGTTGCTCTTGGTATTTGTTTTAAGAATAGTTGCCTGCCTGCCTGCTGAGGAGAAGCAACAAGGAAGCCATCCCCAGGCCTCTCTGCCAACCCCTCAAGCAGCTGGATGCCACACGGGCTCAGAGAACAATAGCTAAAGTAGGGAAGCGGCCTGGGGCCGGTAGTCTGAGCAGCTGTTAGGGGATAACAATGTGCAGTATAGTAACAATAGTGGATTTCCTACTGTCCTATCACTGTTTTGTTTTGTTTTGTTTCATTTTACTGTTCTGTTTTACTCTCTTTAAAATTAAAAGAAAACAGTAGCGTTTTGTCACTTAAGTATTCATTAGGAAGTGTTAAGGTATCTGCCAGTGTTGGTTGTCCTGTGCCACATGTGCATGTGCTGATTCTGCTGCCGGTCTTCTCTGGATTTCTATTTTTAATCTCAGTAGGCCAAGGTATACCAGTTCTTTCTAGCTAACATGGACACCAAAGTGTGTTTTGATCTGCACTAATAGAGGATTTTTATATGTGCAATTAATTATATGTTCCATTTTATGACATAGCTAAATACATATGTGTAGATACCTATTTAAGAATAATTTAATGGCTTTAGAGCTTTGGACAATTATTCTGAAATTCATGATTGTCTATGAATGTAAACAGTGATTGTGTTTCTATAAAATGAATGTTATATATAGTGAATTTGTATTAATAATACTATTAATAAATTTAAGAACCAAAGTCTAATTCTATAATGGTAGACGCTAATGTTTCAGTGGTGTTTTTGAAGGCTGTTTTTTAAATTATATTCTGTCCTATAATATTTTTATTCTATCAATTATGCCATATGTTAATACCTATTGTGCATATGTAATTCACATAAATCTATGAGTTTTTAGGTATTACATCTGCTAATGTGCATTTTCATATACTGATTTCATACTGTTTTCTAAGATTAAAGCAGTATACTATTTGTACGTTGTTACTGTTGAACTTTGGTTTAGTGTCCATGATTTATGCAGTGAGCTGTCTCAATTTCTGCTGTCCAGTCTGCGTGAAACCATCAGAGAATGTCCTGACAGGAAAGGAGCAGTTAAAAGAACCTTGATTTCATCTAAGGACTACTATCTGTTGGTTCCTCAGCCTTCAAATTTTCATCTCTTCTTTTACTTCTTTCCTTGTTTACTTTTTGTATTCTTTTAGACACTGAGTACCATCAAGCTTTTCTTGTCAGTGTACATTGTCCTTTCCTGTCTGTTTTCACTGCTGCTTGTTGTGCAAGACTCTTCCTCAGCTCACACTTGTACTGCAGTGGCTTTGTTTGATTTGTCTTAGACATTGGTGCAATGTCCAAGTGTCATAAGTATATCTCCAGTGGCCACTTATAACTTCCCGTTCTCCTTACAGGGGTTCTGTCTTACAGTGTGTGAGTGTCCCCTTAGGAAAAAATAGGTCTCCAAGTTGTCTACATCAGGAGCCATATTAGGAAAGGTAGTGTCTTGTGATCACTAGTTGTGACTCGGGTCATTTCTGTCAATAGTTAAAGAACAAAAATTGCAAAATAGTTCTCTCTTCATAAGGTGAAGGCATTCAAAGCTTACTGGCAGTAATGTCATTTTAACCTACTTACATGCAGTCTCCTACCTGGAATGAAAGGAATTGTGGCCTTCTAACCACTGTGTCTGACTGCAGGTCATTGGTGCTATTCACAAAGCCATGGTGTCTAGTGAGCCACTGTGGCTGATAAGGTTGTTGGTTGATCAGTTGGGTCAGGTCTGTTCTTTGTAAAATCTGGGCTTACCTGGAGTATGTGGACTTACGTTATGGTGGAATGAAGACTGAGGCCCCCATTTCTAGAACTGAAAGTGCAGATCATCATTTGAGCCCTAAGGCATCCATGTTTCCTTCTATCCTCATTGCCTATGTTGTTTAACTAGAATGTTCAAGCTTATAGCTTTCCCCCCATGTAAGACCCAACTGGAAGATAATACACCTTGAAAACTGGAGACCAAAATTGTCATCCTAATCCACATATCCTCACTTTACCCCCCTTAAAGAGCAGCAAGAGTGTAGTGATGGCAGGTAAGGGACAGATAGGCTGTTGGGGCTGGCATTTTTCATCTCTGGTTTCCAAGGCTGATTATTTTTTGGCTAGATCGCATTTCCAGGGAAGGAGGGCAGGTGCCCTGTGCCCTGAGAGTACCTCACATGCTCACGCTTTCCCCGTGTGGACATCTTTCCCTTTATCTGGTCTTCCTCATTCTCCACCACACAGTTATGTTCTTAACCTGCAGCCTACAGTAATTAATTTTACCTCTCCGAGTTTTTACTGTTTGTACTTTTTTATCTAACTACTTTATATGCTTTGTGGAAGTTCGGATGCTAATAAATATTAATAAAAATTAATATATATCGCAAGGTATGTAGTTATTTACAACTTGTAGCATCTCGTTGGACTGTTATTTTTAATGTACTTCTAGTTTATTCTTTCAACTAAGGTATAAAATCACTGAGATCAACAGTAAGGCTTATTTTTTCTTATGAAGTCCCTAGTTCTTATCACTGTTGTTTACAGAAGAGCTCATTAATGTTTATTAGCTGAATTGCATATTATCTGATAAAACTATTTGCTAATTAGTCACACTTGCTTCAAACTATATCAGGTTACTTTTAATATATTAACCATTGTTGAGGATCAGGACACATACGCATTTATTTGTATGTACGTATGTACTCATAGACAATGCGTAACTGTTCCATTTATGTGTTTTCCCACCTGTGCTTTGAAAATTTATGAGATTGATTTGTATTTTAGCTCTGGGTTAAATATGTTTAATAATATTACATGATTTTTAAAGGTAATTGATTCTTTTGTTTGAAAAATGTACGGCAGGAGTCCAAACTTGCATTTTGTAATGATAGTTTTCGTCTCAGTGAGCTCAGACTGTACCTGATGGCCTCTGCAGGGAAGATGTTCAAGGATGGCTCAGTGAATGTCAGCCTTAAGCTGAAGACATGCACCCTTGATGACCTCAGATAAGGCATCGAGAGAGCCACGTCCAGGTCTGTCAGTTCGCAGGGTGCTGGATGCCACTCACGGCTAACCCTGAACCTGGCATCACTGCAGGCTTTGCTGTGCTTGGGTTCTTCAAAAAATATTTGTGTCTTTTTGGTCAGACCTTTAATCTGAATTGCATCAAGAAGTAATGCTAATATCAGATTCAGCTGCTGGGATGGTTATATTAAATGAAAGTTTATTAATAAATTGGAGTACTGTCTTAAAAATGGAACTACCACAATGTGAGTTTCAGTAGTTAAATATGTGGTGATATATTTTTTTCAAATTATCTCCATTCACCAGAATCAGGTTTTAAAAATCCTTAAAGTTATGACTTTTTCCTTTGTCTTATTTTGTCTGTCTTTTAAAACACTTCTACAAAATTTCTGTCACTTTTAATAGGAGTAGAATCCCAAGCATAATCACATTATCAACACATTTTTGACAGAATCAGCCTACTGTGAAGTTAAAAACGTGTAACTTCAGTAGCCTAATAATTTTTTATTCCTTTTTGAAATAATGAGACATGTACTATTTTTTACTTACTGGTTTTCTTTGGAGAAAAGTTGTGTTGCTACTTACTCTTGTATTCTATTGAGTACGTATTGGATAGTGCTAAACCCCGTATTTCCTGGAGAAATAAATGAGTAGCGTGGCCATGCAGCAGTTTTTCTCCTACGGGAATTTTACGTCGAGGGAACTGTCCGCAGCTCTCTAGATGGGGTGATAAATGTCGAAAACTGTTAGGTAGCCTGGTCTTTACAATACATGTGGAGCTGCATAGGAACTGTCATTGCAGACCCTTTTTTTTAAAATTTTATTTAAGGAGAAAAGAAAAAAAAAGCAGAGAAAGGGTACAAGTTATACAGATTTACAGAAAAAAAATGAACAGTAGGAAATCACTAGTTAATGGATTACATATTGTCATCTTAGAAATAATTGTTCAAGTCACAAAATTAAAGCTTGTAAAGTGGACATTCCATCAATGATACTGCAAACAGTTCTGTTCAATGATCCAATAAAACTCTGTGATATCATTTTCTATCTTATACTCTTAAATATACATGCAGTTATATAGTTTAGAGCACTTTCTTTTTCTCTCTTTTGTACAATGACTATTACACATTTTGGGTTTCATTGCTCCCACGGTTCTTATTACTTTTTTGGAAGAGAGTAAAACCAAATGTGACAGAACAGAATCGGTCAAGTCAAAAGGGTGGACATAATAGATAATGTAAAAACATAATACAAGGTGATCAACAATGGTTACCATAATGCCTCCCGTTATCTCTAATAGAATTGCCTATATCGTTAGTTATAATACAATTGAACAAAACAGTAAAGAAAAAAACCGACAAAACCAAAACATTGGAGACATTGTAGGTCTTCAAAAGTAGATAAAAGTCAACGAGAATGGGCATTATAATGAATCTCATTATCTTCACAGCTGATGCTTAAACTTTCGAACCTGATACTATCCAGCAAAACAGAATAGGGGAACATCAGTTAAAAACCAGATGGTGAGAGTAATACAGGGCTTTAAATCGAGGTAATGGAAAGTCAAAGTGGGTTACTATAATATATCCTGCTCTTTTTTTCCTTAAATTAAAAGGATAAAAATAAAAAAGTAAATAATGGAGTGGAGATTGAGATAAAAGAGGGCATAACAACGAAACAGTGCTGATCAAAACATAACCATTTAAGCAGAATAGTGTTTCACCACCAGATAATCCTTACCTAAAAGTAGTTACCATATTGTCTCTTTCCTTGAAATCCTTGAGTACAACTTCGTATACTGTAGCATTAAGTATATCAAAACAATGTAAAACCATTTAAGAGAATGACAGCATTACAGAGTATTTAGAATCGACTAACAGAAAATGAACAATGGTTTCTGTATAATCTCCTTGTCTTTAAAAGGTTTTTGCTTATACTATCGTACATAATAAAATCCAATAAGATACAACCTATTTAGACCATTGGAGACAGAAGGACAAAAGCTAGATGAGACTCAAAACAAGATGATACTAAATCAGAATTACCTATTAAGATGTCATTTTCTCCAAAATAGCTGTTCCTATCATCCAATCTTCTCTGCCTCATTTCTGTTGAGCTGTTATTCTGTCAGTAGCTGTCAGTTTGTCTTCCTCATTTTGTTCTCTGCTTCATTCGTTGTGGCCTCCCCGCCACTATTTCTGGATTCTTTGTATTTTTCTTTTTTTTAGAATATCCTGCAATACTCTCTGTAGAGTTGAATTGGTGGTTGCAAATTCCCCCAGTTCCTCTTTATCCTGGAAGCACCTTGTTTTTCCATCAATTTCCAGGGACAGTTGTGCAGGATATCTCAATCTCGGCTGGAGATTATTATCTTTCAAAGCTTGAATTATTTCCCCCCACGCTCTTCGTGATTTGATGGTTTGTGCAGAGAAATCTGCTGTAATTCTGATGGGTGCTCCCTTGTAAGTGGTCTGTTTCTTGTCTCTGACAGCTTTTAATATTCTGTTCTTGTATTGAATTTCTGGAATTTTTATTATTATATGCCTGGGTGTTGCTCTGTTTGGGTTGTAGGTAGCTGGGGTCCTGTATGCCTCATACATCTGAGTATCTTTACCTTTTGCTAAATTAGGAAAATTCTCCTGGATTATTTCTGTGAGTAGCTTTTGTAGTTCACTTGTTTGTGTTCCTACTTCTTTTATGTTCTTGATCCTTAAGTTATGGATCCTCTTGTCATCTTCTTGTCTTTGTATTATTGCTGTTTGTTTCTTTGTTATTTTTAAGACGTTTTCCATTTCATTCTCCCATATTACAAGTCTGCCCTCCAGTTCAGATAGTCTGTCCTTAGTTTCTTTCAAGCTGTTATGCCAGTCTTCGATAGACTTCTTAATTTCTTGGTAGTCCCTTTGAACCTGCTTCACGTACTCTATGCTTTCTGTTTTCTTCATCAAACAATTCTCCCCTCTTTTTCTGTTCTTCCATTCCACCATCTGTTTTTTCCTGGGTGGTGCTTAGCATTTCTCTAACTATTCTGCATACTTCTAGCTTCAGGTCGTTGATAACTTCATTCCTGAATTGGTCTATGAGGCTCTCTATATGGCGCTTAATGTCTATTGGTGCGGTGTCCGCTATTGCCTGTTTCTCAGAATTGGGGGCTGAGGAGCCTTTCTTGTTGCTGCCTTTTCCCATATTCTCTGTTCCTTATATATATGCAAGCTTACATAGGAGGCCCAGCTTCCCTCCCTGTCAGCCACAGCCTGATCGAATTGCGCTGGCTAGGTGTTCCCGCTCACCACTGCGCACCAGGGTGTTACGGACCAGGCAGCCTACACGTCTCCCCTCCCGGCCACCATCAGGCTCTGGGATCTGGGTTGGGCCAGCCTACTGGGTCCGCCGGCAGCGTCACACAGGCCAGGCACTGTTCACCAATCCCACCCGAGAGGGGAATGTGTGGTTGGAGTCGCCACCGCGCCCTGCTCCCGCAGGACTGTTCGGGCCCAGAAAGTCCTCCGCTGGAGTCAAACTGTGGTGGAGTGTCAGTTTCTCTCACTCACCTCGCCACAAGTCAGTACATGCCTCCCTGCCCGTTCTGTTTTCAACTCCGTTCACAGACTCCCATTCTCAGAGCTTCCGCGCGTCTCTCTCCTTGCCGAGCCGATGTAGAGGCAGCCAGCCACCGCGCGGCGGGAAACCAAAATCGCGGCTTCCAATGGCGCGGGGTCCAGCCTCCGCACCGAGGCTTTTCTGTTCCTGTTTTAGCACCAGGACTGCATTCCAAGTTGGTTTCTCTCAGCCCAGTTCGTTCCTGAGTCAGCAGAGCATAACTCCACCTGCTTATGTCTCTTTAGTCCGCACCATTCCTGGCTTCTGAGCCTAGTTTTTCAGAGAGCCTCCAGTAGTTGCTGTTATCTGTCCGCCATGTTCTCCCGGAAGTCTGCAGACCCTTGATAAACGTGTGCTGATTTGAGTTGCATGAAATACCTTTGGAATTCAAATGTATAGGATGATTTTTGCAGATAAATTCTTTTAGGAAGATGAATTCTTTTATTTAGTGAAATATTGGGACTGCATTTATACATTTTGAAATTTGCGCAAGTCATTTCTAATAATATTTCTTTAGTATTAAATTGTGATTATAAAATATAATTGCTTAATCTCATGCACCTTGTTTGGGAAATGGGGAAACATGTTTTGGTTACTAGTTGGTTTATTATATCCAGTTAACACTGTCCTATTTTATGTTCAGATAAAAACTAATTGATGAAAGAATTCTTAAAATACATAGGAAAACTTTCATAATTTTTATTTTTAGTGGGAGATAAAATAATGAGTGATATGTGTGTATTTTTTTCAGAATGATTGACAGAAAGAATGACCAAGATAGCAGCAGTTCTATGATTGATATTCATTACAAACAAGACAAAAACACAAGTCTAATTGATGCTGTTCTTGACAAGCTGTATGTGTGTGCCAGCGTGGAGTTTTTGATGACTGTGGCAGATTTCTTCATCAAAGCTGTGCCTCAGAGCCCAGAAAATACGGCGAAGGAAATACAAATGCCATCAAGACACATTACCATGGGGAAAGTCAAGACAGAAAAAGGTTAGCAGACTGTATCTGTCTTAGATGACAGCTTGTTGTATATTTTAACACAAATTACAAACAGCAAGAAAGAGACATATTGGGTTTGAGAAAATAAAATTAGGCTTTTAGGTTTAAACATACTTTACAGAAACATCTTAGTAAATGTTTGTAAGTGAGAAGTATATAGTAGAAGCATATTAGGGGCAGGGACTCTGCTCTGGGACTTGTCATGTCACTCACATTCTTTACTCATCTGGAAAGGAAGTTAATTGGGGTAAGTGGTTGGGGGGCTATTTTATAGGTGGGTCATTTAGTCCAGGAAAATACTTTGAAGAACTGTATCATGTTTAGGAACAGTTGAAAAGATAGAAGAAGGTGAGGCTGTTGCAGGAGCTAGCAGGGTTCCCTTAGATGTCACCTTTAACTCTTTCCTGGGAATATGCTGAATCCACATTGAGCCCTGCCCTGTATTTTATATCCCATCACCTTTATACCAATCGGTGATTTTCTTGTTAAATTATTATTACTTAAGGTCAGGCGTTTTCTCTGCAATGCCTAAGCCAGTAAGTTGGAAACTAACACTGGCAAGATCAGAATGTTATTTTTCCATTTACTTACTTTAAATGTTTGTTAAATAGTAATCATACTGATATCTCTGCATTCATTTATATTTTGAACATATTTATAGTATAGATAATATGACTCTTGACTCTGATCCTTGGGGTAAAGCCAAAGTAAAAAATAAGAATAGTTTAACATCTTTATCAGGATGTCTCTTTTTCTTCCTGTTATTTCTCTCTCTGTTTTCCTCCTCTTGGCCCCTGTGTCATAGAATCACACATTCTCATGTGTGTATACAAGTGCCTGCCTTGACTCTGACCAGAAGAACTTCCAAACAGCTTTGTTCCCCAAAATATCAAAGATCGAAATGGGAATGATCTGTTTTGGGCAGTTTTTGGATTGCATTTTTTTGCATAATTACCACTTACTAAATAATCATTTCATTATTAGTATTAATTAACCAACTCAAAATTAGTGCTTTCACTATACCCATTATAGGAAAAATACTGAGAACAGTTTAACAGCCTGTTGATAATATTGTAGCCATAGGAAGATTTACTTTAAAAATTTTCTGGTCCCCGTTTTTGTTTCTCCAGATGATTCTGCAAGATGAAACATGACCTTGAAGGCCAAGATCACAGACCCGGAAGTGGTGTTTGTGGCCAGCCTGAGCAGGGCGGACGCTCCTGCGCTGTCGGCCTCCTTCCAGTGTAAGCTCTGTGTGTCCGCATCTGGGCTGGAGCAGGTGACGGAGGCATCCATCAAAGACCTGAGAGTGCTCGCTTGTCCTTTCCTCAGAGAGAAGAGGGGGCAAACCATCACCACAGTAAGCACTGCCTTGGGCCCTCAACTGAAGAATGACAGAAATAGCTGAGTCCGAGAATCTCAGAGCCTGAGTGCTGTCCAGGATTTAAGTGATTATTTAGTACAACCTCTGGTTTGCTGGCAGAGAGGTCAAGTTCTGCCAATGTTACCTGGCGAGTTGTGGCTGCTAGGGAAACAACTAGGGGCTGCCTCCAGACTAGTCCTCTTTTCATGATCTTCTGTTGAATTTTAGTTCAGATCAGTGTTTTTCAGCTATTTCTTTTGTTCACTAAGTATATCGAATGAGAGAAAAATAAATATTTAAGCTCAGATTAAAAAAAAACTCAGGTGGAGTCACATGACAAAGAACTTCTGTGTTCCTGGGGACTAACTGGATAATCATCTGGAAACTGGTCATTTACCCTAACCCCTGCTCTAGTCATCAGCTCATTTTGTAGATACCTCATAATTATATTTTACAGAGTGCGTCACTGAAAAAATATGTTTGGAAAAAGAAACACTTTAAATTTCTGATAGTAAATGTGTGTCTTTACATCAGCATTTGGAATGAAGAACTTCATCAGAACTGATTGAAGTCCTTTAACAATATACATGGACTTGTCGTAATTCAGAAGAACCTTCACAAGAGTGTCTTAGCTAATGTAATTTTTAATAGTAGTTTATAGTTCAGAATCTCAGTGGAGTGAGACATGGTTTGTGTAAGTGCATGTTATGTAAACATTAATGAAAATGTGACTTTTCATTTACTTGTCTAGGTCTTGCAGCCATGCTCTTTATCTATGGAAAAATGTACCTGGGCCTCAGGAAAACAGAATATCAATATTATGGTTAAAGAATTTATAATTAAGGTTGGTGCCTGACAGATTCTTTGTGTGTAAATTCTTGAAATAGTGTCTTTGGTCTCAGCATTGCTGTAAGTCACATATTTGGTAATCAGATTGCCTCTGGGTTAAAATACATTTTAAGTGCTTATTCTGTTTTCTTTAAGAGACTACTTTTTTAATACCTATACATGGCAGGAGTAGTTTTCTCTGTTTTATTTGCATTTGTGTGTGGTGTATGTGTCAGAGGGGAGAGAAGAGATAGAGAAACGAAGAAAGGATGGAGACATTATTTTTAGGCTTTTATTAATGTATAGTTTGATTTGGCCTGATAAGTATGTGATTAGATACTTAGCTTATATTTGTGGTGACAGATGTATGCTGGAAATCACTGGGGTTTGCTTTTTAAAAGATCTTTTACATTTAAAATATTAAAGAACAATCTATTTTCCAGTGTCATTCAAAATTCTTTCAGTAAGACTTCATTCCCCATTGTAAATAGGGAGCACATGATACTTTCTCAAATCTAGTTTGCTCTCTTTTGAAAGATGCAAAGATGAGACAGTTAATTCTAGTGATGCATAAATGATACTAGCTTTACTTTTGTAGGTCAGAGACCAGTATGATTGGATTAATACTTAAACTAATATCATTTGAACCATTTTAAATAACAACGCAGGTTTTTTTCAGTTTAAAACAGTACTGGGTAAAACCAGGTGTGGTGGCACATGCCTGCAATCCCAGCACTCAAGAGCCTGAAGCAAGAAAAGTGCCATGAGTTTGAGACCAGCTTGGAGTACATAGTGAATTCAAATGCAGCTTGAACTAAGCAAGATCCTGTTTTGAAAAAAGCAAGCACGTGGGGCTGGGAATTTAGCTCCGTGGCATAAGAGCCTGCCTTGCAAGCAGGCAGTTGTGAGTTCAATCCCTGGTACCGATAAAAATGAGAAAGACAAAAAAAAAAAAAAAAAAAGCAAGCACGCAACAATCAAAAACACTAGAAAGGCTTAGATTGTGTTTTTCTCATGAATTTACTTTTTTTTTTATTGATGTAGCATAATAAAAATGCATTTGCTTGTGTTTGCTCTAAGACATTAGGGTAAGTGTTATGGAGACTTCTTTTCTTTGTATAAATCATTTTTGATCTCCTTCTATACTTAAAAACACACCCTGTGTATGACATTGGCAGTACATGGTCTCTGCTTTCAACAAACTTAATGACCAGGGGAAGAGCAGTAGATCGGTGATTGTAACTTCGAATGCTAGAGGCGTGCACAGAAGCTGCTGGCAGCATGAACAAGGGGGCTGCGGTTCAGACTAGGATATCAAGAAAAGTTGTCTGAAAGGGACACATCTTGGACTAAGGACTGCAAGTTGGTGTAAGTTAGATAGATGGAGAGGAAGGGGAAGGTTTTCCAGACTGAATTTGCTGTCTGCACAGAGGCAAAGGTTGGAGAATGTTTTTGAAGAACTTAGAAGGATCGTCCCCATGGCTGCATTCAGCGGTGTGTTTGAGTTATAGGACTGGGATGTTAGTTACAGATAACATTAATAAGACAAGGAGAAAGAAAGCAGTCGGTTGGCAGGCAAGTAGGTCAGGAATGTGGTGTACATCAGATCCTCTTTGTGATGAAGCAGTTGTATGTGTTTAGTGTGTTAGTGAAGAAAGGGTTGTGAGAAGTTAACAGTAAAGGAATCCTTTTAAATTATTTAACTGAGTATTTCTCAAACTTTATAGAACCCTTGCTAGCAGATAGGCTAGGAACTAGCTCACAAAGAGTGCTGTGCACCAAGCCAAAGAGGGTTTGAATTTCATTCTGAAAGTTACGGAGCTCAGTGAAGATTTTAAGCATAGGAGTGATATGCATGGAGTCAGGGTTAAAGAAACTCTGCTGGTGACAGTTTGAAGGATAGGAGGACAGAGTGCTGACTGGATACAAAAAATACCTTCAGCACTTGGCCACTAGCGGTAGCTCAGGTAGAGTGCTTGCCTTGCACGTGGCTTGACCTGGAGCTTGGTCCCCAGCATCACAAGACTAAATTAAGACATTGAAAAACAAGTAAGACAAAGATGTCCTCAGTGTCAGAACTAAAGCGCAGTGCAGGAATGAGAAAGTGAGCAGAGGCTCTACCCAGAGATATCAGAAGCAAAGTTCAGGGATCTTGGTTGAGCCAAGTGGGATCCATGAGTGATTTCAGCCTTCTCCTTTCTATAAGACAGAGGGAGATACTGCTATGCCTCTCTGTTCAGTTCAGGTGTCTTGACGTAGTGAACATAGCTGGTTGGAGTTCTGCGCTTTTGGTTGATGCCATGCTGTGAGTTCAGCTTGGTGGTTAGTTTTGACTCTTTTTTTTTTTTTTAATTTAAAGAAAAGGAAACGAAAAAAGAAAAAAAATACATGGAGATTAAAGAATAAAAGGGTAGAAAAATAATACTAAATTACAGACAAACAAAAGGTAAGAAATTGCCAGTTGATAAGTTACAAATTGTCTTCTTCGAAATGGCTGTTTAGGTTATAGAATTAAAGTATTTAGAATGACATTCAAAAAAGTGACCCTACAAACCATTCTGCTCTATGGCCGAACAAAAGCTCCATAATATGATTATCAGTCCCACCTATTTGTTTTACATCTCTAAGAGGATAAGGTTAACCATATCAAAACAGAACAGAACATTTAAAAAAAAATTAAAAACAATTTAAAGAAATACAGATTTCAAAGCAAGTCCACTGGAGGTCTACCTTATCTAACTGTCTCTAGCTTCTTACAGATAGTTGTCCCTAACTTCACCCACTTTCTATACTTATTGCATATTATATAACTAATCAAATCATTACAGGATGATGGAGTCTTTTTAGGTCCTCAAGTTCCAAATTAGGGAAGACATTTCCAACTACCATCGCATCTCTCATTCTCTTTGTGATAGCTGTCCCCATCTCTGCATATGCTGAAGTTGAGCTGAAGAAACCAGTCCAGAGTCATTTTAATCAGCAAGCAATAGATTGCTAGAATTTATATTATAATGCTACAAAATAAGCCTCGGGTTTTTCAGGTCTCTTCCTCAGAGTATTTGTTCCTATCCTCTCTGTATTATAGGGAAAACCAATTCATAACAAGACAGCGAAACAATTTCCTAGATAAACATGCAATGGATAAGACTTACAAAACTATAATATAAATGATCTTCTGTAGCTACTATGTTTTCTCTTGTTATTTTCAATAGATTTGTCGACAACACTGGCTTATTATAGTTAAATATACTATCACCTATTTTTATAAAAACTTATCTTTGACTGCATTATAGTATTTGAGAGCTGTTACTGATTCATACCAGTATGGATATCCTTTACATCCTGTCATGCTCAGAGTAGTTTCCTCTACTTTTAGGGTTGATTCTAACACGCATACGGATTTCAAATAGGATCAGTCAAGGCCAACCAATAGTCTTATGATTCAGATACAATTAAGATCAGTCATAGTAAGACAATGTAAGTAATACAGGATTTCAGCTTAAGTCAATAGGAAAGTAAGGATGGTTACCATGGTATAACCTGCTATTTTTGGTTCTAGAGGTCTGTGTCCTCAAATCTGATATGAGTGGACAGACCAGAACAAATTTAATTCAATCTAAATATGGCACTAGGACTACTGTGTCTTTTAAATCGTTATACACCATTAGCAATGACCTCTGCTTTTTTTTTTTTTAAATATAGTTTCAGAGCTGTCTCTACCAAAGACTAGCTTACCGTCTCTGCCTCATGTCTGCTACTCCACTTTTCTGCTATAATTTGTCCACCTTATTCCCTCATTCCATGGTCTGCCCCGTACACTGAGGCCTCTCTGCCACTGTAGCTGTAATCCTGATATTTCTTCCTCTCTTTCTCTGTAATGTCCTTCAGCGCTCTCTGTAGGGTTGGATTGGTGGCCACGAACTCCCACAGTTCCTCCTTGTCTTGAAAGTATCTTATTTCTTCATTAATTTTTAGAGAGAGTTTTGATGGATATATGAACTTAGGTTGCATATTTTTTTCCTTCAGGACTTGGAATATTTCTCCCCACTCCCTTCTTGACTTAAGAGTTTGTGTTGATAAGTCTGCCATTATTTTGATAAATTTCCCGTTATAGGTAACCTGCATCTTTTCTCTGGCTGCTTTTAATATTCTGTTTTTTTGGTGGATTTCTGGGATCTCGATTATTATATGCCTAGGCGTAGATCTGTTTTGGTTGTAGGTAGCTGGCGTTCTGTATGCTTCTTTTATCTGGATATCATTTCTTTTTGCTATACATGGGAAATTTTGCTTTAATATCTCTGTGAATATTTTTTGTATTTCATTTTTGGATGTTCCTGCTTCCTCACTCACATTCTTTATTCTTAGGTTATGCATCTTTTTATCATCTTCCAGTTTTAGAATTGCTTCTTTCTGGTTCCTTGTTATTTTTAAGAGGCTTTTTCTTTCACGTTCATAAGCCCTAAATCTCTCTTCAAGTTTCAGAAGGTTGTCTTTAGTTTCTGTCAAGGCATTTTGCCAATATTCAATGGAGTTTTTAATTTCCTGATTTTCTCTTTGGATCTGTTTCATGTATTCTAAGTTATGCTTAAATTCTTCAGATGCTTCTCTTTCTTTTCTGATTTCCTCAGTTCTTCCATCTGTGTTCTCTTGGGCAGGGCTTGTCATTTCTTTAATTAATCTCTTTATATCTTGCCTCACTTGGATCAGGAGTACATCTTTAAATTCCTCTATGAGATCATGTAAATACTTTTTAATTTCGGCTGATGCTGAGTCGAGCAATGGATGGTTACTGTGCTTGTTCTCTTCAGTGTTTAGTTCTCTTGGGTTTAATTTCTCCTGTTGAACAGCTGGAGATTTTTTTTAATTTTTATCTCTTGTCATGTTTCTGGTTTCTTTCAGACTGTCCTGGAGTTCTCTGGCCCTCTCCGAATTGCTTAGGGCCTTTCAGAAGCGTGCCGGCTTGAGTTTTTGCTGTCCTCCCCAATTTGCTGTTATCTGGGGTAGGCTGGGATGCAGGGGCGGTACAGTCTAGTCTCTAGCCTCTGTGTCAGTTAGTTCATAAATTAGGCTGTACTTTCTGGTTGTCACTGAGTTGTGACCATTCTGCATCCGCCCATTGGGCCCCAAGCAGAGGCCTGATCTAGCCCCAACAGCTCCTGCCAGTTCTCCCTGAATCAGAAGCAGCTGGGTAATGGCACAGGATTCTGCCCAGGTCCCAGCCGTTCTCTTCCAAACCTCTCTGTGATAGGAGCTCTAGAAAAGCAGATCTGCCCAAAACCAAGATGGCTCCCACTAAGTTCTCCGTGCGGAGCTGAAGCCAGCAAGCAATCAGACTCTGCCAGGACTCAAGATGTCTTCCACCAGCCCTCCCTACAGGGGGTCCTGGTGATGTCACCAAGCTGCGATTTCTGCCGCCAGGCTAATATGTCTGCACCAGATTCTGTGTTATTGATTTCCCCGTGGTGGCGGGCCAGCTGTTCTCTGGCCAAACCCAGCTGCCGCGGGGTTTTCTATACTCACCAGAGTCCGGTGCAAGTCCCCGCTCCGGGACCGCCACACACCAAGCCGTCCACTTTTCCCCACCTCGCGGCTCAGCGCTGACTGGTCAGATTTCTGTGCACCGTTTAGATTCGAAACGCCAGAGCTCTGTACATCTGCTCTCGTGCAGCGGTGCAGAACTGGCTGCCGCCTGGAGTCTCGATCTGGGTCTCAGTTTCCGCAGTCCCCAAAAGCAACTCAGCTTTTCGTGTTGGGTCCACGAGTCTGTTCATTGATTTAAGGGCGCGGGATTTGCAGCCTCCGGTCTCAGCACGACTTTAAATCCTCCAGCTGTACTGTCTTGGTTGATAAGAATCGCTATGGATTTGTCTGGTCCTCTCCATGCTGTCTTTTTTTTTTTTTTTTTTTTTAGCTTTGAGTTTGAATTCTCTGGAGAGATTCTTCGCTCGATCCCCTAGCACGCCGCCATTTTCTCTCTCTAGTTTTGACTCTTGCTGCGCAGCATTAATTGCTTCAGGTTCTGTGAGCAGGACATGGCGTTACACAGAGACACATGCCTTAATCCATATTTTCATTAGCTAGGAGCTGAATAACCAGGTAAATTTTAACTTGTTACTTTTTAAAGGCTTTAACATGTGTGTTTCAATTCTCATCTGGGAAAGAATTTTTTCAAGATTTTTTCTCTGCTTTGCTTCTGAAAGATTTCACCCATCATTCTGAATACTGTGATGACAATAATGGCTGCCATGTCTCCAAAGACGAAAGAGGATGAATCGAGAGACACATCTAAGGAAATGGAAAGTCTCTGGGATATCAAGTCTATTGATGATTATGATTCTTGGTTTCTTGGTGTTGACATGGCAACCGAAGCAACAGAAAGTTTCAGAGCGATGGATCATCCACTGATAGAGGAAAACTGTGCTGTTGCTGTGGAATCGGTCCAAGTCACTCTAGAATGTGGCCTTGGGCACCGAACTGTGCCTTTACTATTGGCAGAGTCCAAGTTTTCAGGAAATATTAAGAATTGGACTTCCCTGTTGGCTGCTACTGCTGATGTGACACTGCAGGTATGGAGACATGGTGGAGTACCCCAAGGGCAGCTGCCTAAAACACTATGGGGTTAAGACTCAGGTTCTGTTGTTGCCTGTTTGTTTTGTTCTCTTATAGTTTGTTTGTGCATGATTGAATTAGATGATATATATGAATAGATACATATGCTGACATTCAGTTTGTGGCTGTGTAACTGTATATGTGGTAACTGTTTTTAAGAAGTCTTGTGCTAAATGATTTATGACAAGAAATAAAGGGATAAAGGGAAATACATTCTTTTTAGGTACTTTTTTGTGTCTTTAGGCAAGTGGTTTTGAACGGCTATTACTGTATCGTATTACTTGTTTTCCTGCTTGTTCCAGAATTGCATAATTAAGGTTGAAAACTGACCTTTTATAATTCTGTGCCAGGTTCACTATTACAATGAGATTCATGCTGTGTGGGAGCCATTGATCGAGCGAATAGAGGGGAAGAAACAATGGAACTTAAAGCTTGATGTAAGGACACAGTAAAGCATCTCTGTATGGAGTGGCACTGCACGTGTTCATTGATGTTCTTTAATTTGGTTCTTGTCAAGATGTAGTCCAGAACCTGTGGAGCCCTTTTATTGTATGCGTAAGATAGAAAATGTTTTTATGTGTATATTCAGACATTATATATCATTTTAATTTTCATCCTCATGAATGTGTGATGGAGTTTTCGGGAAAGTACGTGAGTGTGATTCTGTAGGAGACTGCAAAGCAGAGATGAGACCACCTGTCTTTTAAGCAGGCACTGAAGAAGTTTATTAATGTCCTTTATCTCACTGTTTGTATTTTAAAAATACTTTTCACTAAAATGTTGTCTTGTATTAACTTAGTTTTGGATAAATATTAAAGTTTTTCTCAGTTTTCATTTCTAATAGAATATGTATTGGTAGATAAACGAAGCTTTCATAAATGAAGCTCTTTGAGATAATGATTTTTTTAAGGGTATAACTAAAAATCTTATGAATCACCACTAATTTATGAACTTTCCTTATTATCTCTTCCTGGTATTTTTCCAAGTGTGTCAGAATCCTGGGTTGCAGAGCCTGGTTTTCTCGAGTACCCAGTGTGTGAGCTGGCATTAGCAGATTGTCCCAGAGCACTTCTCTAGAGCGGCCTCACGGGGCTGTTACACGTGGACGCTGACAAAGAAGATTCTAACTTGTGTCCTGTGTGCTCCAAATGAAGTAGAACTAGTATTTCTGGCCTCCCTCTCTCTGGCATAAGGACAGTAACCAGAAATCGTGGCTTTTGCAACTCTGTTAGAACAAAACCATGAATATTGCAATAGCTGGAATCTGGGGGCTGGTTGAAAGCTTGATATTACTTATTTATAGATGTTACCAATAAAAAGCAGAAGACAAGAAAGTATTATTTCTAGATGATATTCTAATAAGGACAGATTCAGACTTCAGGATCACCTTTTATTACTGATCAACTCATAGTTACTAGCTGGGCAGTACCGGATGATTAGATGGGATCTTGGGTGGGAGGTATGCATGGAACAGGTTCTGTGGCTGACAGAGTTCAAAGCATTTCCCCAGAGTAGACTCTGTGCTGCGCTCACCTCACCTGAGCAGAGGAAACCTCTGAATAGCTTTGAAAATGATGCTTTGGAGGAGCCTTACTATAAAGTGCCAGCTTAGGAAAATTCAACACTATTGACTATCTTAGATTTGTTAGTAACCGGCTGTTTAAATTTTTATGTTATTTATCTTTGTAGGTAAAGAAGAACCCGATCCAGGATAAAAGTTTGATACCAGGAGATGATTTTATTCCTGAGCCCAAAATGGCAATTTATATTTCTTCAGCAGACACAATGAATATAACAATATCCAAAACGTGTCTCAATGTTTTCAGCAATTTAGCAAAAGTATGTGTGGCTCTTATTTGGAATATTTCAAGTAGAATTTAAGAGTGAAATGTACTGTATACATTCTTCTGTGATCAAAATTAGTTTCAGAAATGTGTATGCATGGGAAAGTGTTTGAAAGAAATGTACATTTTGTAACTATCTCATGATGGCATTACATTCCTTTTCAGGGTTTTTCGGAGGGCACTGCTTCTACTTTTGATTACTCTTTAAAAGACAGAGCTCCGTTTACGGTCAGAAATGCTGTAGGTGTTCCCATGAAGGTGCAGCTCAGTCGTAACCTGAGAGTGATGGGCTCCCCAGGGAAGAGCGATGTCTATGGTGTGGATGCCGGTCAGCATCTGGAACTGGAGTATGCCAGCACGGAACCTTCCTCTCAAGGGAAGCTGTCTGTGCTGAGCCGTCAGGAGAGTTCCTTCTTCACGCTGACTTTCGGTATGCTGCATTTTACTTCAGGAGCACCTTAAGAATCACTGTGGGCTTAGTTTTGATAAAATATAGAAAAATATTTTGCTGCATACTTATTTGGGAAAAAACACTTGTAAAAACTTGGATTAAATAGTTGATACTTGTTTCTTGTTTTGGGATGATAGCAGTCCCAAAATAGTGAGAATAATTAAGTACTGTTACAAGAAAGTTGTTGCTGGATAGTTGAGAGAATAAGAAATCTGTCACATTTTGTTTGTTTTCTTTTATTTAAACTGACTTGCTCAAATTATCTAGGGTCAAAAATGTTGTATCAGTAATAGTTTTTCTCTTTTTTAAAACCCTGTATTTTAGAAAAGTATTTCATGGTGATTATTTCCAATCACGAGAAGAATACTCTTGTCTTTGTTTTGGCAGGGTAACTATTCTGATGGAAACATATTAGTAAATAAATATTTAGAATTTTTTTCACTTGTCCTCTGCCTTAGTACCACATGGATACACAGAGGTTGCCAATGTCCCTGTTGCCCGACCTGGATGGCGGTTGTACAATGTGTGGAATCCCCATGCCAATTACTCAGACTCCGTCTTGGTACAGATTGATGCCACCGAAGGGAATAAAGTCATCACCCTCCGCTCTGCGCTGCAGGTGACTTTAAAGTGAAGTGTATACTGTTCAGTTCTCAGTTTAACTCATTTTGGAATATCGCAACACAGCATTACATCAGTAATGATGTCATTTCTATTCCCTAATTTGCTTTTGTAATGTTCTTTATTTTAAATGGTTAATAAAATTTTTAAATTTAAAGCCCATTTTTGTATCTCCTCTGTTTACCATTAATGAAATATTTTTGCGTATTTCTTTAAGAATTGATGAAAATTATAATTACAGTTGATTGTCACATAGGATAACATCATTCTCTTTGTATATCACTTGGGGTTATATTTTTTGAGCGTGTAACAAGGACTGTTAAAATGAGCTATTCTCCTGAAAAAAAATTTTGGCATCTTAGTCTGTATAAATATTTCCTTTTCAGGCCAGAGATTTAGCTCAGTAGCTCAAGTGCTTGCCTGGTAAGCACAAGGTTAAGAGTTTGATCCCTGGTACCAAAAAATAAAAAAATTTTTTTTCCTTTTCTACTGGTAAGCCTTTACCAAACATTTTTCTTTTTCTGTGTATTATTTTAGGTTTTAGTATATGATCAGCAACAGAATATTTCTCCCTAATACAGTGTAAGATAAAAAACGAAACAATACAATGTATATCATACTGTGGTCAAGAAAAGATAGTAATACTGGTTTTCTTATATTCTTTTGCTGTCCTTTTTTATTTAATCATGTGATTTGATCATTTGATTGATAAAAATTATAATGGAGAAAATGTAATTAGAATCTTTAAACAACAATACTATTTGGATGACAGTGATATAGATTAACAGTATTACAATATGTAGATTATGTGAATATCTGAATTTTAGGCTGATAGTTAATAGTCCTAATATGTATGTAGCCTTTAAATATCCTAAAGTTTCAATTGTTAAGGGAAGTATCTTCCAAAATTGTGTTTAAAACATTAGTTATGTAGTGTATGCAGCTAATGATTTTCCTTTTAACTTATGTTTTTAAAGCTAATTATATGTATTTTTGTCCAACAGATTAAAAACCACTTCTCTGTTCCATTTATTATCTATAAACTGGTTAAGAATGTTAAACTTCTGGAGCACATTGGAACAGTCAGCCCCGAAGAGGAGTTCCATGTCCCTTTAGATTCGTATAGGTGGGTACTTCTTTCAAAACATTAAATTTTTGAAAATTCACTGAATGGGGTTTTTACCTTTATGAATTAGAGATAGTGAAGAATATAACTTCATATAATTATTATCTAAAAACATGTAAAACCTATTTTAAAGACATGGTTTATTCTGTAGAAAAATAAATATTGAATTTATCAAATGGACGCAACATTTTTAATGGTTTAGACTTTTCTGATATCTGTATTTACTGGATAGCCTTTATATTTGGAATGAAAATATTTTTCAGTCACCTTTGTTCACATAGGTTTTTGTTTTTTCCCGCAGAGCGTTCCTCTGTGAGTTAGCCATGAGATTTTATGCACATTCTCCACCCTGCCTGAACCATGTTTCCTTACCTGTAAAATAGAGTGACCACTGTTGACTTGAGGTTTGAATGAGGCTGTTGCTCCTGGGTTCTCAGGAGCCTCTTTGCCCACATGGGCTTGCTTTTCTGCAGATCTCAGTTGTTTATCCAGCCGGCTGGGGACTTAGAGCATCAGTACAAGGAGTCGACCACCTACATCCCCTGAAAGGAGGAGCTGCACAGGAGCAGTTCCGTAACAGGCAGGCTGCAGTGTCCGGCGGTGCAGCGCAGCTTCCTGCCGCTAGTTGTGAACACGGTTGCCGAGCCTGACGAGTTGAGCCACATCAGCGCACACGGGGAGGATTGGAACCCGGTGTACATCATTCACCTCTACCCTTCTCTCACACTGCAGAATCTGCTCCCCTATTCCCTAAGATACTTACTGGAGGTGTGTCTCTTGTATTTGGTTTAGATTCCAGCATTGTACAAAGTGAATTCTAGTTTATTTCGTGGTATTTTTAGCTGAAGTCAGTGTTTTATATACCATACTTACAGTGTTTTAAAAGTGTTAATGAAAGCAAGACTGGAACTAGCATCTGCTTTGTGTTAGGCACTGTCCTGTGACTTCACATGTTTAATCCTTCTATGGTGGATATTAATGAACCTCTGTACTGCTGGGGAAACTGAGTCATGCAGGGGTTACATAGGCGGCCAAGTCTCACAGCTAGTCAGTGGAAGAGCTGGGATTTATGCCTGTGTGGTTTGGCTCCTTGTTCTTTACCACTTTCTCTGTTGCATCTGCCATAAATTTAAGAGCCATTATTATTACTTTATTAATTTAAGTAAAATTTTCATTATTTGCAAAGGAGAAAATCTAATGAGAATATTTCACCTTAAAGTTTTACTTATGTATTTATGAGTCAGTAGCTCACTTAGTAGTGCTGGCTGGCCTTGAATTCACTGTGGACTGAGACTCACAGTAATCTTCTTGCCTCAGCCTCCCAAAGTACTGGGTTACATAAAGTTTTTATTCTAAAGTTAATATTACAATTATTTAGTCCAAGGTTTCTACTAAAAATAACAGAATTACTGTCTTGGGAAATAATAAGCAGCATTTTGTAGCAGTGGTATATGGTAAATATTTTAAAGTTTGTACATACTATGTTATATTAAGATGCAGAAACTGGAATATCAGGTCTTGGAGTATAGGTCTGTAGTAAAGAGTTCGCTTTAGCATGTGAGAGACCTTGAGTTCAAGCCCGAGCATGGTGCAAAAAACAAAAAAAACTGGTTACCTATGTTGTTATTTTCTGTTACCTAGTCATGAACTATTTCTGAATTATGCAGTTAATTAAATCAACTGAATAGTGGATAAAGAGAAGAATAGTTTATAAATAAAAAGTATAAAATAATAAGGTGTTAGTAAGGGAGCCTGATTTAGGTATTGTTAGTATGTATTTTAAAAATAATTCACCTTGCTTACATAGCTTGCTAGAGCAGCGGACCGCTGTCACTTTCCTTATTCCCCCTGCAGGGGACTGTCAGGCCTGGTGTGTGACTAGCAGAGGAGCTGAAGACCAGGCGGTCAGGTGGCGTGTTCAGTAATGCCGTGCTAGCGGCCAGCCGCCAGGGTCCCTGAGTAAAGGAATCCAGCCTTGGATTCTTGTTGTGGATGCATTTTTTTTCCTTCTCAAAATTCCTGGCTGCTGGCCTATTAATGGCCAAAGACAGTTCCTGCCTTTGTAAATGTGGTCTGTGTTTTCTTTTTAGTCCTTGGTAATTGTGGCATGCACAGTATATAAACATGGTACTCTGTGGAAGACTTGGCAGGAAACCTGCTTCTTGCAGAGTCTAGCCGCTGTGTAGAATACAGGTTTTGTATTTCAAAGATGTTGCTAAACAGACTTGGTTTGTGCGTGTGTTTAGGGAACAGCAGATACTCATGAGCTGGCAGAAGGCAGTACAGCAGACGTCCTGCATTCCCGAATCAGTGGAGAAGTCATGGAATTAGTTCTGGTCAGATACCTGGGCAGAGACTGGACCGGTCATTTCCGCATATGTGACACGCTTCCCGAGTTCTTTCTCGTGTGTTTTACGTCTAACTCCAAAGAAGCAGTGACAGTTGACCTGTCGGTGCACGTCAGGCGAGTTGGCAACCGCATGGTGCTCTCTGTCTTTAGTCCCTACTGGTTAATCAACAAGACTTCTCGGGTCCTCCAGTACCGCGCAGAAGACACTCACGTGAAGCACCCAGCTGACTTCAGGGACATCATTTTATTCTCTTTCAAGAAGAAGAACATTTTTAGTAAAAACAAGGTGTGTTTTTGTTGATAAAGTGAGTTAAAATACATGGCTTTCTAACCTGGAAACTTGGAAATTTGAAACTCAACCAATGCAATTGATATGAACTGAGTCTAAGGAGACTTTAAGGAAGGCAGAATCGATTGGGGCCCTTGGGAACTAACAACATCAGGATCTCCAGGCAGAATAATTCTTTCTCTAGCGCCTGTAGGATTCCTTCTGTTCTTAAAGTCATGTCAGATAAGACAAGCTTTATTTTGTATAACTGGCCAGTATTGATACAGCATTTCTAAAGAGGCTGGTATTAGCTGACCCTTTTGCCCATGAAGCATGAGCCAGGCCTTTGAGAAGCCTGGCGCTCGAGCCTGGTCTTTTGTGTCCTGGTCCTTTCTTTCTTCTTCAGACTCACTTGGCTTTCCTCAATTGTGTGCACTCGACCCCATGCTGCCCATAGACTTCTGCATATGCTGTCCTCTGCCCAGATGACTACTCTGCTCTTTACTTGTTTCCTTCCTCTTTCCTCTCCCCTACTGTTTATGCTTGAGCATTCTGTTCAGGCCTGGTATGGATGAAGATTTTCTGTTCCTTTAAAATGAGAGATACTCCATTATTATTCTCTCTCTCTCTCTTTTCTTATTTAAAGAGAAAAAAAAGGAAATAAAATTTAAAAAACAGCAGGAAAAGGGTACAAATAATACAGAATTTCAAGGAAAAAAATACAGTAAGATATCACTAGTTAATAGGTTACATATTGTCATCTTTGAAATAGTTGTCCAAATTATAAAATTAAAGCATGTAAAGTGAACATTCATACAATGAGATTGCAGACAGTGCCGTTCAATCATCCAACAAAAGTTCACTAATACGGATTTCCGTTCTACACACTCAAACATACATGCAGTTATATCCCTTAGACCACCTTCCTGTCCTCTCTTTTTAATAACAATTATACTTTTTGGGTTTTTTTTTCTCCCACAATTCTTATTATTTTTTTGGAGAGAATAAAACCTAACGTGGCTAAACAAAACAGAGTCGGTTAGAACAAAAGGATGGGCATAGTACATGTTGTAAAAATAGTTTTACAAGATGTTGCCATTAAGAGAACCTGGGCAATGACACATGATCTCTTACACTAATTTTTTTCTTTTGAGATAGGGTCTTACTATGTAGTCCAGGCTGGCCTCCAACTCTTAGTGATCTTTCTGCCTCGAGGCCTCTTGAGTGCCAGGATTACAGATGTGTGCCATACGAGGCCCCAGCAGCAGTCATACAAAATTGTTTACTCTCAAGAATACAATCGAGCCAGTTTCAGGTTTTCTGTGCTCTGTATACACTGGCATTTTTTCAGTTCCCTACCCCAATCTGTATCTGCTAGCACAATGCTCTTCCCATGCGAACTGTGCTTCCCCTCCTTTTTTAACTCCTAGTTACCCTTCGGGTCTGAGTGAAACCTCACTTTCTCTAACGCCTAAGTCAAATATTCATCATGCCGCGTCCACATTTGTGCGAGTATCTGATCTGTGTGTTTTCCCTACACTAAGTAGGGGAGCGCCACCCAGAACGGACAGTTTCTGCCTCGCAGTTTAAGTGTTTCTGTTTCGTTTCGTGTTTTTGGGACAGGGTTTCCCTGTGCGTTCAGGCTGTCCTCGAACTCGCAGCGATCTTCCTGTCTCAGCCTCCCGACTGCTGGCATTACAGGCGTGCGCCACCACGCCCAGCCTCGCAGTATTTTAATCGGAAGGATCACAGGTTGAATCCACATCCATTCCTGCGCCCTGCTTCCCCCAGGCACGTCGCAGGCGGTCGCGCGTAGTAAGACGTCACTTCCTCCCGGAAGACGCTCCGGGAGACCCGCTCGAGATTCCTGTCACTTCTCAGAGCTTGCCCACCGGGAACATGGCCCTGCCGCCCTTCTTCTCCCCGGCCCGCCCCGGCCCGCCCTGCCCCGCTGCCCCCTCAGCCGCCGCCTCCTGCTCCTTTCGGCTGCCCGCCACCGCCACTACCCTCCCCGGCTTTCCTGCCGCCCCTTCCCCAGCGGCCCGGCCATTATCCGGGGACCTCCGCCCCCTTCCTTCAGCCTTCGCTGGGTCTGCAACCCCGGGTCCCCGCGGAAGGCTCCCGCCGCGGCGGTGGCGGTGGCAGTGGTGGCGGTTTCTACTCGGTGCCGCCCCCGCCGCTGCCTCCGCCGCCACCCCAGTACCGGCCCTTCCTGGGGACCGACGCCGGCGAGAGGCCGCGGCCGCCGCCTCCAGGCCCGGGGCCGCCCTGGAGCCCGCGCTGGGCAGAGGTGCTGCCGCCTGCTGATGAGCTCGGGGACGCGGCTGACTTGTTCCAAGCATACAGCTCAGAAATGGCTAACGTTGGCTTTGGTTCCACATCTGGGGCTTAAAACTCGTCACACGGTTGAGGATTATTTGTAAAACCCTCTTAGAGTTTTTCTTTGGGGTCCGACCACCCTCCGTCCAAGATGTCATGTGCTTCTCTTTTCCCTTGTCTCTGCCCCCCCCCCCGGATGGGCGGTGTCCTTGGAGGGTCTCCCATGGACCAGGTCCTGGTGTCAGAGGACTTGGGTTTGGGGAGGAAGGGTGGTGGGCAGTGCCACTCCTGAGTCTGCAGTGAGCCAGGCACTGGCCACTGGCCTGCCCTACAGGGATTTATGCTGTGGCCTGTGATGCTCTGAGCTCTGCAGCACAGCAGCCCCTCCTCGGTGAGAGTCCTCCTGCATCCACCTCCGCTGGCCCCAGAGCAGCACCCAGGGGCCCTCCAGTTGGCACGGGGGTCCAGTTGTGACTCAGTCGCAGCTTCCTGTCTAGTAGCCTGCCCTGCCCAACCTGTCTGTCTGTGTTGCAGAGGACACCTACAGCTCCGAGGAGACGGTGGACCACCAGCCCATCCACCTGAGGGTCATGGACACTGCAGACCCGGTAACCTCCCCACTGCCCCTTGGAGGGCAGGGAGTTTGGGTCCCTTTAAAAGTGCAACTTGCTGTGTGGTCTGAAATGAGACACTGACTTCCCTGAGCCCAAATCTTCCATCTGCCAAATGAGGAGGATGTAAGGGTGCTGGGGAGTTACCCGTGGCAGGTCTTGGGCCCTGTGCAGTCAGACAGGTGCATGCCTGTTAACACAGATGCTTCTGTGAGAGCCCCTTGGCCATCTGCCCCTCGTCCTCCCTCTTGGCTTCTCAGAAGCCAAGAGGGCAGCGTGAACTTGACCCCAAACCAGCAGTGCCCAGAGACAACAGGTCCCTGGAGGGGCTGTGCCATGTCCTTGGCATTGTGCCCAAGCAGCCAAGGTCTCCAAGTCTCTGGCTGGCTGGCTGGCTGGCTGGGGCAGGGCAGGGGGTGGGTCATGAGACAATGTCTCCTTTCACACCAAGCCAAGTCCGTGGTCAAGTGTGCCTTTGGAAAGGGCTCGGGTGGGGAACAATACAGAGACCGGGCCTGGACAAGTGGGGGTGACTGCTCAGGTGAAGGTTTTTATCCCATGGCCTGTGACCTGGAGGGCTTCTCCCCTCACTGCAGGACATCCCCAGAACTGCGAGCGCTACCTGAACTGGGCCCATGCCTTCCTGGTGGTGTACAGCGTAGACAGCCGCCAGAGCTTTGAGGGCAGCAGCAGCTACCTGGAGCTGCTCGCCTTGCACGCCAAGGAGACGCAGCGCTGCTACCCGGCCCTGCTGCTGGGCAACAAACTGGACATGGCCCAGTACAGGTGAGCGCAGTGGTGCCCATGGGTTAGGGAGCTGCCTGGAGGACGTTGCACCTAGGTAAAGGCATTGAGAGCAGAAAGGGCCTTGGGCTTCCCAGCAGCCAGAGACCAGCAGGGCAGGGCTGGACCCTGAATATCAGAACAGCAGCCACTCCTTCCATCCTCGTGGGTTTCTGGTTTCTCCTGGCCTCGCCCTTTCTTGCCCAAGCCACTGTGACCTCCGTCCCATCTCAGCAGCTGAACAGTTGATTCCATGCCCGTTCCATTCCAAGGCTAGGCTTCCAGAGGCCGTTGGGTCAGGGGGGTCACTCTGGTCCAGCCAGCTCTGTCTCCACCCCAGTGCAGCCCCCCAGGCTGTGCCGAGGGCAGCTCTTAGATGCTGGACCTGAGCCAGAGGTCAGGACCAGGCCACAAGGTGGATGACCACAGAGTCTGCAGCCGTGTGTTGCTTGGCCGGCATGGTGTTCGACAAGACAGGAACTGGAATGTTTTGGGGTAGGGCCCACTCCTCCCTGTGACCACAGCCTGGCTGACCACAGCCTCGCTGTTCCCCGAGGTTTCCCTCCAACTTCTCCTGGCCCCGAGGCAGCTGAGACTGTGATGCCACATTCGATGGATGAGTAATCCTCCTGGACTCTCCCTGGAAGCCATGTCCTGTCCCCCTGCCGTCCCTTTCAGGCCCCTTGCCCCTGCTTTCCCAGGCTCTGAAGCTCCAGTGACTGGTGTTAGCAGAAGAGGGGACCTTTGGTCTAGGACAGGCTGGGTGGGCAGTGGGAGAAGGGAGTCGTGGTTTCCCAAAGCAGGCCACAGTCAGGGCCCAGGAGAATGACATCTTGAAGCAAGGAAAGAGTGTGTGGCATTAAAGCGACTGCAGGGTCTGAGGAATCCCAGGGCCTGTGAGAGGGCGTTGGAATACCAGGCTTCAAATAGGCCTGTTTTCAGCAGGGAGACATAACCAACAGGTCCCTGTTCACTGCCAAAGGGGTGGTCTCAGAATGGTTTGGGAGCAACTGACCGAGAATATAAGGCTGGAGTGAGGCAGTGTCATTGGGTCCCCAGGGATGAGTCAGGACACTTCCCCCTCTCTCTTGGGTCTTGTCCCAGTCTTCCCGACTCAGGACTCGCACTGGATGTTTTAGCTGCCCTGAAGTCAGCGTCCTTCCCCACACCTGCCCCATGAGTGTCTTGCAAGCTACAAGGTGGGAATGGTGTTAGAGCAGCGATGCCCGCGCCCTGAGAAGCTCACCAGGCCACAGCAGAGCAGGATAAAGGACAGAGTTCAGGGTGAAGCTCGTGACAAAGGCAGAGTTCCCGCGCTCGGTGGCTTCCTCGGGCAGCAGCGGCAGGTGCAAACTGCCCGGGCACAGCCCTGGGGTGTGTCTCTGCGGCAGGGGGTTAGATGCTCTGCCCCTGCCTCTTGGATCCCGGTCACCTCCTCCCTCTGTTGCTCCCGTCACTGGGGAGCAGGGCCTGCACCCATCAAGGCCCACCCTGGGGTCTTCTGTCATCTCCTGGGCTGGGCCATTGTCCCTGGGAATGGTGGGTGGGGCAGCCCAGCAGCTTTGGCTTTGGCCTCCAGACTTCTTCCCTCTCAAGAGCCCATGTGCTCTTTCCCCTACTTCCATTCCATGGCATTCGGGCCAGAAGCTTCCAGAACCTTCCCAACCTCAGATGTTCCTTCCGATCATCATAAGAAGTGGGCCAGGACCAGGCAGGAAGAGATGTTGCCCCTTCTCTTTGTGTCCCCAGCTCATGTGAAATGTCATCACCCCTGCTCTCCCTGGCTGTCCCCTGGGCAGGAAGACAGCTGTCCCTTTGAGTCCCAAAAGCTCTGCCTGCTGCAGGCTTCCTGAGTCACCTGTGTGGTCCCTTCAGCTGCCTTTCACAGGCCAGGACCACCACAGGGGCTCATTCCTGCCTGAGGGGCCAGTGCTGTGATGGAGCAAGGAGGCTGGGATGGGGTACCTCAGTCACAAGCAGGTCTATCCGGGGTTCCGCCTCCTTCCTCAGTGTGTCAACTACAACATATTGAGCCCTGACCTGAAACAGGTACTGCGCTAAGCACTCAGTGCCACTCGTGTTTCTTAGTTCTGACAACTCCGAGAGGCTGATGTCACAATCCCATGATGCTGGTGTGAAAATGAGCTGGAGAAAGGTGAGGAGCTGCGGCCCCTCTGACTGGCCACCTTGCCTGCCCCTCCCTCCCATTTGGTCACAGCCCTGGCCAGCAGGTTCGGCTGCCTCTTCTTCGAGGTCTCCGCCTGCCTGGACTTCGAGCATGTGCAGCACGTGTTCCATGAGGCGGTGCGGGAAGCGCGGCGGGAGCTGGAGCGGAGCCCCCCGCCCCGGCCCCTCTTCATCGCTGAGGACAGGGCCCCCGTGCACCAGGTGCCGCTCACGGCCCGGCATGGGCTGGCCAGCTGCACTTTCAACACGCTGTCCACCGTCAGCCTGAAGGAGATGCTCGCCGTGGCTCAGGCCAAGCTGGTCACAGTGAAGTCATCGCGTGCCCAGAGCAAGCGCAAGGCGCCCACCCTCACCCTCCTAAAGGGCTTCAAGATCTTCTGAGGCCCATGCCCCTCCTCGGCAGCCCCGGCAGCAGGACAGCGGCTGGCTTGTGATGCCGGCCTTTCTCACCGATGGACTGCTGGCCCCGCCCACTGATGGACAGCTGAACCTGCCTCTGGCACCAAGCAGAGTCCCCACATTGAGCCTAAGGCACTGGGTGGGCTGCTGCTGCTTGGTCTCTATGGTGTCCTTTGCACCTAGGACCCTGGAGGGAAACGGCCATTGCCACAGCCCAGAGACCTGCCATAGCAGGAAGAAACTGTGTCCATTCTGCTGCCGTAACTCTAGCCAGGCTAGCTGTGTCCCATGGTAGATGGACAGTTCCCAGAGGCCCCAGGAGGGGCGGCCTAGGGGTCATGGCGCCACCTGGTGGGAGGCAGAGGCAGCGCAACTGCTTAGAAGTAGGAGCCTGACCCTGCTATCCTCTTCTGACCTCACAGGATACGCGGGTAGTGACCCCAGTTTATTCAAGGAAGATCTGCTTAAGATAATTCTGCGGGGCCGCTGCACAGGCAGGGGCTCCGGGTCGGGTATTCCCAGCGCTTCCCCTTTCAGGGAGGGGAGAAGAGAACCTCCAGTGGGCTTTCATCAGGATTCAGGGTCTTCTTCCCCACTTTGCTAAGGACTGTGTGCACACCCTCAGGACCAGGTCCTCAAGTCTAATGACCAAGGCTGCAGAACACAGTGTCCTCTCTGGTTTCAGGAGAGCCCACAGAAGGCAGGGTCGCATGCCACCTGGCAGCCACCAATGCCGGCTCAGACAGGAACGGTGTAAAGCTTGTAACAGGGTTTGGCCGGACATGTGACCTTCAGCAACAGATCTGAGCTTTCAAAGCCCAGTTTTTTTTTCTTCTAGCACTGGGGATTGAACCCCGGGCCTTCACACTGAGCTATATCCTCAGCTATTTTATTTTATTTTGGGAAACTAAGTTGTCTAGGCTGGGCTGAAAACCTGGGATGCTCCTGCCTCATCCTCCCAGAGAACTGAAATTACAGGTGTGTGCCACTGCGCCCAAGCCAAAGTCCACTTTGGTGAGACAGAACCTGAAGTATGTCGGGCTAATAGAGCAAAGTTTTGCATAGATTCTATGGTGTCTCCCTTAACAGCTTATGCCACAACATCATGGCTCAGATGGAGCCGCAGGTTCCTCCCTGCGGTTCCCACTGTTAGCCAGAGGAAGCTTCAGAGGCAGTTGTCTTCCAGCTCTGTTTACCATGAGCAGGTACAGGAGGAGCCTCTGGCTTCCTGAAGGGCTGGGAAGGGGATTCTGACTCCAGAATCCTGCTTCCTTCCATGTCAGTGCCCCATTCCAGGAACTTGGACTCAAAATCCCCCTAACCCAGCCTTCAACCCATTCTATGGAGGGAGAAGCTGAGGCCAGAGGGAGGCTGTGAACCATTCCAGGCCACCCGCGGAGGGTCCCTGCCAGGCTTCCCGAGCCCTAGGCTGCTAGGGGTTTTGCACTTTTCTTCAAGCCACTTGTGTGTTTGTGTATATGTGCGTGTGTATCACAGCCACTTGAACAGTCTGTGCACTTCCCACTGCCCACTACCAGAAGCATTTTTAATAAAAGATTTTTTTTAACTATCAGGAGCACTGTTTGACTGCAGTTCATTGTATCTGCTGATAAAAGCAGGCTGCTGGGGGAGGAAGCCCCGACGTCTGGCTGTGGGGAGCCCCGTCTCCGGCAGTGTGGTGTGGGCCGCGCCTGCTCTAGCTCTCGGTTTCTTGCTCCTTTAATTCAGTCCACAGCGGGACCAGGGCTGGCTTTTCTGTGAGCAGTATCTCTCCTAGGTTGTTCAGGCTGTTGTTGTTGCCACTGGTTCTGGCCTCCTTTAGATGAAGGAGCGCAGGTGTTTCTTTTTCTTGTGGCTGCAGCTTTTGGTTTCTGGGAGGATGGAGGAGGAAATGTGGTGTAAAACGCCCAAAGCAGCCATCAGGCCTGACGATGTAGGCCTGTCAATCCTGCACACTGGGAGGTTGAGGCAGGAGGATTACAAGTTCAAGGCCAGCCCCGGGCAGCTTAGCAAGACCTCATCTCAGAATAAGAACTAAAATAAAACTGATGTAGCTCACAGCAAAGACTGTAGGTTAAATGCTTAGTATTCTCTGTCTCATGTCCAGCTGGAAGGCCTGTGTTCCTTGTCCCGACCATACTGGGCCTGGCCTAGGGGCGGTCATCCTATGATGGACACCGACTCTGTCTCTGCACTCACAGCTCTGCTGCAGCCTCCCCTCACTGGCCACGTGTGTGGGTGCCCGCCCTCCAGCCATCCATCCTCTCGGTTGTTTTTACTCATGATGCTCTGGCTTTCCTGGAAGGTGCAGGGCTGCCTGAGGAGTGAGGCAAAGCTGCCCTCTGCTTTTCTTTTTTCATTCCCCGTAGTGGTGGTGGAACTCTGGCCCTTCCCACTGAGCTATGCCCAACCATTTTTATTTTTTGAGACATGTCTCTCTAAGTTGCTCAGACTGGGCTCAAATTTGTGGTCCTCTCGCCTCAGTCTCTCAGAATGCTGGGATTACAGGCAAAGGCCATCACTTGAGAGTCAGAGCCAGCTTTTTTTTTTTTTTTTTTTGTACTGGGAATCAAACTCACAACCCTGCGCTTGCCAGGCAGGCACTTGTGCCACTGAGCTAAATCCGCAGCCCAGAGGCAGCTTCTCAATGGCTGCACTCCTCCGGATCGTACCTGCAAGAGCTGGGAGGTGGTCGTCAGGGACAGCTGCTGTTTTTAAAAGAGCTTTGGGTTCTCAAAGGAGCTGGAAGGCTCCATTTGCTGTCCCAAAGGCCATTGCCCTCCCTAGATGTCCCTCCAGGCAGGTAGGGCCACTCCCCTCCAGAGACCCCCAGAACAGCCCCTCACCTGTTGGCCTGGACATTCCTGACCAGGAGGAACAAGCTGAAGGCGACCACCACGGCTGTCAGCGCAAGGATGGAGTAATTCCAAGCAGCCGCTGAAGAGGGACACACGGGGCAGGCTGTTGAGGACAGGACTGGCACCCCTCTAGCCCCCCAAGAATCAGCCAAGACTGGGTTCAGATCCAGCCCACGGCAGGGGCTGTACCCTGCCGTGCAGAGGAGCTCTGAGCTCTGGCTCTGGGGACTTTTGAGAAGGGAGATGCGGTCTGCTTTGGGGGAGGCAGCGTTGTAGCTGGATAACAGGGTGAGAGGGCGAGGGGCCGAGATGACTTTTGCAGTCTTCAGTTTGATCCTGTGCAGCGCAAGGAAGAGGAAGGAGGGAGGGCGGGGAAGCAGGGGTGACAGACGGGATCCAGGAGCTGTGAGCAGCTAAATTAAGAAAAAGAGGCTGATTGGACTGTAGGGTCCCCACGAGGCAGGCTGCAGCCTCTGGGCTTTGCAGTGGCTCCTCCCTTTGCTGGGAATGTTCTCCCCACATCTGCAAGACTGAGTCTTTATTAGAAGGTCCCCTTCTCAGTGGGCCCTCCCATGACTTCTCCTGCTGCACTCTGACTGGTTTCTTCTCTGTGTGATCTTACAGCATGTCATCTCTGCTCTGTGGATGTTCATCATTTACTTTATTTTCTGTCCCACCAGAACAGCACCCCTCAAGGAGATGATGTCTGTATTTTTCCCACTGTTGTAACCGTCAAGTGCTGGAACAACACACAGTAGGAGCTTGCTCAGTGCAGATGACTGGGTGACCCGGTGAGTGGCCACTGCCCAAACCAGGGGGTGGGGTGAGGTAGGGGGTACAGTACAGCTCAGGCCCGAGGTGTGGCAAATGTGCCATTTGACTGGGGTCTGGAGACCCCACCTGGGTTTCAGCCAAATCCTGCTTTGTGCTGAGTGCCCCCCCACCGGATGCCACCCCACCTCTGCCACCTGTCCCTCACCACTCACCATCTTCTACACGGAAAAACCAAATCATTTCCTCCAGCAGCCCCTGGGGTACTGTGGGGCCAGCTGGGGTTCCCGTGGCCTCCTCGCTTGCATCCATGGCCCTGGTCCTTAGCTGCTTCACTAGCTTCCTAGGTGCCGAGTCCTGAGCAGATGAGTCCTGAAGACCCTGGAAACAAAGCAGAGAGCATCACTGGACACTGCAGCCCAGTCTGATCTCCCCTCTGGGCCCAAAGCCAGCTTGCCAAGGTCTCCACACCAAAACATGCTGAACACAGGCGCAGGCAGGAACCTACAGGTGGCAGTGACTGAAATCCCTATGAAAACCCAGCATGGCACGTGTGAGAAGGGGTTTTGAGCTGGGAGTGAAGAGGATGGAGCCAGTGATGGGCCATGAGACTCTTAGAGAGGACATTCTACGACCCCAACCTCTTGGGGCTAGCCAATCGAGGTAGCCAATCGAGGGCTCTTACTCGAGCACGTGACAAGGCTGGGCCTATCACAGGCTCCGGTTTGGTGATTTGCACACCTGAGACCCAGACTGGAAAGAGAAGGAGGAGCCAAAGGAAGCAGTTGTGCCTGGGCCGGAGGTGCTGCACAGATGAGCAGAGTTGGTTTCTGTTGTTTGGAAGGGAAGGACCCTATCCCATGCTCTTTGGCTAAATTTCTTAATTTGAACCTGTTTGCATTGGTGCAAAATAAAGTAGGTTGCATTGTGTTGACCAGACCTCAGACAGTCTCAAAAAGGCCTCAAAATTTGTGCTACCTTTCTATTACTACTTAACTAAAAATTCCTCACATGGGCCAGGGATTTAGCTCAGTGGCTTAAGTGCCTGCCTGGCAGGTGCGAAGGTGTGAGGTTGCTAGTTCAATCCCTGGTACAAAAAAAAAAGATTACAAATTCCTCGTATCCATATATAAAGAAATGGTAGCTGGCTCATGCTTGTAATCCCAGCACTTGGGAGGCAGAGGCAGGAGGAGCACCACAAGTCCCTTGAAGAATAAAAGACAAAATAAAGATAGAGACAGAAATCAATGAGGTGCAGGGGGAAAGTAGAGAAGATGAACAAACCCAGAAGCTAGGGTTTGCTTTGGTTTTGCCACACTGGAGGTTGGACCCAAGGTCTTCTTCGCTCTGAGCCCTGGCCCCAGCTCTTTTTATTTTGAGACAGGATCTCAAAAAGTTGCTAAATTGTCAGTTGTCTCCATATCAATGACAGTTGCTGCAATCCCAATCAAAATGGATTTTTTTGAGACCCTTGATGCATGTATTCTAAGTATCAGCCTTGTTAGGTAAGACACTAGCTACACAAATGCAGTTTCGGAACACAGGACGTACTTTTGATACAAGACTCCTAGAGAGAAGGACCAGAGTTGAAATTCGAACCCTTGTACATGTGGGAACTTGATACACAATAAAGGCAGCTCTGATATTCGTAGGGATAGAAGGAATTATGTAATAGACAGGGGAGAGGAGACTGGCTCACAATAAATGGACCAACACGAGCATGGGCGAATCTCTAACAGTCTCCTTGAGGAAAATGTTAGAGGAAAATGTAAAGTTAAGAGAAGGGCGCAGAACGTCCTGAGCAAAACCATGCACGTTCAAGTCATTCGATGGGTAAGCATATGAAGGAACGCTCCGACTCGTTGATGACCTGAAGAATGAAAAGGGAAACCAGAAGGAACTGGCACTTGGCAGGCTCCACCAAATTATCTCTCCAAGAGCCCCATGTCTCACTGGATGTCTCAAGTAAAACTGTCTCTTTCCTTGTTGACATAGAGGCCACCTATGGTATTCTTCCTGAGTTTTCAGGGCAGTGTTTCTGCTCTGCAGGCTCTCTTATGGGAATTGACAGCCAGCTTACATGATCTCCCCAGACAGGACCTACTTCCTGCAGATTCCAAAACTTTTCCATTACACACAACTTCTCAGTATCCCAAACTATCCTATACCTCTTTTTGATAATCTGCTCCAAAAACTCAGTTTCTCTTATACTCTCTGCCCATGGGGGTCAGACTCCCAAGCCAACTGTCATGTGCTGCTGACTCAGCCTCTCCCCTTCCCTCCTCCACTGTCAACCCTACAGTCTGAGACATCTCCAATCCTATTCATGCCAACACATTACTTGTAATTCACCTCAAACACCCCTCACTTTCCCCATATCCAATAGCCCCTAAACATCAACAGGGGCTCAAACCTATAATGTGCTGCTTATTATCTAATGGGTCTCCAAAAGTCACTCACTCACCCTTCAACTCCACTATTGTCCCTATCCTCACATCCAGTGGCTTCTATCACCAGTCCAAGATCCTGGAGATACTAAAAATGCAATTGATAGTGTCAGTTCATCTGGTGGTGCCAAATGCTTATGCTATACTCTCATTTTTCTTTGTGTACCTTTCACTTTTCTGTATTATACCTTAATGATACATTTTTAACTATTTCCTGACACCTCAATTGCCAAGATTTCTTTGCCTTTCCATGGACAAATCCAGACACTGCAATCTACACAACTTATTTAGAGTCCTACCTCAAGGCTTCACGGACACTCCACACTTCAGCTGAGCCCCTGCTGCTGATCTTGTGGCTCTCAACCTTTTTTTTTGTGGCTCTCAATCTTAAACCTGACTTTCTTCTCCAATATACAGATGAGCTTCTCCTCTATCCTCTAACTACATAACATCCAGCTACCTTTCTCAACTATCTCTCAAGTCTCAAACATAGGGTGTTCCCTACTAAAGCCCAAATAGCTTCACCAAAGATTAAATACCTGGGTCTCACTCTCATCCCCACCTATAACCTCAGACCACAGAGCCCATCTCCATGATCTCCAGGTGCTAACTTCAAAACAAGTTTTATCTTTTCTAGATTTAAAAACTTCTTTTATCTCTGGATTCCTTACTTTGCTACACTAGCCCAACCTCTTTATAAAGCATCCACAGGTTCTTTATCAGAAGCCTCACATCCACTACTCCTATTTCTCATTTTCTAAATTAAAAGAGGCTGTTTCAAAGGCCCCAGCTCTCATTCTCCTTAGGCCAACCCAAGATTTCTACCACTGAAGATCATAATGCTGTAGGAGTTTTAGTACACACGCACACACACACACACACACACACACACACACACACCCTTCTTTCCAAGCAGTAGCCTATCTCTCAAAACAGACAACATGATACAAAGCTGACCTCCCTGCCTTTGTCCACTTGCTTCAGCAGCCTCACTAAGACAAGGGGCCAAACAGTTCACTTTAAAACAGTCAGTTATTGTCCACCTACCCCATTGCTCCAGTGACCTTATTTTACACAAGATACTTCCTGCCTTAATGACATCTCACCTACAAGTTGACTTAATTCTTATACAGGATCCTACAATCACCATCTCTGTTAATATCTCCCTGAACCAAGCCACCTTACTTCCCACCTCTGATGAGACCCCTTACACAATTATAGTGAGGTCCTGCAGATGACTCCTACTCCCTTCCCTCACATTAACAGTATTCATCTCCCTACAGCTTCTGATACACAGTTCATAGATGACAATACAGCCAACACAAACCCTCAAAAGAGGACAAAATATTCTATAATCAAAGGCTTCAAGTCATAGAGGCAAGCTCACTGCCACTCAAAACATCTTCCCAGAAAAGAAAACTAATTGCCCTCACATGGGACCTCACACTAATGACAAAATCATAAATATCTATACTGACTCCAAATATACATTCAACATACTTTACTCTCATACTATGTAACAAATATGAGATCTAAGTAATCACAAGGGACCCCTAATCACTAATACACCTCTCATTCTTAATTTGTTAGAGACAACACAACTTCCAAAACAAGTAACAATCATTCACTATAAGGGACACCAAACATCATCAGGTCTATCTGTCAGGATAGTACCTGTGTGAACACACAGGCTAAATTAACTACACAACAACCATATGTCTCTCATCTTTCCCCCCTTATCCCAAACACATTGACTTCACTTCAATATTCATCTACACAGTGACAGTTAATTCACAAACCCACAAGTTCTTCCTCCCAGATCAATGTTTTAGACCTCATCACTAACATACATAACTGCTTTCATCTAGACAGTCAAGCCCTATATAAACTACTAAGTCTACTCACTACTCATTCCTCTCTAAAAATATTCATCAGGTCACTCACAGCTGTTTTGTGCCAAAACCTCTCCTCAGAGACATTTATCTGCTTCTTTCCCAACCATCAACTTTGTGAACACACTCCAAATAAAGATTTTACACATGTGCCTCATCATTAGACCTACACACCTCCACCTCACCCGTTCATAGCCCAGTGTTCTGTTACTCTCTTTACTCCCTTGGCATTTTTTACTGCTGGTCCTCATACTGCTGCTGTCATACTTCAGTCTCTCCCTACAACACCAACACTTTTATTGTTCACTAAAATTTTAGATTCAAACACCTTACACTGCCTAAAACAAAGCCTTCAGTCTTACTTCCTCTTCCACTACTCCTATTCATTCTCCTTCTAGGACACACGGCCTTACTGACAGTCTACTGCACAGTTTTCAACCTCACTATTCCTTTCTCCCACATAAATCCCAGCCTAAAATCTCAAGTTCAAATAAAAATTCTCCAATATTACAACACACAACAAATAACCCCAGCTCAAACCCAGCATCTCCCTACCTTTTCCATAATGCCCACATCTTCACCCCAACATCTCCAAATCTGAAAACAAAACCTGTATGATGATTAACTACCTGGCCATCCCCAGGCTATCACAAACCCATTTGCCAGCATACTAGGAAGACCTGGTGAGCATGCGCAGAACCTACAGAGACATGCACTTGCAGAGAATGTTAGGTTCCTTGCTCGGGAGCCGTGCACGTGCAGAAGCGGTTAGGCTTCTCGCTCGGGAGCCGTGCACGTGCAAAAGCGGTTAGGCTTCTCGCTCGTGAGCCGTGCACGTGCAGAAGCGGTTAGGCTTCTCGCTCGGGAGCCGTGCACGTGCAGAAGCGGTTAGGCTTCTCGCTCGTGAGCCGTGCACGTGCAGAAGCGGTTAGGCTTCTCGCTCGTGAGCCGTGCACGTGCAGAAGCGGTTAGGCTTCTCGCTCGGGAGCCGTGCACGTGCAGAAGCGGTTAGGCTTCTCGCTCGTGAGCCGTGCACGTGCAGAAGCGGTTAGGCTTCTTACTCAGAAGCCGAGCGGGTGAGGTGGTTGCGATTCTTGCTCAGGACTTGTGGAAATGCGCATGTACAGGGCCATTAGAGCCTAGACATTGGATAAAAGAGGTTGCTTGGCGTTCACTGAAAGTCAGTGAGAGGTCAAAGGGGCCTGAGATTCTGCCATGAAGAGGGTCTACAGGTTGCCCGGTGAGGACCAGAAACGATGCAACGAAACGAGCAACAGAGACGATGGGAGGAGTCACGGGGATGCCATGCCAGGCATCTTTGACAGCTCAGTGCCCGAGCTCCACAAGGCTGCCCGCAAGGGCGACAAGGCCAAGGTGGAGCGTCTCCTCCAGAAACCGGACACAGTTTACAGAGACAGCAAGCAAAGGTAATGGGGCTGCAGGCCCAGGGGCTGTGAGTGGGGCCAGGATGATGCGGGAGAGGAAGAAGTGGGTGAAGCGGGGGCAGGGAGATTCCCACCACCCTGGGAGGCAAAGCTGGCCAGAGAGTCGATCCTCAGGTGGTGTCCATAAGCTGCAAAATAAAAACCAAACATTCACTGGTTTTTAGTGGACTTATACTTCCTGTGTAGACTACATTATTCACTGCAGAAAAGCTATTTAAACATGGTAACACGTGTATAGAGTTTTATTCTTAGTATCACGTTAAGAGATGTACTGTTGTACATATTATTTAAAAAGGGAACTATGACATGTTTCCTGTAATCTACAAACTTAGGGTGGAAACTTAACCTGATGAAAATCTAGTGTCCACTTACTATCAGTGTACACCTGTGCATGTATGTTCTTTACTAAGGAACCTTATAAGAAAACTGAGATGGGAAGGTGGCTGCATGTTCTTGACTAGAAAGTTCTGTTAGTCTCAAAATGTGAGCTTTCTGTGTATCAGCTTTATAGAAGCTAAATAAAAAAATCGCATAAGACTTGAGTGTCCGTAGCCTCTTTCGCTATGGGGTCACTAAGAAAATGTAGTGAAAGCCCACCTTCGTAGGTATCACAGTAAGTCATTTTCACAAATTAATTGTTTTCCAACAGCTCAAAAGATAAATAAATGAATGTAACTTAGTAGAAAACCTGGAAACATTCAAATATCTGTCAGATTTTAGAAGTTGAAAAATTGGAATGACTCATGAATGAAATGCCTGTAAAGTGTTTCCAAAAAACCTGGATTTTTATGTCACAAAAGTTTCTAGTGGTGTATTGATTAAAAATTTTATATCATACAAAATGAGAACAGTAGCAAAGGAAAACACATAGCCTATTTGAGCCTTCCTAAGAATGACACCAACAATGAACATTCATTTTTTTTGTGTTGGGGGTTGCTCCTAGAACATGGTGCGTGCGAAACACACTACCACTCAGCCATCCCCTTCCCCACCTGCATTCTGAAGGTTGACTACCAAAAGAAAAATTAAATTCTCATTTATATTGGAAAATCATTAACAAAATGAAAAACATACTTGTGAGACATTTATTACAAGGGCCTGGGATATTAACTCAGTGGCACAGTGCCCGCATGAAAATGTGAGGTCAGGAGTTAGATTTGCAGTGCCAAAAATAAATAAATAAATAAATAAATAAATAAAATAAAATAAAATAAAGGAGAGATAAATAGATACATCATAAAATACATCATACATCATATAAAACAAAATCATACATACATACAGCAGATAAAAAATGTATCTTAAACTTACAGGGTAATTTTTAAAAAATCATCAAAGAAAAATATTGAATACTAATTTACTTCCATGCTAGATAGCACACACTGTGAGCCTCATATCCTGGGCTGTACTGCTGAGCTATATTTAACTCTAAATTATGTGGTTGGTTTGACAAATGACCTGTAAACATAAAAAGAAATGTTTAATGTCCCTGATAAGGGGAATTTAATTTTACAAAGGAATCAAATGTTTTCCAGTTACAGAGTGTGAGAATGAAGAAAAGTTTATTCTGCTGCTTAAAACTGGAGATGGCTTATGACTTTTTCAAATAGGAAATTTGATATAAGTACTATACCACAGTTTAGGAAAGCATGTCTCCACCAATCAGCTCTCTTCTAGAATATCTTTAGGACATACAGAGATGCATTTAATGTGCATTTCTTCAGTATTGCTTAAAATAGTGATGGATTCACAGAAGAGATTGTATCAGTTGCAGTGCATTCATAGGATGGAGTGATATATAATCACTGAAATTGGCATCACATCAATATATTCTTAACAGGGAAAGATGCACTTTCATATATCCACTGAGCAAAGAGTCAGTTTAATTTTGCATACACACAGATAGGCTGCAGTCTTGTTTTAGACAGAAAATGTATACAAATTGTGGCAAAATTTGTTATTTTCAGGCATTTGACATTTTCTGTTCTTTTTTATTATCGAGAAGTTCATTCTAGTTGTAATATTTAGGAGTTTATTAAATTTTTTCATTCTAACAGTTTCATTGGCCCAGAAACAATGCTGAGTATTCTATATTTTGACATTTTTGTGCTTTGCATTTTGCATGTTATGATTAGTATTGGCAAAGGTACTGTGTGCTCTTCTTTCCTTTCTCTTATCCTTGATTTCTATAATAGATATGAAACTCTAGTGAAAGTTGACTATTAATAAAATAATCCTTGAGAAAAACAGAAATATTAGTTAAGCACAGATAATTTTCATTTTTATGTGTGTGTATTGGTATTTCTGATAACTTTTTACTTCTTCCGAAATAAAGAAATTATCTGTATGTATAGATTTTACTATAAATCATGTGATGATGCCTTACGAAGAAACCTTTTTAAAAGCCACTACTGTGGGATTTTCACATGGAGAGGCAGGGCACTCCAGCTGCCCGAGGAGGCAGCTTCATTGGTGCTGACACTAACTCAGCAGATTCATGATTAACATGGTATAGTTGCCCCCTTTTATACAATTTTTGTCTTTTCATCTCCCTTATATGGGCACATGCAAGGATTTTCCAGTCTGGTCGGTATACCTTAACATTCTATAGGCTGGTTTATGTTATAGTGTTATATCAGTAGCATACACAGAGGCTGATGTTAAAAAAAGCCCCCCATACTCCAAAGGTCAGGAGGGGCCCTCCCACACCACCGGTTATAGTTACACAAGACCTGTTGTCTCCTGAGCTGTGTGTGGCTTTCCAATGACAGAGGTGTTAAAATATGAGAAAAAGTGTCTGGAGGCTTATTGAAATAATTCTAACCCCACAAGGTAGGTCCATTTGAATTATTTTATTTTACTTAATTGAAATATTGCCTTTGTTAAGTAGTAATAGGAGACATTATAGTATCAGACAATTACTGAGCTGTTACTTGTTTGAGAAGTTATTCAAAAAATTTTGTGTGGATTCTTACTTAACCATCACAGTGGTGTCTTGTGAGAGAACTGCTTTCAGTCCTCATTTTGTAGGTGACAATCCCGAGGCACAGAAAGGCTAAAGGATGGCTAGAAAGTAAGAACTTAGAGTAGGAATTAAATTCCAATTGAGCTAAATCCAAGGCCTGCTCTTTCTATTCCAGTGGGTTGCGCTAGGCTGGGAGGTAGCGCAGCGCAGGGATCTTGTTTAGTATGTGCAAGACAGCAGCTTCCATCCCCCGCACCACACACAAACGCAGCATCACCCACTTGCTCTTCCATTCACAGGTGAGTAATAAGAGATGCTAAGCATTCTATGTTTTCAAAGATAATTACTTATTGTGAAAGGTATTTAATGTTCACAATTCCATGAATAATTATGAATTTTGAAATGGAGTGCTGTAATTTCCTAATAATCTTTCTGACTGTCCCAGGACTGCTCTGCATTATGCCAGTGCCTATGGCCATCCAGAAGTGGTGAGACTCCTGATACAGAAAAAGTTTGACCTTAATGCCTTGGACAGTGACCATGACACCGCTCTGATTAAGGTAAATAGCAGCCAACAATTTCAGCATGGGAGGGATTGTATTTAAATGCTGAAAATCAAAGTCAGTTGATGTAATTTGAATATAACTCCTTGGCCAGGCATGTGGAAAGTGTGTTTGGAGTTTCTTGAGTTGATGGTGTCTCCTCTGTTACAATACCCACAGGCTGTAAAATGCTACGAGGAAGACTGTGTTAGTATTCTCCTGGAGCATGGTGCAAATCCAAATATTACCAATGCCAAGGGCAACACTGCTCTGCATTATGCAGTTTACAGTTCAAAGTCTTCACTAGCAGCAAAACTGCTTTCGCATGGTGCCGATGCTGAGGCAAAAAACAAGGTATAGAGCACTGAATTTTCTTTCCAAAGTTTCTGAAATACTTTCCTGTTCACAGTGACATATTGGTTGGTCAGTTCTCCATATTTAGAAGGTCAAGTGTTTCATGGATGGAAATACACTGTTTTAAATAACTTAATAGTTAATGTTTTCACTTTCAATGTTGATAGTTTTAATGAAATGCTAGAGGATGTGAGTTTCTATTATGCACTTACAGCAAGCATTTGTGAAGACACTGAAATTTAAAAAGTAAATCATTTTTCTGTTATTTTTTCCAAATGGTTATATTTTCTTTCTTTCTTTTTTTTTTTTTGCACTAGTGTAAAACAACACAGGACAGCAAAATTAGCCTCAGAAATAGGTATTATTTTAAAACTTAAACAGAACAACAGTATTTTACAATAAGTGGTAATTTTGTTGCTGTTGACAGCTCATAAAAATGATCCATTTTTGATTTGACTTAAATGGGAAAAATGAGAAGGAAAAATAATTAGAAATAATGCAGGCCCATAGAGTTTGCTTTGTTGGTTGGCTGTTTTTGAAAAAATATTTTTTCTGGTTCATGTGCATAGATAAGATCAATTTTTAGGAAAAATACTTTTTTTTCTATTCAGTACCGGAAATTGAACACAGAATATTCATACTGAGCTGCATCTCCTGCTCTTCTGTGTTATGTTTTACTTTGAGGTAGAGTTTCAAATTAGTTGCCTAATTTGAATTTAAACTTGCAATCTGCCTACCTCAGCATTCCATAGTGCAGATAATCTGGTTGTACTCAGTTTGGGAATAAAAATTCTTTATTTTTTTCTTTTCTTTTTTTCAATACTAGGAATCAAACTCTGGACCTTGCACTTACCAGGCAAGCATGGTGCTGCTGAGCTATATTCCTGTCCTCTTAAAATTTTTTAAATAGTAAAGAGAATGATATAAACCTGAAATTTTAGGAGAACTGGATCAATCCAGTTTTTCACTGGAGGCATGGTGATTAAGTGGGAAACAAGGGAAATGAATGAATAATAAAGAGAAGTCCTCTCCTTTTCAGTCAGAAATAGCAACTAGGATAAGAATCTAAATTCTACTTTCAAACATGATGTCTTTCTGGGAGCTGGGAGTTAAGGAGCTTGTATGATGAGATCAGTTGTATTTTGAATGTACTAGTCCCTGTTCTGCCCTGAGCCAAGAGGATTAAACGGAGCTTCCATGGAGTACCTGTCTCTCACCTTCCCTCCTTTTGTCTAAATTCTCAACTAGTAAAAAGTAGTGGCTGTGTAGATGAGAGATGAGACTGATGTCATCTTCTAGGTTCTCTAGTCCTCATCTAGACTTGTGCATTTCTGTGGTCAGGAGAAAGGTTTGAAACAGTTGAGGCTCTGCCCTGGAGATTTGGGTTCAGTAAATGTCTTAAGCCCTGACATGGATATTTCAAAATATTTCCTCAAGATTCTGACATAGCTCAGAAGCATTTAATGGACAGGCATGTTTAATGGGTGAATTCCTAATTCTCAGAAACTGAAGAAATCTCTAGATGAGTTGGATTAAATACCACTTCCTTCTAATCTCTCCTTTCCAACAAAATCAGGCCAAGTTCCTTTTGTCTTTCTCTACCTCTGTCCATGGGAAGTGAAAAGGAGGATCATCAGTGAAACCTCTTATTTTGCGGAATCCCACCACTTTCCCTCCCATCTGCAGTCAGTCACTGCCACTGTGAAGCTCTGTAGAAATTCTCTGATGGTTGAGATTGAATCTTGAAGAATGTCACATCTCTTTATCATCATTAGTGCCTCTCTTTATTATCATTAATGGCCCAGTGTTGACAAATGGTGATTTGCAGGAGTTTGAACAATAGCCATCTTGAGCCTGTATTTAGTTGAAGGCATGTGATAGACTATTTCAATGTATTAAGTGACCCCCCTGATGAAAATCCATGAAATTGTAAGAACATAGGTGGGAATGTTTTATACATTTTTATTGCTTATTTTTATTTTGTGTGTGTGTGTGTGTGTGTGTGTGTGTGTGTGTGTGTGTTACTAATGATTGATCCTAGGACTTTTCCATTGAGCTGCATCCCCAGCACTCATCACTCATCACTTTCAAAAATTTGAGACAGTGTCTCACTAAGTTGCAGAGACAGAAATCAAATCTGAACTTGGATCCCTCTTCTTAGCCTCACAGAATGATAAGATTACAGATGTTCCTGTCCCCTGTCCCGCTGGGAATAGTTTTGATAATTTCCTTTCGGTACTCCTTTTTACCTGCTTAACAGTCAGGGAGAACTGCATACACATGGAGGAAAAGTATGCGTGCTGGAAAAATTATTGAAATAGGTATAATCTTTTTTATTTCATAGCAGGACCTCTCTTTTTGGTAAAACATGATGTTAAGGGAAGAATTTTACATTGTACACAACCATTTGGAAGCACATGCACAGCAAAGATATAAGCAGAACACTATGGACTAAATGTGCCTCTTAGCTCTATGCAATTTGCTTCCATCAACTGAATTCACAATGAAATTTCAGAAAACGTCTCCATAATTTGAAGTTGGAGATGCTCACAAAGAACAGGCTGTGCTGTCTTCAGAGCCCCTGTGACTGTGAGGGTGTGCCCCCTGTACAGGAAGCTCCTATGGCTTATCCAGTTTGCTATTGGCTCAATTCTGTACTTCTTCCTGCCCACTACTGTGCTTCTGTGAGAGTTTCCAGTTCTTAAATGATGGTATATTTAATGTAGTCAGGAATTTCAGAATATCTTATATTCATTTATAAGAATGTAATCTAGATTTTAGAATGAATATTTTAAAATGGAATGAAGTTTAGAGATTCTTTAAAAAAGGTTTCCCATATACTATAAGTAACCATGTTCCTATTAGAATGCCTGAAGGTATTATTAATTATAATCACAACTGGATAGTTTGTGCATGTTACCAAGAATTTTGTATCTTCTTTTTCAGCCTTATCCCTTAAAAATATAAGCGACTTAGTGAGTTTCATTATGATACAATTTTCATATTGAGAAAATTCATATTGAGAAAATTCTGAGAAAATTTTCATATTATGCAGTGTTAGAATTTGTTCATTATGAGAAAATCCATCTTGAGCAGTATTAGAATTTATTTATTATGGGAAAATGCAAATTAAGCAGTATTAGAATCTTTATTGATGAACTATATTTTACCTCTGATTTCTATAACATTAGTAATTAAAATGGAAACAGAATATAACTTATTAAAAACAATAGCTATGCTGCGTGGGGATCTTAGCATTATCAGCATAAATGACAATTGAAATTTTGTACTGATCTTTTCCACTTTCATCTAGTAATAGGACAGAACCCCATGGATTGTGTAGTAATAAGGGATCCATGTTCACTTGGATCATGTCCTCAGGGACTCCTTGAAAGCTGGAATGGTTAAGAATTGTATTTGGATCCTTACACTAGGGGGAGAATCCAACAAGTTTCTTGCCTAACTCAGAAAAAATTTCCATAGTACTAGAAAGCTCTCAGCTCTGTATCCCTGAAACTGTTAATTCCTCATGTTGATATTTGTCAGAAGAAAAGTAATGTTAAATAGGAGTAAAGCAAAGGTAAAGAGATTTTAATACTGAGGAAATAATGCAGTTTTATAATTTCTCAAACATGATTATCAAATCTGTTGAGACATAGAAGTCATGGAAAATTATTCTTTGGAAGATAGGCTGAGAATTCCTGCCCTAGGGATGATGATTTAACTCATTAATTTAATCCAAATCCTTCAATAATTTTTGACTGTGCATTATGGTTGGAGCTACTGAGAAAAAAGATACAGCCCCTGCCCTGAAGGTGCATTTGATCGAAGCGGGAGGTGTTACATAACTCTGAGTACCATGATAAAGGCTGTGATGGAAAGACCCTTGGGACCAGTGACTGGAGCGAGTTGTGACCCTGGGGTTTCTGTAGCCACTGTGGGCAGAGAGCATGCACTGCAGAGGGTATGGCAGGGCAGCACGTGTGGAAGCACTGGGAGTGAGAAGGAAGAGACTGCTGTGTGTTGTTATCTATATCAGGTTAACAGTCAGGGTCCTTCACAAGCTGTTCAGTTCAGCTGAGAAGCAGGCAGTTGTGTGGGTTTTAAATTGTTTCCTCTTAAATAAAAACAAACAAACAAACAAACAAAAAAAATTGTTTCTGCTTCTCCACAGGAAGGCCTCACACCACTTAGGCTTGCTCTAATGGCAAACAGAATGGAAACGGCAACATTGTTAAAAAAGACAGGAACAAAGAATGTGGTGAATGAGCCGGAAAGGTATGGTTCTTCTTTTTTTAAACAAGAGTTCAGCAGTGTTGTGGAGTGGTAATAAGTCAAATAAGTCAGTAGCTGAAAGACTACCTTAGTGATTGGTGTATAATGAAAAAGATCAACACAAACCATCAGATAGAAAAATTATTTGGATTGGGCAACATAAGGAATACTGTACAGTACAAGTCATGCTCTATTATTGAGTAATTTTTTGACGGATGCCTGCTTTTTAATGAGAAGAATAATTTTTGTAGTAAAACGATAAGGAAAAACGCTGTGTATTGCTATGTTCATGGAACTTACTCAGAGTACAAAACATAAGCCTAAATGCTTCATATAAAAAGGAAAAAGTGTAAATGTTTCTTTTCAGTGATTGAAAATGAGCTAGTAATATAAACAAGTTGGCACATAAAATATTTGGAGAAGCAAAATATGCAATTTGGAGAAGTATGCTCATATAACAGAAACCATGCACTCTTTGAACTTGAGTGTCAGACTTATTTCACATAACTTTATATCCTCAGGTTGCATTCATTTATCTATGAGTTCCTCAAGGTTATCTTTCTTCTTCATAGTGCAGTATTCCATTGTGTATAGTTGCCATTTTCCTTGTACATTATTCTCTTAATGGATGTACACACTATTTTAGAGATGTAGCTGTTAGAAATTGTGCTGCTGTAAACATAGATATCTATATATATCCCTGTATGTATGATTTTAACTATTTTGGAAGATTTCTGCAAGGGGACGTAGCTGTCTCAAGTGGATTTCTATTTTCAGTTTTTTGTGGAAACACCACACTCTTTCCTGTAGTGTTCATACTGGTTTATATTCGCACCACCGTTGTAGAAAAATCCTTCACTCTCATCACCATTTATCATTAGATTTTTTTCATGGAAATCTTTCTAAGATAAAATGCTATCTTTGTGTATTTTTAATTTGCATTTATGTAATTTCCAGAAGCAATGATGAGTTTTCCATGTTTTTATTGGCCATTTGTACTTCTAACAAGTATCATTTCATTTCATTTGTCTGTTCTTTTGAGTTTTCTTTGGTAGGTCTATACTTTGATGCTTGTCCTCTGCCTGTGGAGTGGCTAATGAAAGTATTTTTTTTTCCAATCTGAAGATTGTCTCCTCATTCTGTTGGTTGTTTCCTTTGCAATGGAGAAGCTTTTTAATTTCACGAGACTCCATTTGTTGATTCTCTATATTGTATTTTGTGCCATTAGGGTTTTGTTCAGAAAGTCCTTGCCTATGCCTGTGTCTTTGAGTACTGCCTATTTTGTCTTCCAGAAGATTGCTTCTGTTTTAACATTTAGTTCTTTGTCCCATTTTGGTTATAGTTTAGTACATGGTGAGATATGTGGATCTAGACTCAATCTGTTGCACGTAGGTATCCAATTTTCCCAGCACCATGCCTGAAAGAATATCTTTACTCCGGTATGTTTTTGACTCCTTTGTCAAAGATCACACAGCGCTCTGGCTCTGTGTGCTTTGAGTTGTCTCTGTTGTGCTCTCTTCAACTGATGCACATGCCTGTTTCTATGTCAGTACCATGTGGGTTTCATCACTGTAACTTTATAGTGTAGCTCTAAGCTTGGGATTATGATGCCACCTGCTTTGCTTTTGTTACTCAGGATTGCTTTTGGTAGTCTGAGTCTCTTCTAATTTCTCCCAATTTTAGGATTGTTCCATTAGCTCTGTGATAATTGACTTTGGTATTTAGCTTGGGGTTGCACCAAGTATGTTTACCAATATTGAAAGTCAGGCCATTTTGACAGTATCGATTCTGTCTATCCAGAAATGAGGACTATTTTTTCATTTTGTGATATTTTCAGGTGCCTAGTTTTGAGTGGTGTAATTTTCACTATACAATGCTTTGCTTTCTTAAGCTAACATCTACCTATTTAAGTTTTTTTTAATGCTGTCATCAATATTATTTTTCTAATTGCTTTTTCAGTGGGTTCTTCAATTTTTTTTAATTAAAGAGAAAAAAGAAAGGAAATAAAATAAACAAAGCAGTAAAAGGGTACAAATAATACAGAATTTCAAGAATAAAATACAGTAAGATATCACTAGTTAATAGGTTATATATTGTCATCTTTGAAATAGTTGTCCAAATTATAAAATTAAAGCATGTACAGTGAACATTTATAGAATGAGTTTGCAGAATGTGCCGATCAATGATTGAACAAAAGTTCAGTAATATGGATTTCCATCCTATACACTCAAACATACATGCAGTTATATCCTTTAGACCACCTTCCTTTCCTCTCTTTTTAATAACAATTACACTTTTGGGGTTTTTTTACTCCCACAATTCTTATTATTTTTTGAAGAGAATAAAACCTAATGTGGCTAAACAAAGCAGAGTCGGTTAGAACAAAAGGTTGGGCATAGTACATGATGTAAAAATAAAATATCAGGTGATGTAAAATGCTTACCATTGTGCCTCTGCTATGTTTTTAAAAAGTTGCCTATATCATCAGATATAATAGAATTGATCAAAACAGTACAGAACAAGACTAGTAAAACCTACACTGGAGACCTCAGAGGATTTCAAAAGAAGATAATAATCAAACCATAATGGGCATCTTAGTGAATCTTATTGCCTTGAAATTGGTTGCCTATACCCTCAAACTTGATACTATCAACAAAATAGAATATAGTAAAATCTGACAGAACAAGATGGGGAGAGCAATACTGGGCATCATATCAGGTCAATAGGAAAACAAAAATGTTACTGTAATATATACCTCTATTGGGTTCTTCAATATTGTATAACAATGCTATTGATTTTATCTGTGTGTGTGTGTGTGTGTGTGTGTGTGTGTGTGTGTGTGTGTTGTATCCTGGTATCCTGATAATGTTGGTTAACAGTTCTAGAATTGTGTGATGGAGGGTTTTGTGTCTTGGAAGCAGAGGATCGTGTTATCTGCACATAAAGGTCTTCTGACTCCGTTCTTCCCTACATGTATCCCTTTTATTTCTTACTCTTAAATAATTGTTCAGGCTATTACGTGAATGACCACATTGAACAGCAATGGTGATAAAAACAACTTCTTTGTCTTGTTCCTGATTTTAGAGAGAAGGCTTTCAATGTTTGCCCATGGCATGTGTATTAGCAGTAGATTGGTCATAAATGGCTTTTATCATGTTGAGATGAAGACCTTCTGAACTTACTTTCTTCAAGGTTTTAATCAAGAATGAGTGTTGCATTTTATCACAGGCTTTTTCTAAACCTATTTAAATGATCATGTGGCTTTGGGCCTTGATTCTATGAAGATGAGGAATTTTGTGTTTGTGTTTATTGAGCCATCTTTGTATTCAGGGGCTGAAATCTGTTTGGTAGGGTGCATGATCTTTTTGATAATTTGTTGTATTTGGTTTACTAGTGTCTTAAAGATTTTTGCATCTATGTTCATTAAACAAATTGTCCTCTAATTGTCTTTTATGGTTGTATTCTTCTCTTCTTTGGTGGTGAGGATAATGATAGCTTCTCAGAATGATTTTTGAAGTCCTACTTTTATTTTTACTGCAGAGTTTGCAGAGTATTATTATGAGATGTTCACTGATGTTCTTAAAGAATTTCATTTTGAGCCCATCAGGTTCTGGATTTTCTTTTTAAATTTTTTTATTTAAAGAGAAAACAAGAAAAAACAAAACTGAAGGAGGGAAGAAATAATGATTAAAACATAATTTAAAATTAAAAATTAAGAAATCACTAGTTGATAAATCACATATTGTCCTCTTAGAAATAGTTGTTCCAATTACAGAAGTAAATCATACAAAGTGGACATTCAAACAGTGAGACTGCAAACAATTGTGTTCAGTGATCCAACAAAACTTAGTAATATGGTAATTAATCTTACATACTTACCCATGCATGCATTTATATCCGTTAGAGCATCTTCTTTTCTCCTCTTTTTCACAATAGCAATTACACATTTAGGGTTATGTTACTCCTACATTTCTTATTACTTTTTACACTAGAGAGACAATGTCATATTTATAAATATGATTCTTATTTATTTCACTAGTGAGGACAGTCTCAAGTTGTCTCCATTTACCTATGAAGGCCTCAAGATCATCCTGTTTTATAGCTGAGTAATGTTACATTGTATAAAAAACCACATCTTTTTCATCCACTCTGCAGTTGATGTGCATCTTGGTTGTTTCTAAGATTTAGCTATTACAAATTGTGTTGCTATGAACTTGAGTGCACATACATGACTTTGGCATGACCTTTTCAGGTTTTCTGGGAAAATATTCAGGAAGGAAATAGCTGAATTGAATCGAACTTCCAATCCTAGTTTTCTGAGAAATCTCCATACTGATTTCCATAGTGGTTGCACCATTCTACACTCCCACCAACAGTGGAGCAGTGTTCCTCTTTCCCAACAGCCTCACCAGCATTTGTTATCAGTTGATTTCTTGATGGCCGCTATCCTTTTCAGAGTGAGATGAAATCTCGATGCTGTTTAAATTTGCATTTCTCGAATGACCAGTTATGGTGAACATTTCTTTATGTAATTATTTGCCGTTTGTGTATCTTCATCTGAGAAATGTGTGTTCATCTCAGATGTGCATTTTTGGAGAGGGTCTTTGAATTTGTGGGCTTGATGTTTTACCGTTCTTTACATGTTCTGGATATAAGTCCTTTGAGGAGTTGTTGGCTAAAATTGTTTCCCATTCTGTGGGTTTTCTTTTCACTCTGTTAGTGATTTCTCTTGATGTGCAGAAACTTTTGAATAACATGAGATCCCAGTTGTTGATTCTTTGACGTGTTTCCCATGCAGTTTGCATTTTGTTCATGAATTCTCTGCCTACCCCTATGTCTCCAAGTCTTCTGCCTACCTGGTCTTCCAGTAGATTTAAGGTTTCTGTATTAATATTTAGGTCTTTGGTCCATTTAGACTTTAATTTTGTGCATAGTGATAGGCATGGATCTAGTTTCAGTCTTCAGCATGTGGAGAGCCAATTTTTCCAGCCCCATTTATTAAA